TTAAAATCGAGCACAAAAGTTAGAAGTCATTGTAAAATAACATCTTATTTATGCAATTTAGATGTACATTCAGCTTCTTTACTCTCGGATGCTGATTTATCTTCAAAACAAACTCACTTGTGCTACTTCAACAGTAACATAAATGAGATATGTTTTTTTTCTTCAACGGTGCAATGTCCAAACTCTGAAAGTTCAACATTATTAATTTCACAACACATCCATATAACTATCACACTTCACTCCAGAAAATACAATATCATTCACTGACTTTTTTAATTTCAAAACATGACTTCATCGGAACAAAGCTTTTCAACTTCTCAACTTTATTTTACGCCAAAAAATCTTACGTTATTAGCAGAATACCTATTCTGAACTTTTCTTTTATCAAGTCTGACAAAAAAAATGCTAGTAAAGAAATTTACTGACACTAAAAAGTTATGTGGATCAAAGTTTTGAACTTTTGATGTTTGTTTCTCATCATAAATTTTGAAATCAATATACTCCTTATGTTGATATAATCATGATCTATATTAAATCTAAATTTACAATAGTTATCAAGAATGATTTAAAAAAAGGAGTGATAAATTCACCCTTCCTCGTGGCAGTTGTCACAGGTAGCTTGTGCAAAGGAGATTAAACATTGTGTGAAAGAGAGGCTGGAACCGATACTTTACGCAACAAGAAGAAAACCTAAAGTTTGACATGCCTTGTTGTCTTGACAAGTGAGATGAATTTAACAATTTTCTTACAAATTTATCTTAAAAAATAATTATATGCAAACTAAACCAAAATTTTTAAAATAAAATTTCTATTTATGCTTTTCCAGAGATCTCTAAATCTGAATAAGATTATAAATTGAAAATGAAAAAATGAAAAAATAACATTATCACAATTTTAGCTATTATGTTTCTTGCTGCTTTTGATGTATAGATGTATGCAAAATTTAATTTCTGATAATCGACAAAATTTGAGAGTAGATTAACGTTCAACTACTTGACGTTGAGTTTGAGAAATTCAATGTCAAATGCAAACTGAACATCAAGTGCAAGGAGATATAAACAATGAGGTTTTTTGTGGTTTTTTGCATACGCCAACTTCATTGCAACTTTCTCTAAGTCTCTTCGAACGAGCTTCAAGATTAGAAAGCCTGCAGGGCAAAGAAGCGTGCCGATTTCCTACAACTCCACTTTGCAAAAGTCGTTTGCACGATGACTAGAATGTACGAGTTTCAAAAATACAAAAATTTCATGGAACTTGTAATAAAAAAATAAAGGTCTATGAGGAATCACATGTCGGATATACTCATCCTATTCCAAAATGGGAGGAAGTTTATGGACTTGTTGATGTTTAGGAGCAAAGAGAAGAACCATGGCTTGAATGCTTCAGCTTGAAGGATATTGATGATGAGATATTTCTCATCATCAATGCCATTCAAGCCATTGTATGAGACAAAGACCTTCAGAACTTATAGCCTCGCGAGATTCTATCAGAGATGTTTGATAAAGATGAGGTTTGACCTCCAATCTCTGACAAAAATCACTAGAATTCCAAAATCTCTTTGTCATATTTGTAAAGAGATCTGCTTTTAGATATGACGAAGAGATTTTGCTGCTCGTTATCAAAATTTCTTTCAGCAACTTAAAATTTTCAAGTGATACTGAAGAAAAAGTAGATGGAGTTTCCATAGAGATGGAGACTTCCCGTTGATATTGTTGGTATGACTGGGTCTTTCGATTTCCTTGGCTGCTATGATTTTTTTGCACCATTCAACGATGAGAAAGTCTTCGAGTGAATTGAACTGAAGCCTTGATCAGAATAAGTTGTTACATATAATAATAAACGAGAAATCTCATTCTCAATATCATGAAGAGATTCCGCAAGTCGTTCAGCAACCTTAAATTCTCAAGTGGCAATAACGAAGGATTCCATGGAGTTTGTATGGACGTGGAGCCTTCTGTTGATGCTGGCATGGTTGAGTCTATAGCCCTTGGCTCATCTGACGGTCAAGCACCACTCAACAATGAGATACCCCTCAATTGAAATGGAGTCAAAATCAGTAATTAGATAAAATACAACACTATATTTTCAGTCTTGATGGATAGAATCTGATATACAGAATGCCTGTCTATTTCTCCAGTTTTCTCACTGGCAGCGGTCAAAGTACCAGCCTTGTACTCGACGTGTGTGAAGTTAGATTCAAACTTCACTGCGTGTGATTATATATATATATATATATATATATATTTCAGATTTTAGTGAATTTCTGCATGTTATCATTATCACACATATATACTTGAGAATTTCACCAGAAAATGTATCTTGAATATGGTCGTTATGTAAGACTGGTCACATCTGCATTCCCCACACTGTGTCAGAAAATTTCACATCCTTAATTATTTTATTTTTACAATTGAGACATCATCACAATGATTCACAGTCGTTTTCATTTTTTCGTTTTCATTTTTTCGTTTTCATTTTCATCATATTAAAGTAGAAACCACACAGCTTTCACAGTCGTATGTTTTAAAAAATTTCCCTATTGTGCTAATTCTGCTAACAATATTGATCGGAGAAGTGATTTGTTGGCTCTCATCCCATCCATGTACCAGCTTTTGTTTTTATCAGTCTTTGATTTTTCCTTAAGTTCTACTTGTCCTTTAGAGAAGAGAAAGGAGATCTGCTTACTGTACTTTGAAATAAAACAAAACAGGAACTAGAAGTTACTATGATCACTCTCTAGGAGTATTATAAATCTCGCCCACTTCTCCCGTTGAAGTCTCTGGATATTTTTCTACGAACGGCATCGGATGTGGAGGTAACTTTCTTTCCACTTGATCAGTGAATACCACTCTCAACTTTTAGCTAGAATCTGATTCTCATTGATGGAAGAATTGACCCAATTGACATTGATCATAGTCTTGAGGTTCAATGAATATTGCCGTGTCATAGAGCGAAGACCAACGAGTCCAAAGGTATACCATATTGTCTGTTTTTTTACATTTAAAAGAATTTAGATTTAAAGTCGAACACAGAAGTTCGAAATCTTTGTGAAATAAAATTGAATGTATGCCACATGTATCGTGAATATGGTCGTTATATAATACTGGTCACAGCTGCATTCCCCACACTGTCAGAAAATTTCTCATCCTTATTATTATATTCTTACAGTTGAGACATCATCAAAATAATTCACAGTCGTTCTCATCATATTAAACAAGAGTCAACACAGCTTTCAAAGTCGTATGTTTATCAAATTATTCCTATGGTCACTAATTCTGCTAACAATAATTGATTTTATACGTGAATTTTTCCTTCGGGTCATACCTCTCATCCCATCCATGTACCAGCTTTTGTTTATACTGTATCAGTCTTTGATTTTCTTTACGTTCTCCTTGTCCTTTAGAGAAGAGAAAGGAGATCTGCTCACTGTACTTTGAGAGAAAACAAAACAAAACAGGAACGAATAAGTCAAAGCCGAGTAAGTTAATATACTTGTTTATTAGTTAATTCTGAATCTCGCCCAATACTCCCAAATATCTCCGGCAGTCTACTCTTGAGGTTCGATAATTTGCCGTGTCACATAGGGAAGACCAACAAGACCAAAGAGATACCATGTTCCTTGTCTTCTACATTTAAGAGATTTTAGACTTAAAGTCGAACACAAATATACAAATCTTTGTCAAGTAACATCTTAGTTATGCATTCAATTGTAGATTGAGCTGCTCACTCTATTTACTTTCAGATGCAAATTTATGTTCAAAACATCCTTTCTTGTGCTACTTCAACGCTAATATAAATGAGAGATGTTTTTCTTCTTGCGTGGTGCAATTTCCAAACTCTGAAAGTCCAACAATATATATATCGCAACACATACAAGTAAACAGTTTCACAGAACTATCACACGTCACTCCAAAAGATTAAATGTCAATCACCATTGTTTACTTATTTCAAAACATGGCTTCATCAGAATAAAGCTTTTCGATTCCTTCTCATCTTTAATTTACGCCTTAAGATCATACGTTATTGGCAAAAATAACTGTAATGTACTTTTCTATCATCAAGTCCGAAACAAAAGGAAAAGAAATGCCAGTAAGGAAATCTATTGACACAAATAAGTTATTTACATCAGATTTTTTAACTTCTGATGTTTGTTTCTCACCATAAAGTTTAAATTCATTATATTGATATCATAATGATCTACATTAAATCTAAACTTTAGGTTACAATATTTATCATTAGTGATTTTTTAATTATTTTATTCTTTTAGAATAATTTTTATACGATAACTAAGATAACTTTTAATATTTAATTTTAAAATTAATATTGGTGCTTGTGGAAATGTATTAAAACTTGTATACACAAAAGTGTATGAATATATTTATCATAACTTAGTCTATTATTCTCATTGCTGTTTCCGGTGAATGGATGTCTGCCAAACTCAATCCCTAATAATGGATAAAGTTAAAAACTCTGGAGGCTTGTGTGCAACCTTCAAGACTACAAAACTCTAATTTCTGATTAGGTAGAATGGACATTCCTTAAATTTAATCGCAAATAACAGATAACGTTTAAAAGAGTTGAACGTTTGAGCGCAAAACTTGAAAAACACTAGTATCTATAAATTTGCTTATGGTGAATGGGTCTGCATCGAATTCAGTCGCAGATAACTCATGATGTTAAGCAAGCGGGAGGTTTGAATGCGTCGAAGTCTGAGACTACTAGTATTCTAACTCTTGCTTCAAACGAAAAAATGTCCATGAAATTTAATCGCAAATAGCACCAATGTTCAAGGAAACCAACTAAAGGTTTAAGTGAGAACTTCAAGATCACTGTTGACTTGACTGTTGAGTAACGTTTCATAACTTCAGCGTACAATATTATTTTCAAACTCAACGTTCTTCAAACAGTTGCCGTTGCGTTGAACGTTGCTGCTTAACGTTTTTGTTTGTGGTTTCTTGCAGCCCATCTTTGTTCGCAAGAGCTCCAGAGCTCCAAGAGAGGAGAGGCTGCAGGTCGAGTGGGAGATTTAAACAATGCAATCTTTGTTCGTGGTTTCTTGTATGCACTCTTTGTTCGCGCGAGCTCCAGGAGAGGAAAGGAGAGGCGGCAGGTCGAGTGGGAGATGTAAACAACGAGATCTTTGTTCGTGGTTTCTTGTATGCCTCTTTGTTTCTCGCGAGCTCCAGGAGAGGAGAGGCTGCAGGTCCAGTGGGAGATGTAAACAATAAGATCATTGTTCGTGGTTTCTTGTATGCCATCTTTGTTTCGCGCGAGCTCCTGGAGAGGAGAGGGTGCAGGGCAAGGAAGCTCGCGGAATTTTGCCCGGAGGAAGTTGCACGATGACTTACACTTACGAGTTTCAAAAATGGGAGAAGCTCATGGAAGTTGAGATCAAGAAGGACAATGAGGTCTATGGTGAATCACACATTGGGTATACTCGACGTATTCCAAAATGGGAGGATATTTATAGAGATTTTGAACTTCGTAAGAAGGAGCAGAAAACACAAGTTGGATATAGACGGCGTATGCCGAGGTGGGAGGACGTTTATAGACCTCTTCATGTTCGTAAGGAGGAAGAAGAAGTGAAACCCAAAAATTATGACTCCTTTGATTGTTTCAGCTTGTATGATATTGAGGATGAGGAAGATTATCTTGTATCAGACGAAGAGCTCTGCAACTCACAATCTCCCGAGTATCTTTCAGAGACTGGTATTCAAGATGAGGAAAATGCTCTTGTATCAGACGAAGAGCTCTATGATTCACAAACTCCCGACTCACAATCAGAGACGTTTGATGAAGATGAGGTTTTAACTACATTACTTGAGGAAAACCCTGTTTTTGGATTTGACGAAGAGATTTTGAAGCACGTGGTGGACAACTCTCTCAGCATCTCTCTAAACAACCTCAAACTAACAAGTGATACTGACGAAGGAGTCGATGGAGATCGTATGGATATGGAGCCCTAAGTTGATGTTGGTATGGTTGAGTTTGTTGATCGTCTTGGCTGCTCCGAGCTTTCTTCCACCACTTAACGATGACAAACTCATAAAGTGAAGTGGAAAGAAGCGTGATCAGAATGAGGTGTTATATGTGATAGTTCAAGCAAAATCTCCTTCCAGAATTCACGAAGAGATTCTTGTGGCTGTGGTCGGCAAGTTTTTCAGCACTCTCGAACTCTCAAGTGGCAAGTTTTTCAGCAATCTCAACTCTCAAGTGGTAATGACGAACGAATCGATGGACTTCGCATGGACGGTGAGCCTTCTGTTGATGCTGGTATTTAGAGTCTGTATATCCCTTGGCTCATCTGAGTTACTGGCACCACTCAATGAGAAAAAGCCTTCAAGTGAAGTGGAATCAATATCATCATGTACATACAACACTGTAACTGTAACGTGAGTCTTGACGAATACAACCTCATGTACAGAATGACTGTCTATTTCCTGCAGTATTCTCACTAGCTACGATCAAAGTACCAGCCTTGTACTCAACATGTGGTAGTTTCCAATTTCCAATTTCACTGCGTGTGAAAATTTATTTATCTTATTTCTTTCAAACTCTTAGCTAATTTTTGCATGTTATCTTCATCAGGCATATATATTTGAGAATTCCACAAAAAATGCATTGTGAGTATGGTCGTTAGAAAAGACTGGTCGCAGCTGCATCGCAGCTGCATCCCCACATTGTGTCAGCAAATTTCACATTCTTGTTATTATATTCTTACAATCGACACAATATCACACTAATTCGCAGTCGTTTTTATCATATTAAACTAGAATCTACACAGCTTTCAAAGTCGTAGGGTCATAAAATTATTCCTATTGTCACTGATTCTTCTAACAATAATTGATTGAATAAGTGAATTATTCCTTTGGCTCATAGCTCTCATCCCATCCATGTACCAGCTTTTGCTTATATCAGTCTTTGATTTTTCTGTACTTTCTCTTTCTCCTGTAGAGAAGAGAAAGGAGATCTGCTTTCTGTACTTGAAAGAAACAAAACAGGAACTAATAAGAGAAACACGAGTAAGAGGTTATTAATCAATGTCTAGAAAACATCTGAATCTCGCTCGCTTCTCCCAAATATCTCCGGCAATCGAGTTTTGAGGTTCAATGACTATTGCCGTGTCATAGAGCGAAGACCAACAAGTCCTAAGGTACAGTATACCATAGTCTCTGTTTTTTTACCTTTAAGAGATTTTAGATTTAAAGAACACAGAAGTTCGAAAATCTTTGTTTTATAACAGTTTATTTATGCGATTTAATTGTAGATTGAGCTGCTTCACTCTCTTCCTTTCAGATTCAGATAATTCTTCAAAACACTTACTTGCTTACTTGTCCTACTTCAACACTGACATATATGAGATATGATTTTCTTGTTGCGTGGGTGCAGTGTACAAACTCTGAAAGTTGAACACTATAAATTTCGCAACACATCCAAGTAACCAGTTTCAGAGAACTATCACATATCACTCCAGAAGATTGTATGTCATTTATTGACGTTTTTTTATTTCAAAACATGGCTTCATCAGAATATAGCTTTTTCAGTTTTCACCTTTATTTTACGACTAAAAATTATACGTTATCAGCAAAAATAACTGTTCTGTAATTTTCTTTTATCAATCCTGAAATAAAAAATAAAAAGAAATGCTAGTAAAGAAATCTGATGACACGAATAGGTTAATTAGATCAGATTTTTGAACTTTTGTGGTTTGTTTCTCACCATATATATTAGTATAATCGCATTGACATCATGTCCTATATTCGGTCAACGAGACTTTATTTTACAATGTTTATCATTAATGATTGAGAAATTCTTTGCTGTTTTTTTAAATAATAACATATTTATTATTTGCATAACAATATCACATAGAATTCTTTTTGAACATTTTTATTGAAGCTTGTCTGAATGTATTTAACTCTGAATTCAATTATGATTTGCATTCGCAAAAACACATGTCTAACACATCAAAATCTTATCCTCCAATTGTCTAAAATATCATTGAAGTTAAAAAATCTCAACCAAATTCAAATGAATTATAAATTACATTTATGTTCTCTAAGTTTTTCGGGGACTACACCAATTTCAAATGATATTATTGTGTATTACAATAAGCTCGTGTGTGTGTTATAGTCACAACAAATAAAGTTTTATTGTCTGGTACTACATGATCTTTTGATAAACAATGTCATGTTACTCTGCTTCTTCCGATACATAATTTCATCTAACGATTACTAGTGTTGAACTACGTAAAGTTAAATTCTTAAAAATAAAAAATGCTGCCATTGTAGGACTTGAACATAATAGATTGGTTTCTAAGGGAATGATGGACAGTTAACATAAAAAAAAACCTCTAATTTTCAAGTAGAGTTTTTTGTATCACAGAGAATTGAAAGTATCTGTATTCACACGGTAAAGGAACTTCTTCTTTTTTTCAATAAATTTCTATCTATGCAAATAATTCTTGTCTTTTCAAATACGTTTAACACAATCTAAAAACCTAAAATAACTATACTATGAGTGCAATATGCTCTCGACCACAGGCAAATACAAGCTTGACTGTGATTCCAGAACTAATACATGGGCAAAATGCAAACTGGACATTCTCGGTAACTGCAAGTTATAGGTCATCATCCGCAATGCCGTCACATCCAACTGTCAAGTCCATTTATTTGCAAGAGCAAGGGCATCATTGAACTTTTGACATGCTCAACACTGGGCAATAATGATTAATAAGTTTTAGTACTGTACTCGTCGCACTCACAAAGTATCTATGTTATGTACTCCAATTGCTGAACTCTCGATAAGTCCATTTTCCAGAGCCAATAAGTGCAGGTCGTGGATTACTTTATTCAGAAGCTGCACGAGGGCCACCGGGAAGCTCATCCGGTGAAAGTCGCCGGTTTGTGTTTGCTAGCACCTTCCGGGGAAAGAATGTGGATTGCAGCGCGAAGGACGATTAGGGTTTCTTCCAGGTTCGGGAAGACCACAATTCCAGCGCCTCTAAGGCGTCGACGAAGCGTCGCGGCGCCGCAAGACTGCTCTCTCGGTAAGCTGTATTTAGTCCCCAGAACTCTCATTCTTCTCAGGTCAGACATCGGCAAGTGATGAAGCCGCGACTACTCCTTCTCCGAACCTAGATTGTCTTCCAACCTTCAGCAAACTTAGTGAGCTCGCGCACCTAGTAGGTGGATCGTCGAATTATGGATTCTCTTTTGGTAAATGCCTCTCGCTCTTTTGGTCATAAACTTCGTGACGGCTCGAAGAGCGAGTGACATTTATCAGGAACGAGTGATGGTGTGTCAGCGCTTGAGGTCTGTCCGGATTGCGTAGTCGTTTACTTTTCGGTTTAACAGGCTGAGATTGTAAGGCCTAGGTCTGTCCCCGTCATTTCTGTTTGTATTTCCGCTGTTTCTTGTGTTCTGAGCGGCTCGGAGAAGGCAGAGGATGAGAAAGGTTTTAATGGGTAATTTGCAACTGATCTCTGTGATGATCACTCGCCTTCACCTTGGAGAACTGATGCCTTCGTGAATCTAGTCGTGAAGAGCTTTGCTGGCCCGTGATGAATATTTCTTTGGAATTACCGTCTGAGATAGATCATGCGGATAAACTGTGCTGCTATTCTGAGGCCTGAGATCAACGTGAATAGTGCAAGTACTCTTTCCAGTCTACATTTGGCGCCAATTACCAATACCGAGGGTTGAAGTGTTTATGGATTACCCTAGACGCTTCGTCATACTCTGAGGTGCAATGGCTTTGGCGCAAGATAAAACTCCTGGATATTCTAAACTTGGGGCAAGTAATTGGTCCCCCGTGTTTTGGGAAAGCCACGAGACATTCCGTTTACATACCCTTTTAAACAGAGTTTAAACCCTACCGATAGACCACCAATCGTATGTGTTCCTACCAAAATTCTAGCATAACGAAATTGGAAAATCTCCTCTCATACGTGAAAATTCTATTTCTGAGGATATCCTAAGCCTGAACGAACTCGAAACCAGGTCTAGACTGAGGAAATCCTAATCTCGAACCAACTCGAAATCAGATCTAGACCTGTGAGTGTCAGTTTGAGAAGATGAAAGAATCTCCTCGCTTCCCCTCAGAGAATTGTGGTCGCATCCGTGCTGACACATGAAAAGCTGCTGAGCCGAAGACCATCTCGTCCCAGGCAGCGATGTCCTCCGGGAGAAGTGTGAAGAGATAGTACGACGAATTTTGGTCGAAACCCATCAGAACAACAACGCGATTGTATAATGTACGGAATTGTCTCACCAGTGGGAGGAAGTTGATCTATTAATCACGCTGCACAACTTCCGCAATGTTTGCAGAGATCATACATTCTGAGATTCCACTAGTAACCATTATGGAAATGTGTAAATTACGACGTGATACGGAATCGAAGGGTAGTTACCATGACCCTTCGCAAAACGAAATCGATTTGGAGTACTACTGAGTTTACACCGATACAGTGGTGTTTTTTCCATGCTGGAGACGAGAGTTCATGCGAACAAGTTTCGAACCTGTCCTGTGTTCGATCGCTCGACCAACAGATCGGGAAGTATATGACTTCTAACTTTTCAATTACGTTGGGCTCGTGAAGTGAGAACGCCTCGTGTAGTATTTTGTGATCTGTGAGGTTCTGTGTCTTCGGCGGTCCCTCGCATTTTTCTTCGTCGAGGCAGTACCAACTCAACGTCATTGTGTCTGCCTCTGTTGCGCTCCGAGGGGGAGTGTCCTTCCGCTCTCAGAGCAGACAGCAGAGTGCAGAGAGCGGCGATCTATGCGCTCGAAGTTGGAATGAGAGGGCGGTATTCGTCAAGTGAGGAGAATTCCTGAGGAGATGCTTCGGTGTGAGAGTTGGGAAAGTTTGCTTCCTCGCTCTCTGACTACGATGCGATGAAGGTGTTGAAATCTAAGAATATGGGAGGAGAGCCAGCACTTCCTTCATTCAACAGGGAAAGATATGCTTCGAGGGAGGGAGGGATGGTGGCCGGACTGTTCGATGAGGGGATCTGAGGATCATCTTCGGATTCGATCCAGGACTGTAATTTCAGAAGTCTTCACGTCACGGCACAATGTTGACTGCCCTTTGCTACAAGTGCTCTTTTGTGGAGTGGCCGAATCATGGCTGGGAAACGCAATGGATGCAAAGCAGAGCGTGGTCAGCAAATGCTTCAGCGAGGAATTCAAAGCATGGAGCTGATTGCCAATAAGGCTCGTGAATCCAGTGCAATGGTTCATCCCGCAGAAGTAAACTCTCAGCGCATAACTGCAGGAACTGCCTCTGACCCTCTTCACAGTTGCAAAGTGAGAAGCAGATCACACTACAGAGGAGTCCATGTCAGTGTACAACCATTTTCTCTACAGCGCACATTTTTCAGAAGATCTGGAGGCGCATCCTCATCATCCCGCGAGTGGGGCCTTGAGGCCTGAGCACATCGATACCCGTCACGTCGGGCAAAGGCTGGACAAAATCTTCATCGAGGCAGTGGCCATGACATCGAGGACTTTGAAGGCCCAGGAACTGGACAACGAAGTGCAATGCTCCTAGGAGCGACCACTGAAACCAAATCTCTTGGTGCCGAATCGTCTAGTTCTGGATGTACTTGTAGCTTCAACCTTCCACCACGATTCCACCACAGAACACAGATGAACAGGATCGAGAATTAGTCTTCTGTTCGAGCAGAACTCTGAGAGCAGTCTTTGGGTGACACAACATTATCCAAATTATAAAGCTCGAATACTCTGAGGTGGCAAAAGTTTATCATTCCGTATGCATTTCAGCCAACTCAGCGAAAGCGATAACGGAACAGAGGTTTTTTCAGAAAGCTTCATCTCATAAGCTATAATATTGACATGAGTATATAATTAAAATATGGAAAATTGAAAATTGAGATTAAAATTATTTTAATTTCTAAATCTATAAATAATTGAATCATACAAATTTGATTTTCAAAATAGATGAATATGTGCCAACATTCATTCTTTCGAGACGGCTACCAAATATTCAGGCGAGTGTTGTTATCTTGCCATGACTCCAAAGAGAAATGCCCCACGAGTCCATCTCAATCGTGTGTTTAAAAGGCTGATTTAGCACTCTGTAGGCGAGGACTGCTATAAATCTAGAACAGGCTGACTTAACGACCAATAGGGTCGAGTGTTTTATTATTTGATTTAATTTGGGCACAAGTGCAGTGACATCATGTCGGGTCCACTTCCGGTCGTCCAATCGGAACTCGGCTGGAAACTCGGCCCGCTCCACTCATTGGATACTCGCCAACCGGTCATTATCACCGGATACTAATTGCGGTCCGGAGGAAATGAAGGCGCAGACGCTCGGCGAATGTCGTCCAGGGACTGCCTCAAGGCCCCGAAGAGGAAGCGCACCGGACCCCAAACGGGACAGAGAATGGGACAATGGGACTGGCTGTCCCGAAGATCGAGCGCTCGCATGCCGAAGGCCGCAGGCCGGAGGAAAAGGGACTCGAGCTCGTCGAGCTCATCGCAACTCTGCGGTCGAGAATTGGTGCGGATCGCGCTCGAGGTGGAGGTCGAGGGCGAGGTCGAATTCGGGGAATGCGTGGGAATGCGGAGCTCGTCGGGCTTGCGAGTGATGGTCTGCGTTAGCGGAGAAGAGAATTTGGCTTCGAGCGCAGAAGAATCTGCGCCTTGAAGGATAGATCGAGATGGCAGCGCTTTCGGCTGCGGCGAAATTGGAGCCCGGCGATAGAGCGAAGTGGAGATGGCAGAAGAGCGCGGGATCGTTCATGGCGGGCTCGGGCGCCGGGATGATCAGCACCACGATTCTGCAGCCGTTTGAGGTGGTGAAGACTCACATGCAGGCGCGCGATTGTCCCGGTGGGCATAGCATCAGGGGAGCGGTGCGAGTGATCTCTGAGAGAGATGGAGTGACAGGGTTCTGGCGGGGCACGGGAGCTGCGTGTGTGCGCGTTGGTCTCGGGGCTGGTCTCTACTTCGCCATGTTGGGCCCCGTTCTGTCCACATTGCAGACCATCTACACTTCCGGCCAGAGTTCTGGGGTCTCCATGCACGACAAGCTGCCAGTCGCCATTACAATGTCCGCCGGCTCGCTGACGAGGTTGCTCGCCTCTGCAATGACGTGCCCCATCACCGTCGTCAAGACTCGGATGGAGGTATGGAAATCTTATTTGCAGCACTCCAAACTAGGACTTCCTGAACATCCTTTATGCTAGAAGAGGTGCAAATCTTCATGAATATCATCATTCATACACAAGAGTTTCTCGAAAACTTTATCGAGTTAAAATTATCCTTCATTGTTCCTCGCCGAAGGGAATCATTGTCTGTCCAAATTTGATAGTCATCGAAGTTTGTCCCTCGTTAGATACTAGAAGAGGAAGCTCTTGGAAGCGCTTACAGTTGAAGTTATTCTCGGGGTGCAATATATGACTTGGGAGCAGGGCCGGTGGTGCAGTATGCAGCAGCGTCAGGACTAAACTACACAGGGACTGCCAGTGCACTTCTAGCAATCAAGCGTACCGAGGGAATATCCGGTATGCTTCACACATCAGCTCAATCTCATGTTAGAAAATGAAGTAGCCAAGCCGCATGGTTCTGCCTGCACACAACAAACTTAATGATGGAGATTCAGGAAAGAGTGATTAGAAAAGAAGGAAACTGTTTATGAGTCTCGGAGTCTTTAATTCTCCATGACATTGCCCTTGTCCTGGTTTGACGGTTAGGATTTGTCTTGGACACATGAAGAGTGAAATTCCAGCTTATGAGCTAGATTTCGAAAGTTCCTCTTTATCTTGGGATTCATGGAATTTCTGGCAATGAATCCATCATAAGTTTCGAACGTGGTGGAATTGTTACATGACTTTCGTACGTCATGACAGGTTTATACAGTGGAATGGTCCCGACCCTGCTGAGGGACGCCCCTTATTCTGGTCTGTACTTAATGTTGTACAATCGCATACGATACTCTCTCAAAGGTTTGTAGTTTACTCTTCACTGCGGGAAAAAGGTGTGGAGTTCATTGCGCTTGTAGATTTGTATTTGATTTTGAGTTTTCTTTTGTTTGAAAGCACCTTATTGTTCTCATGAAGTCCCTAATGTCAGTGGAAAGTATCGTTGCCATATAATGATATCTGCTCTCTGACCAATTCACGTTTCAGACAGTGCTTGCTTATTTGTTTGTCAGCATTTGTATGACCCACCAATGCATCTTAGAGTCAGCAGCATTGATTGATTTCGTGCCATGTTGTTTCTAGTACAGATCACTTCGATCCCAACAATATTCCTCACACATACATAAACTTCGTTTCAGGTGAGTAAACCTCGAGATGCAGACTAAGCTCAACTTTGCCTGAATCTAGACACACTTTTCATCAACTTAAAGTGTGCTTATAATATCCCGGTTCGATAGAAGTCAGTATGCTGCGGTTACGTGATATTTGAGAATTGACCTCTGCGTGAATACAAACGTGAAGAGTACTCACACTTTGACGCCCATTCGTCTTTGGCATGGTCCAGGGGCTCTTGCAGGAAGCAGTGCCACCTTTTTTACGCACCCTCCGGACGTGGTATGTGCTTACAGATACCCAACTCATGTTCAGTTCTTTCACGTGGACTGCCAGTGCTAGATCGGTCCTCCTGCTCTTTCTAATGTCTTCTCCTGGTACTCGGAGCAATCTTCATACATGTTGATGCTTAGCTGTCGTCCATGTGACAGGTCCGGACACGGATGCAGCTTGAGCGGAGCCAAAGCACGGGCATCGTGTCTACTGTACGTCAAATTGTGCAGGTGAGGAATAGGGCTGCATGGGGCACTATATTAGCTTAAAGTAGTGCATCCTACAACTGCAAAATTCTTTCCTTGCGGCTGCTTTGTATGGTGTAAGATTCTATTTAGGGAAACTGTTCCAGTTTTACTGACAGGTTGAAGGAGTAAAAGGCCTATTTTCGGGTGTTCTGCCACGAATAGGAAGGCGAGGCTTACAACAAGCAGTTTCATGGTGCGGCCAATCTTTCCAGTTTCTTCTTGTATCTATTGATCTAGAATGGGCATCAACCGGTTTTGCTTCTGTTTATTGTTTTCATGTATTATCCTGCTTACAGTGATTAGAGCAATGAATTATTAAAGAAAAGCCTAATAAAACTCGTGTTATTCAATCAGGACTATCTTTGAGGAGATCTCCGGTTGGGTGAATCATAGACTTTGAAAAAGAGGCAATAGAGGAGCTTAATACTTGAGGACAGAGCTTATCTTGATTTATCAACTGCAAGTCTTACGTGCTTTGCGGTATGTACTATAAAACCAAATCCCTTGTAGACTGCACTCATAGCGTTTTTAGTGGTAATGGAGTCAAGCAGATTGAGGCACCTCGAAGGTGAACTTCACTTGTACCGGTACGGAGAAAATTATAAAATATTTCGATTGTTGCGATTACCTCATGGAAGCACTTCGTTTCGTTGTTCACTTTGTACATCCACCGTCAAGCCATGGCGAGAGTCCTATGTATGTCCAGTACTGCTGAGTACAGACATCTAGCAAAATGATTTGTAAAATTTTAGCTTTATACTGAATGCACGATCTTGTTTGTCCAAGTCGTTAACCCATAAAGCGTTCTGTCAGTGAGTCATGAGTGGGCAAGTCATGAAACTCTTAGTCGGCATTGACATTGAGCCGTGACATCTCAAAGCAGTCGCAGGAATGTGCTAGACGCTTGAGAATTGTCGTCTATTACGTTCTTAGGTGGAAATGATTAGGCTGATTGTGACGTGGCTGATTATAAAACGTCATCCGGCATTAAGCTGGCAGCACCTGATGCATTTTTACCACCAACCAAGGATCTGGTCGCGTTGTCAGACAACAGTCCCCTTTTTTCCACTCAAAAGTGATCTAAAGAAACAACTCTTCGTACAAGCTTCACTGGTAATGAACGGATTCTGTGAGGAACAGAAGCGTCTAAGTAATGTGCCCTGCTAAGCGCCTGATTTAGCGAAGTAAGAGGATCACGAGCATAATACATGTCGTTATACCTGCTAATGGTAACCACCGCGGATGGTGTTTATGATCAAGGAATGGTGGACAAGGGCAAATGTTGATCAATGTTCAATCAGAAAAGGGCAGCCTGATTCTCCACATCAGGGGCAGAAGTACAGATTGCAGAGCATTTATAAAACTAGCGTCCATTAGGTCGTAGTACTTTGCCATCTGTCAGCAAACGCATCTGTGTCTCTAATAGAAGACAGCTTACGTGAATTCATAAGACTCGAAATTCCTCCAGTCAAGTCTTCCTCGAGAAATTTGGACGATCTTCTCATATTCGCATCTCCTTGTGATGGACTATGTGTGGGTAAAGGCTGCACGGGTGTTGTCCAAGGTTGAGAAGTAAGGCCTTTTGTTTGATTCGAGGCAGTTGAACTCGTGAAAAAAAGAGGTAGTGGCTTGGACGATTCTGATCTCTGAGTAACAGATCTTCTCCATTCAGCTCGGACATTGTCAATAGACTGACGGTTCGCAGCCGAGATTATACCGCCATTCATAGACTTCCGATTCAAGTCTGCCGATGTAGGTAAGGGAGCATCACTTGGTCGCTTCGGTACGTAGGTCCTCATGACGATAGGTTTAGAAATGTCACCTAGTGATCCAGTCTTGCTAAAACGGTTCAATGCTGTTGCTACTTCTACTGTTGTTGTTTGATCTGGCGTGATCAAACTGGGGCGTCTAACTACTGCTGTCCCAGGTCCTGGAATGCTTGGTGTCGGCAAGGCCACAGGAACTGGAAGAGAAGGAGGTTCTTGAGGCGGCAAACTGGGTCGCTTGGCTGCTGCTGCTTCAGGTCCTGGGATGCTTGTACTCGGCAAGGCCACAGGAACTGGAAGAGAAGGAGTTTCTTGAGGCGGCAAACTGGGTCGCTTGGATGCTGCTGTCTCAGGTCCTGGGATGCTTGGACTCGGCAGGCCCACAGGAACTGGAAGAGGAGTTTCTTGAGGAGGCAAACTGGGTCGCTTGGCTGTTGCTGCTCCAGGTCCTGGGATGCTTGGAATCGGCAAGGCCACAGGAACTGGAAGAGAAGGAGGTCCTTGAGGAGGCAAACTGGGTCGCTTGGCTGCCGCTGCTGCAGGTCCTGGGATGATTGGAATCGGCAAGGCCACAGGAACTGGAAGAGAAGGAGGTTCCTGAGGTGGCAAACTGGGTCGCTTGGCTGCTGCTCCAGGTCCTGGGATGGTTGGAATCGGCAAGGCCATAGGAACTGGAAGAGAAGGAGGTTCTTGAGGTGGCAGACTGGGACGTTTAGCTGCTGCTGTTCCAGGTCCTGGTATGGTTGGAATCGGCAAGCTCACAGGAACTGGAAGTGAAGGAGGTTCTTGAGGTGGCAGACTGGGACGCTTAGCTGCTGCTGTTCCAGGTCCTGGGATGGTCGGAATCGGCAAGGTCACAGGAACTGGAAGTGGAGGTTCTTGAGTTGGCAGGCTGGGACGCTTAGCTGCTGCTGCTCCAGGTCCTGGAATGCTTGGAATCGGCAAGGTCACAGGAACTGGAAGTGGAGGTTCTTGAGTTGGCAGGCTGGGACGCTTAGCTGCTGCTGCTCCAGGTCCTGGAATGCTTGGAATCGGCAAGGCCACAGGAACTGGAAGTGAAGGAGGTTCTTGAATGGGGAGACTGGGACGCTTGGCTGCTGCTGTTCCTGGGATGCTTGGAATCGGCAAGGCTACTGGAACTGGAAGAGAAGGAGGTTCTTGAGGTTGCAAACTGGGAAGCTTGGCTGCTGCTGGTCCTGGGACATTTGGAATTGGCAAGGCAACTGGGCTAGGACTAGGAGGAGGTTCTTGAGGGCTCAAACTGGGACGCGTGGCAGCTGCTGCTCCTGGTCTTGGGACATTTGGAACTGGCAAGGCAACGGGGCTAGGACTAGGAGGAGGTTCTGGAGGGCTTAAACTGGGACGCTTAGCTGTTGCTGCATCAGGTTCTGGAATGCTGGATATTGACAAGGCTCCAAAAGTGGAAAGAGGTGGGTTTTGAGGAAGTATACTTGTGTGTCTAGCAGTTGGTGCTCCTGGTATGAGCACAGATACTGGCGCTCGTGTAGGTAGTTCTTGAATTGACAAACTGAGAGTTCCAGAATCTGGAACTGGTGTTGTCGCGGGAGAGTGTTTTATCTCGACAGTGGAAGCATTTGGTTTGACAGGTGGTGAAAGGAAAGTCGTCGATACAGGGCTAGGAGATGGTGACATTCGGACTGGCAAGCTTGCCGTTCTGTTTAACATTATTCCAGGTCTCGTAGTTGAGAGTATAGGCGATGGGTAGCTAGGACCAGGTGTTGTTTCGGTGGGTTTGTTAGTGGTTTTGGATGAAGGCTTTTCTGGAGTTGAAGGAGCAAGCTCGGATACAGAGACAAGAGAAGGTGTTTTCTGGTCTGTCGGGACTTCAGGTTTAGTTGATCCCATTTCGGATACAGACATCGACGGTTTAGTATGTGATTCTCCCTCAGCGGACAAGGTGAGAGGTTTCCATGGTGGTGTTTCGGATCGGATTGTAGATGAGAGACTTGTTTTGTCTAGACTTGATGGAGGTTGTTTCTGGGTTGAAAGATTGGAGGTTCCAATAATTGTTGGTCTCCAAGGTGAACCTTGTTCTGTGGATTTCGGCAGTGCGGGTTTTGAAATTGGCTCAGTCAGATTGACTGTGATGGTGGCTGGACCGTTGAATGAAGTCAAATTCGGGAAACTTGTGGAAGTTGATGAGGACGACGAAATTGAAGCTGTGTTGCCGAGAGGGAGCTCTTGAGACCCTGGTATAGCAAAATGTAGCTCTGGGCTGGAACTTGATAGCAGAGGGCTGGATACAAGTGAAGAGCCCGACATCCTTCTCGACAAATCTTCCTGTCCATTTTTAGTATAGGGTGCGGAGGCCCCTGGAAGTGAAGCTGGTGCTAAACCTGCTATAGGATTTGATGACGCTGGTGTGGAACTTGTTTTACCATCTGTTAACGGAGGGATAGAACGCAAAACATCTTTAGAACTGTCTGCAGTACCTGGATTCAGAGGTGCTTTGGGATTCTCTGCATCTGTGTCCGGTGCGGTAGGCTTCACATCAGGTGTAGTAGGAGCAATTAGTGGCTTTGGTTTGGTTGATTTCTGGATACAAAACATGCACAGACATCTCATCAGTATTTGTAATTACCATGCCCACATATTGAAGATAAGTCGAAATCAAAACTGAAGACGATGTGGAAGATCCCACAGTATAACGATATAATGATAATCCGCAATACTTTTTAGAAAATCCGCAAATCCCCTTGATAGAAACAATTGCATCCCGAGGACTTTGCATAACGTCATGCTGGTAATGTCACCCGGTTGGGGTTTCTCACTCGAGTGAGGAAGTTGGAAAGCTTACATGTCGTGCGATAAGAGGGGTCGATATAAGCGTGATGAGAGTAATGAGAAGCCACCATATCCACCAGTACTTTGCGGTCATTGTTATGCCTACTGTCACAAGCAGCAGCAAAATCTGTTCACGCAAATGGTGGATTAGCACGAGGTCATGACACCGAAACGAAGAACTGATGTAGCCGAAAATTAATGGCGAATGAATATTTTGTCAAGCTGCGAAAGTGTAATGCAAGGTTAGTACCTGCATAGGTCCTCCATATTTTAAGAAGTCAGAGAATTTGTACCCTCCTGGTGTATAGACCATCAGGTTCGTTGGACATCCAGTTGGTGTCATGAACCCCGCAGAAGCCGCCATCATCAGGATGTAAGCGAACGGGCGGAAGTCGAGTTTCTGATGATTTGCGGCTGCCAGTGCGACCGGAAACATAATGGTCACAGCAGCACTGTTGGTGATGGCCAAAGAGAAGAATGTCGTAGCGACGTAAGTGCACACAACTAATCCGAACTGCATGTCATTGCTTTCAGTTAGATCTGTCAACACGGTCGAAAATAAAGTTTATCGACAGCAGCGATTGGCTGGCAATTATGTGCATTCAGAATAATTCACGATGGAGCTGTTGTTCATGAATTTACAACTCCAACCTTGGAACCGTGCATGATGACATGAATTCTCTTCAGCCTTGAAACACGCATTTTAAGTAGGTTGCAATTGTTTGATAAGGTCGTTTCTCTCAACAAGGCTCACATATATAGAAACATCTTTTCTAAACTGGCAGGATTCATTGGCACGTCTGTACTTATTTTTCACATGAATGATGGCTGTGCATACCAGAGATGTTCCAGCTAAACCCATGAGACCCTTAGCCAATATAGTAGCCGCTCCGCTTTCAACCATTCCTTCCGCAATTCCGAAGGCTGCCGCGATCATGATCAGCACTGGGAGCTCAATCGACTCCTGCAAGCGTGATGCTGCAGCGTTGTGGATTAATGAACGTTTTGGATGTAATTATAAGGGTCGGCAAAGTAGCGGCGATCTTCTAGCTTTCATAAAAGAACAGCGACAATATGTTCTACACGAGATCGTCTCCGAACTTTTACCATTCCAGTTTCCTACCTTACAGCAAGAGCTCAGACCTGTAAACCTTGCCTCTCAGAACGAGCATCGATGGCACCCCGTAAAAAGAAAATTAGACCTCGAATTCGGTGGACAGAATTTGCGTTCGATTACATTGTTCTGCATATATGTTTGAAGTGCCTCATTTGCTCCACAAAATCATGTTCCGACTGAGAATTAACAAAACGAAGATCCAAAGCAGTGTGAGATTCTTGTTTGGATCAAGCGATTACCATCGCATCACGAGGAGTGAGGCATTTGGTCATCAGCAGGCCTGCTGAGGAGAACAGGGCAGCCGTGATTAATTTCATTCCTAGGCCGCTAGCCACCACCAGGAACAGTACAAGTACGGCAGCAATACCCGCCTTTTTCCTATTGAGAGGCTTGAATCCTGGCAGCTGACCGTCAATGAAGCCTTTCATTCATTGGTAAACTGATAATTAAATAGACAACACACACTTAACGAATGAATCCAAATATACGATTAACGAGCAGTGATTGATCCTACAATATAGGCTATGGTCGGTTCATATTAAAGTAAGGACAGTCTTAAGTTAAAATGAGATCTGTGGTGTAACTTGAGGGCAAAATTTCTCTTGATTATATAGCCATATAATCAAGAGGAATGTATATCCTTCATATATATACATATATATATATATAGTAGTTAGTAGTTTTCTGAATTCCCAATCAGTTCAATTAGATCACTGTACTCAGCTTCATGACCTTCATCTGAGATGACCCACCTGAGCGACGAGGGCAAAAGCTGAATTGTTCCTGTGCTTGCTCACAAACTCTGGACCATCAGCCACCATTAGAAGGCAATCTCCCGCTTCTACTTTGATATCGCCAATAGCGCTGTACAGGAAACGGACTTCAGAAACAAGAAGCTAAGACACAAAAGGCATCATTGTTACCAGTTGGTTACAAGGGAACACTTTTAGATTAGTATTCTCGATGCCTAACTGATCATGAGCAGCTACTACGTTTGTCAGTTGATTGAACATTCACATCAACGATACGAGGGACTACGCATGGAGCAAACTTTCATTCTTCTTATGAACATGTGATTTACAGTGGATGTTCCACTCTGAACCGGATGGTTTTATTACCTGCTCAACCGTGTTCCATAACGATGTATGGCTACTATTGAGGCTTTGTGCTGCTCCCGAAACTGAAGATCAGCAATGCGCTTGTGAACCATGGGTGATTCTGATGCAACAACAGCCTCGACCAAGCACTGGCTTGTCTTGAGTCGATTAAGATCAACCTGACCTTGTCCCTGTCGCAAAGTCGATAAAAACTTATTTCACTCAGTTGGAATGTTGTTCAATCGTGCACCTGCATAGGGTGGCATCATACATCACATATGCTTGAAGTTTCACTTACTGTGCAATTTGGCAGATCAACTGCGTAACAAACCTATGTAAGTCTATGCAGAATGCTTATTCAGGGTTACTCAGGAAAAGCTGAAACTGCTTTCAATATCTTTTGACACCTTATGTAGATCGTAAGGTTTAGACATTCGTAGGCGAGGCTCGCGACAGGCTAGGATTTTCGGGACATGAGTGACTGTGAGTGCAGCATTTACGCCTACCTCATCTTCGGTGAGAGCCAGTCCGTGGAGTTGTACCAGGAGAAGCACGGAGTCGATAACTCCAACAAAGTGAAGGCGATCTTCAGGCTGCAGAACAAAGTCTGGGCCAGGAAGTTTTGTCTCTGTTCCAGCTCTGTCTACAGAGAGCAAGGTAAGTCCTGGTAGGCGATTTAAACCACACTTTTCAATGGTCTTCCGTGCCAAGCTGGAATTTGGTTTCATGACGAGCACAACATTGTACTCCCTGGAATATAGAATGACAATGTTCAGATTGAGTCCATTCCTGCGTTTCGTTCAATTGTTCCCATTCAACTCGCACAATGAGTTGCTTGAGAGACCTGGCTACAGGCCTAGCTGCCTGAATTGAAAGTCATATTTATAGGGCTGCAACATGCATTTTAGCTTCGCTTGTAGCTTCCTCAAGCAGCACAGTGAATTCTTTCAGCCCATTACGAGTTGAGACATGACTTCTAGTTGGTGTTTTCCGGGTAAGACGTCACCTGGCATTCAAATTGCTTGCCTGCTGAGCCATGCGATCAGGAAGTAGCTTTCCGGAGAATGCTAGGATGTAAAAAATTCCTGCGATCGTCACTGGCACACCAATTATGCCAATTTCAAATAAATTCATCTTCATGTCGGGAAGCTTCTGTGCTGCCATTGATAGAACCACAAGATTCGTACTAGCACCAATGAGAGTCATTGTGCCGCCCAATTGTGCTGCATAGCTCAGTGGCATAAGCATCTTCGAAGGAGGCAAGTTTACCTGAAAAGCCCACCACTTTCTACAGTTGCAGAAACTGTAGATCGTTTACCATGCAGCGCAAATATGAGTTCCGAGGAAAATATTAGAGTGTTGCAGACTTAAGGATCGAGGATATGAAAGAAGTACCTTCTTCCCGAATTCCACAATAGGAGGGATCATCATGGCTACCAGAGGGATATTGGCCAGGAAAGCGCTGAAGATGGCCACGGGGACGCTGAACTTCAAAAGCACCCATACAATACTACCTTTGGTTTTACTTGGACGAAACCCAGGCAGCAGTTCCTTTGTTTTGTCTGGAGTTCTGAACAGCACAGATGCGACATACTCCAGACCTCCGGACTGTTCTATACCTGAGGATCGCAACAAAGAACACCTGATTAGATTACCGCAACGTACTGGACCTTCGGAAGCTTAGGAGATCACCAGCTCTCAGAACTGGAACTCCAAGAGGTTGACGTGCGGAAGGTAGCAAAGGAGACCAGCAGTAAAAGACGCTGCCCAACGTCACACACACTTGCCTCTTGCAACAACGAAAAGAACTGCCACGGACAGCATGGCCTCGTCCGCGAATCCATGCAACGCAGCATCGACGTCGAGAATCGAAAGAGCTAAGAAAATGACCAGGGTTCCCATCATAACCAGATAGGGAGGCGCGAGTTCCGCCACCAGCGCAATCAACATAAATCCAATTAATCCGAGCACAGTGTATCCTTGCCATCCTTCAATTTCGGGTATAACGAAAGGTGGCTTGATAGCGGAGAAATTTGTTGACATTTCTGCCTGAAGGGCTCCTGGTCTATATATATCCTCTCTACAGCCCCATCGGCTCGATACCAACTTTCATATTTCTTTCATGGAACTTTCCGGTCCATCCACTTCCCGTACTGGTTTTCCTCAGCTGCCACATGCCTGACGTTTGGCCCTGCCATAGTGTGAGTAAAGTATTTGGAGCAGGAGTTTCACTTACATTCCATGTGCTCAGTCAATTCAGCATGCTCAATTCACAGAAAACGAGTAGTTATTAAACTTTTGCTGTTATTGGTAAGCTTGCTAAAGCTTCAGTTTTTAAGATCGTGTGCATGTCTGACTCCCCAAATTTTCTTGGCATTGGGTCATGACAAGGTGAAGCTCATTTTCCAAGAAGAAGTATCCATAGCATTAGCAGGTAGACGTTATAAAGTTTATCTCACATGGTATTTGGAAATGTTGGAGCTTTGGCATCGGGTGCAAGATGTATATTCGCCTAATAAGCTCAGAGCTCCTGAGGCCAGTTCAGTTTCACGATTAGCTCCGTAACTCATCTCGTCCCTCGAGACGAAAGTTTACAAAATTTACTTCCATTCAGCGTAACAGGTCTGACGACCGAGCACTCACGTTCAAATGACGCTAGTGTTGTAATTATCAAGCTAAGACAAGGGCTTTTCTCCCCTTCTCGACGGTAGCTCCATCTCCAGAAGAAGCTACAACTTTCAAGATACATGTACCGAAGCTGGAATAGAACCGAGACCCCGGCTCTACGAGCGGGGGTCTCGGCTAAAGAGCAAGCGAATTTTGGAACGTGCACATTTCTGCGGACCGGTGATTGTGAACTCTGAATGAAAAACTATGGAAGCAACATCAGGATTTGTGTCACATAACTTCACCGAAAATCTTCTCTCCGATCACCTCAAATTATAGCTGATCATTGCGGTTTGGTTTCGCTTGAAAAATCTCATCTCACGAGCAAAGAGGTTCACTCACTGAAAACAACTTCAAAAATTCTTGATTCAGACGACGGCGAAAACCTCAAAGAAACAGAAGCTCCGCGGACTGCTCGCCGCCAACATCACGACGCTGTGAGCCGAAAGTTCGATCGATCGATCGATCGGTCGCGCTAGCAGCACGAAGAATGGCATCGCCGAAGTATCGACGATTTGAACAGGTGATTGCAGCAGCGCCGGCGCCAGAAGGCAACGGGCGCAGAGCTGCAGCCTTCAGCGGAAACTGCTGAGCTCGCTCGCTGCTCGGACTGCCGTCCCACGTGGCGGAATCTCCGAGCGGGCGACAGTACGGACTGCACTAACCCGAACTCTCTTCTTGGAGAAGGCGTTTCACAAGCTCCCGCGCCCGGCGCGCCGGAGGTTCTTACAGTAACGCTTCCAGCCGGCAGTCGCGAACTTATAATTTAACCTCCGTCACTTTCCGACGGGTGACGTCGACTGAGTCGAGTTTAGGGTATAAATATCAGTGCATTATATTCTTCAGTCTCCATGATATCAAACGCTCATTTAATTACTGTACTTATAAGCTTAATTTAAGTGATCTAAGAGTTCTCATGACACGACTTCGAAAGAAACCTGCGTAACTTTCCGACAGCAATGCCGTATAGTGAGTCGAGTTTAGGGTATAGTTATGAGTGCATTATAATCTTTAGTAATTTCTTTCATATATAAACTTAATTTAAGTGATCTAATGTGTTGGACCCTACTTGTCTCAGCTCCAGCAAGCTTTGTCTCGGCATCGCCAGAGGGAGAACCTCGGCTGGCGCTGTGGATCCACGGAGAGCATGCGCAAAGGCAACTCTGAACAAAACGCTCGATCGTCGGGTGTGACATTGGTGCCAACTTCTTCCCGATATATTCGAGTCTAAGTGTCGTGGATGCGTCTTGAATGTCTACCGATGCTTCATGCATGACTTACTTATTGCACTCAAAACACTGACACTGTAAAATGTGAATCGTGATTGCTGGTCCGCCGCTCGACGCGGGGTGCTGACAAAAAAGTGGAAGCCGTGAGCGAGCATGAAGTAGAATATCAAATTCTGTTAAGGATCTTGCTGTCATCCATTTCGGTCTTTTCTGCTCCACTGAGAATGGAGCATGAAAGGAATCCACCTGCTAAGAAGATCCACCAGACTGTTCGGGTAACCGGATCCACAACAGGCTACGATAGAATTGCTCCGTCTTTTGCAACCTATGTAGACAGTGTAATTGGTCATGTCCAGGCTTGGCTATATTAGGCGACCGAATAGACGGTTGACTAAATTTTATGTTTATTAGGCGATTAAGGGAGGTGCGATTATAACCAATGGAGAGTGGACACGTATGTAGAATTCATGGATTTTTTAATCTTTTAAAAATTAATATAAATTTAAAAAATAATATTTTTTCAGAAAAAAAATTTAACAAACTAAATTAGCTAAATTAAATTTTTAGAAGTTGAGTTGGTCTAAATTATCTTTTTTTAAACTAAATTAACCTAATTTAATATTTTAAGGAAACTAAATTTGACTAAATTAATATTTTTGAGTAGACTAAAGTAATTTTTTCTAAGATACTAAATTATATTTATTTAGTTAATTTAGACGAGTGACTACTATATCCATGCGTGATCATGTCAATAGGTAGTTAACGGGAATCTCGTTGTGACAGCCAGTTGTACATAATCAGTACCGCAACCATTTGATAATATACTTAATGTATCCACTAGTATAAAGAGAATGTTTACTGGAGTTTTTTTGGAGTTCTTACATACATCTTCTAACAATGAGAAGCTCAAAAGTCTCGCTATAGTTAAATTTTTTTCTAGACTAAAATCAACTTACATTTCGATGGATTTATATCATGACTGCAAACGTCGATGAGAACCGAACTTTTATCTAGCTTTCAGAATGTGAGCCAATTAGTCTTTTCTATGTTTGTTCAATCGCATGTAGCTATCTACGATGTTCTGTACCCTTTGTAGAACTCACTAACCATTATTTACCAATACTTAAAAAAAATTTGTAGAGATAAAAAAATAATTATTCAAAACGTACACTTCTCATTCTAACTACAATACTGGAGACCGTTGAAAGTAACTCTAGACTCTAGGGTTTAGAACGTAAGGGGGTTACGTTCTAAACCACACACCACCTGACAGGTGAAAGTTTTGACTTCAAGTATGAAACTTTGGAGAAATGTGAAATATGAATTTCTAAAGATAAGACATGTTTTAAATCTCGAAGACTTACGCAATTCAAGGAGTAGAAAGTAGGGAAAAACCAGAGTTCAACGGTACGTAAATTTTGGTGTGATATATTCATCTTAAAAAAATATCACAAAATAATAGAGACAAAAGAATTATCATATTGAAATTTTAATATCGAAACTTTAATCTACATTATATAAACAAATTTTCACAAGTTTTGATCCACAAAGATAAATATACATTTGGAAACAAGTTTTGCTAGTTTTTTAAGTCATAAATTAGTCTGAATTAGTTGCTTATAGCATGTTGTTTGAACTTGAGAGTATATTTTGAAACTTCTCGTGCAAAGTATGGAAAAATTTAACTCAAACAATGACTTTATCAAGTATACTAATATAATTGTTTAAGATATTCGTTCAAACTATTTTTTGCATTAGCTTTAATTGTATATAAAAATAAATTTTTGTATTATTTATTGTTATTTTAAAAAATTCTTGATAATTCTTCAGCTTCGAAACCAGTTAAGTATATTTATTTATTTATCATAATTGTAGTCTATGTATAGTCAACTATATCTACTGGATTGAATTGATAGCCATAATCCATTACGTAGGATGTGTTGATTCTTTTTTATATAAATCAATTTGCATTATATTGTGCTTAATAAAAATTAATCCTTACTGTACTATGCTATGTTATAAATTTAATATTGATTAGTGATTATTTGCAATGATTATTGATTAATAAAGAATAGAAAATTTAGCAAGATTATTTCTCTTTACAGTTAATCAAAGTACAAAATGATTTGAAACAAATATCATCTGTATAATACGATAATATGATTTTGTATGTATATTATGTATGTAGCTCAGTCTATTCTATTATTACTTATAATAATTCTTCTTTGTAAAATTATGTGTTTAAAACTGTTGCACCTATTGAACCAGAAAATGTGTGTTATAGCTATAAATCATTGCACAACTTTTTCATATATTTTCATGAAATTATTTAGTTTATGTATGCAATATATCATCCATGCATAAAATCCGGATATCGTATTCGTATGTTGGACTAATTTAGCTCAATCAATTTTCGACAATTTAGCTCACTGAGAAGTCGACCCCAAAATGTTTGATTTGTCAACTCTTAGTCTCATTAGCAACATTTTCTGCACATCAAAATAATTTTCAACCAAAAGCTTCCAAAACCTCAATTCTCCACACCAATTCTGATCGTAGTAGAAAGGAAAAAGGAGAAATCGAATTTCAATGCACATGATATTTACGAAGATCAACCCGGAAACATAGTTAGAAGAATGATTCTATGCTGACTTTTTTCTCGCGAATAGCTCAGCAACATAGAATGAACAAATTTAGCTACTTCATGATGATTAGTCGCAGCAATAACGACGATCTAAGAATAACGGAATATTAAAACCCATAAAATATCGAAGAAGAATTATAAGTAATATTAAGAATAATATTTATTTTAAGAATAAGAATATATGCGAAGAAAGGAAGATTAAGAATGATGTTTATCATAAGAATAATAAGATATTCGAAAAATATTCCTTGTAAATAATTTATCGAAGAAAACGAAGAATGCAACTTGGCTCCTCGTCTTCGCCTGACGGCCAAATTTAAAAAACGAGGAAGAGCGAAACTTCTCGCGTTGGGTTAAACCCTATCTCAGAGTATGTCGACGCGCTGCATTTCTTATGGAAGGGGAGGCTTTGGAGAAATTTCTGTGCGGGCAGCGCGTTCAGGAGCAGAGGAAAAGAGTGCGAGAGCTCGCGCAGAGCGCAAGGACGATCGAGGAAAGTTCGGCCTCCCTTCTTGGCGGAAAAGCGTCTGACGAATGAGCGAGCACTCGCGAAGCACTCGGATGATTCCGGAGCTGAAAAGCCAAAATCCCAGGCAGCCGATCGGGAGATCTTTTTTTCACAGACCAATGCGTTGCTGACATATTTCTGAGGCGTTTTCAGCAGCTTCTTCCTTCTGCGAGCGGCGGACTAATTTCGTTTCGTGGACTGCACAAAACGACGCGGCCCGATCGTTGTCCTCACGGGCTCTGAATCTGCTTCCACGATTCCGTGGACGCTCTAGTTGGTCCATCCGTCGGACGTCATGGCAGAGGTGAGTTCTTTGGCATCTCATATAAATGGGCGAAGTGCAATTGAAGGAGACTTAGAGCTCCAGCCCTGGAGCCTTTGCAGAGGTTGAAAGTGATCTCTTATTTCCTTCTTGTGCTTGTGCTGGGCCTGTGTGTAGTTTCCAACCTCATTTGCAGAGGATTGTGGTCTGATCATCGCCGGAAACTCATTCTACTCCTCCCGATCTGAACTCTGTGGAGGGCTAGGTCTCATTTCTTTCAAGCGTGAATTGAATGCTGGTTTTGGGTTTTTTTGTAGGTTGCGGGAGCTGTTTCTCCCGAAGAGATGGGAATAGACAACCAAAGCGTGCGTCCTGAGGACGGAAGAAGTGACGATGGGTCGCTGCTGTTGCTGATTTTTCTTTTTCTGCTGACGCTACCGGCTGCGTATCTTGTCAACGCCGGAGTTCCAGGCGGCTACATGGATGAAGAGTTTCACTTGAACCAAATGGAACATTATTGTCGTGGAGATTTTTCGTACTGGGATCCCAAAATTACAACTTTCCCGGGATTGTACTTGGCTTCGCTGATCTACGGAGAAGTTCTGTTGCCCGGGGCTGATGTTTTGGATTATGGGGCTACATTGGCTGAGATTTGCAAGCCTGCCGTTCTCAGGTCCTTGAATTTGCTCCTCTTCGGTATTTGTGCAATGCTGTTTCGAGAAATCGCGATGCACCTTGATCCAGAACGGAACCCCATACGAGCTACTTTAAAAGCCTTTGTGCTTTCCTTGTACCCGCTCCATTGGTTCTTTACTCTCCTGTATTACACGGAGATGGGCTCTGCAACAGCTGTGATGGCCATGTATCTTGCGACCCTCAAGCATTCGTACTGGATCAGTGCTCTGTTTGGAATGGTGGCCATTTTGTTCCGGCAGACGAATGTTGTGTGGGTTTTCTTCGTTCTCGTTGTCGGGGTGCTAGATTTTTTGGACAATATGACGCCGTTGAGAGGTGTGCTCGATCGTCAAGCTCAGTCTGACGAGCAAGCAAAAGAGCTTTGCGAAGACAACGAGAGGGATCGAATTTCTTCGTTGAACGAGCCTTCGGTAGATGGATTGAGGCAACGACAATTCGGCAGGCGAAACTTGAATTCTGGGTCAAACGTGGAGCTGGCTACCACTTCCTTCGATTCTCCAAATTTTTTGAATTCTTTGGTTGCAGATGTAACGCAGTTGGTCAAGCATGCGATGAGTCAGAGGAACGCACTCTTGCGTAACTTCAGCCCTTTTCTAGTGGTGCTCCTTGCCTTTATCGGTTTCGTTGCAAAAAACGGCAGCGTTGTGGTTGGCGATAAGAATGCACACAAGGTTTCACCTCATTTTGCTCAGATTTTATATTGTGGCTTCATTTGTGCGGCTTTTCAAGCTCCTGCTCACTTCAATAAGCACAGGATCAAGTATCTAATTGGGGGTTTGAAGCGAAATGCAGTGGGCACGTTGGGAACGGTGTCGATTTTGGCAGCCACATTTGCAGTGATCGCTGTTAAGTACTACAGCACTCCCCATCCTTACTTGCTAGCAGACAATCGCCATTTCACATTTTATATCTGGAAGGATGTGATTCAAAGACATTGGACGCTAAAATACCTCGCAATCCCAGTCTATCTCTATTCATGGTTGTCCATACTATCGTCACTAGCTGAGAAGCAGAAGCCATTATGGATCGCTGCTTTCTTCTTGGCTGTTGCCGGGGTGGTTGTGCCTACACCCCTTCTCGAGTTTCGCTACTACAACATTCCATTCTATTTCATCTTTCTTCATGCCTCTATTACCTCGTCGAAGAAAAGAAATTCTATACTCTTCTCTACTCCTGTTCAGTTTATGTGCATCAATTACTTGACAGTGTATATCTTTCTTAATTGGACATTTCAGTGGTCAAATCAGCCTGGAGTAGCTCAGAGATTTATGTGGTGAGGTGTCAAATAGAGACCCGTAATTCTACTGTTCTGATTTGCCCAGAGCAATATCTAAGAGCCGGACCATTATGTCATGTCAGGGAGTTCTTATAGGTTCTGATGGAACAGTTAAAGCAGCCACTCGGCTGCTTCTTGGCTGCCCAGAACATTCTAGGTAATGCAATTTTGGGTATTGGTGTAGTGCGTCGGATTAGCACATAGTCTTCAAGTAGGATCCCGCTGTATCTATATAGATGAACAGTCTTGAGTGTATCAAATTGGCCGAGGAATCCGTTTGTAATATAGCAACCATTGTAGATGCAGCAACTTGATGCCCAGCTTGTCCAGATTGTAATGTAATCTTAGTGAAGAGAAAGAGGTAGTTCGAGCCATTTGTAGACTGGCACACGAAGTTAGAGCTTAGATGATTGAGGAATACCTTCATTTTCGTTGTTTTCAGAACATTATCTTCCAGTGGGTGAAAGCCCTGATTGAGGAGAAAACGGGATGAGCATTGTGCTTTCCATTGAAGACATGTTGGACGTGTGAACTTACATATGCATAACATGCGATCTTGTTTCCCGCATATTAAGTGGCTGAGATTGTGTTTGCTGATAAAGCTTTATGTTGGTGTAGACACTCTGAGCAATAATTTCAAACGTCACTCGGAGTTTTTTACATGTTCCAGCTATTGGATGCGAGCACAGTGAACCTCGATATGACTGCTGGATCTGGAAGCGCATGCGAACTTGAGCAACTACTCTAACAGTAGCCTGTGTTCCTCCGCTGATTGGGCACACTGATATTGTACTGCTGTCTAGTGCAAGTAAGCAGAGACCCCAGACCCATCCTGCTGATTAAGTAGATTACGTGATAGATTTCGTAGATTTTCGTGATTCTCGTGTTTTCGAAGTGAAGTACACTCCCTAGATGCGAGACGAATAACATTCTAAACTTTCATCCAGTCACAACTACGAAACAGCAGTGCCTAATGAATAACTATAGTATTCAAGTTCATTGCAAAGCGACAGAGAAAGTCACTGGCAAGAGTGTGAGATCGGAGAAATTCAAGGAGACAAGTCTTGTATGCCAAGACAACAACACGTCGTTGAAGTGTCGGAAAGGTACACCCTCATAATCACAAAGAGTGCACAATCCTATCGACTGGAGGAACATTTCGACAGTTCCCGGTATGTCTTCACGTGCACGTGAACACATATGCAGGAATTAATCTTTTTACTAGATAAGATCCAAGATCAACTTCTTTAAAGATTACATGTCCAATTGTCATATTAGCGATTCAGGAGATAAATATTTCATAACACAAACGCATTATTCATAAATTTTTCCCCAATTTCTTTCCAACACAGCCTCCATATCAAAGGAAAAACTTACAAAATCTCATCCGAATTCTACCCCTTGAAATGTAGGCATCCAAAAGGTTCTAACGAGGATTCTGTCGCAAATGCAGAATCCACTAAAACTGTTTTTGTATCTGCCATCTACCTCACTCAGTATGCATCCATATGACTAATGATAACTATAGGTGTGTATGTATAATTGCGGTATTATACCCATGGTATTATACAACACTCCCAAATCATACATTGTATAATAAAAAGTCCGTCGTGGAGTCCGCACAAGTGTTGCTGTATTGTTACAAGTGTAGGATTTTTCGTAGACTCTATGACTATAGAAATGGCGAAGCAAAAAGATGCTATTTGGTAGAAGTTTGAAGCTTGATAGCGGATATCAGTCTGAACTTGAAGAATACCCCGTCCATGATGCTGGTGGTGATCGCGTTGACATTTGCTAGGGAGTTGAAGGCATGAGGAGGATATCTTCAAGGCCGAGTAGATGATGGACGAGGATAACATCTGGGAATGATAATACAAGATTTTAGAGTATCATATGAGGTGGATCTCTGAGTGTTATATTATATATTTGGTATTTTACTACGCAGTCCACGAAGAATCCAATTATACAAACCCATATTGATAACACGCCTAGTACAGATGGGAGTTATTGACACCAGATATTTTGATAAAATAAATACAAACATATCTTCTACAGAAGACATCGGCCCCATAGTCTAGTGGTTACGACATTGGACTTTGAATCCAAGAGCCCGAGTTCGAATCTCGGTGGGGCCTTTTTAGTAGGGAGGGTGTGGCAGTAACATGATGTCCCACCTTAGGGATCCAATTTTGTTTTTCTCACTTCGGCAGCGATGGTCTTAAACTTGTTCGAATAGTACTGGTCCTAACAACCTTCGGAGTTTTAAAGTGAGACATTCTACCGGTGAAAATACCCACTATTGAAGACGATGAAAGAACAAATGACCGACATTTTCACGAGAGTTGCCATGTTAGAGAAATCCATGCACCGAACGGGAAGAGGATAATTAGTCTTTGATAGACTAATTATCCAGTTCATCTTGCGATCAGTTTTCCCGATCAAGAAAGGGCGAGAGATGCTTCTTCGCATTTCCTACACTCAATGTAACCTTCACATATCTTCCGTGAACTCTACAATTCTGGTTGAAGAAAACCTACGCGTTTTACAGATCTGGATTTGCCTGGTCCTGCGTTACAGCGACTCTGTTACCGCATGGCACTCACGATCCTTTGAAAGCACCTCTGGCAAGTATGTGTTTAGCACAACGCCTGTATCTCAAATCACAGCGTAAGCAGATAGTGCAAGAGATTGGATTTGTTTGATGAGTATCGATACAACCCACTTGGACATATAGAGAGGTTCGTTTACTCACAGTAGAGCAACCGAGGGTATAACAAAATTATCAAGTGAAAGCAACAAGTTAGTATAGCATAAGAGTGCAGCAAAGTACAGTTAGCAATCGGCGAGAAAAACCGTTCCTCTAATCCAGAGATCAAGGCTCTCGGAGTTTACATTTTCCAGTTGGATATCTCATATACTGATTTTAGAGGATTTTGAATTCCTGTCCAATAATCATGTGCCTAGCTCCCCATGTTCTTTCTTTAATGGTGACTGATTGAGATTGCATGCGTGCAGAATTCATTATCGTACAATAGCATGCCATAGCCTTGTGTAGTAGTTACTTCAGTAGTTAGATATTTGTGTGCATTATCACACACAGCCCTTCCAGTTCTCATTGGATTCGCCGTTAATGCCAACTTTTGATTGTTGTCTTAATTGGTAGAGTTTGAATTCTGGATATTAAGTTGAAACAAAATAGTACGACTATCGTGGGAAATGGCCACGAACAGTAAATTGAACTTTTCCTGTCATAAAGTGTATGTGGAATCAATGGAATCGAAACTCATATTGTGAGTGATTCCAAAAGTGTTGTCAGTTATTTGATACTCGGATTTTACTACTAGAGACTTTGTTTCTGACTTACCAGTTTTTTTTTTTTTGAGTTCTTGAATAAAATGAAATAAATTATGTTTGACTACAAGGTATCAGTTCAAAGTCCATGGACACATTCAAAGTTGTAAAATTATAGCAGCTCTAAAGGATTCAATTTAATACTTACGGTTATAAAAAATTTAAATTCACTAAATATATTAATATAGTATGTGAATATTGCAACAGGGCGCAAATTAGTCAAGACACTTTAGCGAGTGTATCCCACTTAATTCAATCTCCATTGGACATGTGATACATGCATAGAGCGGAAGTTGATATTTATATCGAAGAGATAAACAATAGAGAGTATAACCTCCTAATAGTGTAATCTTGTTTGAATGATATCGAACTCCAATCATTAGTTTGTAACCAGTAAGTTTGCCTTGTAATAACAGTGAGTCACTAATGGCCATAGTGACATGATATTATTCAACAATGATAGTTTCAAGTAATATTTCGGAGTTAAAATTGATCAGAGCCGTGATTAAGTGGAATGTGACATACGCCTATTTAAACATCTATCTCAATAGTTCACTCTTTCTGAGCCTCAGTACAATATTTCACTAGAGAGAATATCATTGATTGTTGCAACGATCCAACTTTCTCAAATTTTTGTGCAGGTATCCATGTTCAAACGCAAATGTATGAACATTGTTGTGTACAATACCGAATAGTAAATGAACGAAATCTTGGAGCCAAATAATACACTTACAGAATGTTATGGGACGGGTCGAACGTCCAATAAGAATGTTGCGCACTATCCTCTTGTGAGTGACATCCCCCCATAATAACATCCAACCAATTTGTGACTATTGGGAGGTTATACTATGTCTTGTCTTAATCACTTGAATATCTTTGTACAATTCATACATCGCAACATGAAGGATTTTTCTTGGAATAAGTGGTCAATTTGCAGACTAGCAAAACATGCATCTATATCTACATCTTTGACTTTAAGCTCAGATTTGATCTTAGAAAGAACTATCATGATACTTTTGATCACATAAATTGTGATCATAACTGTGAGAATTATAGCTAGGAATGAAACGAGAGCATGAATAAAAACGGGAAAACCAACAGAAGCAATAGAAAAGAGAAGTCATGGCCACAAGACACAAACCGCGGGCGAAAGTCCGCGGTTTGTGTAGGAGGCGTGGGATAGTACTTTTAGTTGTGTTGCAAAGTTTTAGCTCCATCAACCCCTCTTAGTTTCTCTGGCATAAAACTTTGAAGATCACTTTGTATCTTGGGACACATTAATGATTCTCTGAAGCCACGTAATTGCTGATGATGAACAATAATCAACAACAAAAGAGTATATTGGACTCTCCAGTGCTAGAGCCCAATACAGTTTTGAAGAGACTTAAGCTGATGGAGAGATTTTGCATCTGGACAGGAATTCATGCGTTTTGTCGTGAATTATCAATTAAGTTAAATCTAATGATTGCATGCGAGTTATCCACGAACAGTGTGTAGGACCATAGTTGTACATCAGGAGCTTCCGTGATTTAGACTGGAACAAGATGTGCCCCGTTGCTTGGAAACATTACCGATCCACTCCTGGCCAGAACATTTTGCGGGGTTCAAACTACGTATAGGGAGTTTCGCGTATGTATGATCCTCCAAACGTGAACATCCCCTTTAAATTTCATGAATGAAGTGATTAACGAATATATTACGGCCTGCGATGCTGAACGATCATCGCAAGCTGTTTTACATTAAGCTCCATGATATCTCCATGTACGTGATTCACTTCAGTAGTTTCGGCATCCGGATATTGACTCACACCTAATGCCGCAAACGTAACCCACGTCTCATGGTCGACGTTTACAAAGTCATACAAACTCGACTAACTAGGTAAAAGAGCAAATTCTCAGCTGCATCTCAATCACGAAAATAGATGAAGATGAATTCCATAGAAGCAGTCCGAATCTGTTTATTGAGAGAAGAACTCTTCAAAACATTGAGTTCTAGGATTTTCACAAGATACTACAATACTACAACTTTGGACTTGCCTCGATGCAGAAACGGCTACTCCCTCAATCTCCGCTCTGAGAGATCTGCAGCTCCACATCTCAGAAACTGCATCTCAAACATTACCCGTTCGGCCTATAGCCTATACATATTTACTCTATGTGATGAAAGAAAACGAACGAGAAGAAGTCAAAGGCCACAAATGGGTAGCCAGTCGGAGGATATCTACAATGAAATAGAGGATGTACTGTACACAAACTGAAAAGCATATTTTTTTTCCAAAAGAATCTGTCATGAATATATGTACAGATGGAGAAGAAGGATTGAACATTTGAATGTCTGACGTAGCAGTCTGCAGCTCCACTCTTGTTCAGATGGTCGGACCTCCTGTTCGGAGACCTTCTCGAAAAGCATGTCTGTGGTTTTGCTGTAATCTTCTTCTCATATAACTGGTTATGTCACCAGTCTTCTTTCATGACTTTAGCTTTTTCAAGTATATATTTTCCTTCTTTGTACTTTTGGGCTTCATCATAAGCCCTCTCATACTTCCAACCAAGAACTTCTTGGCACTCTGTACACTGGATATCTGCTACTGTATGTAGTCCCGTAATTAGCTGCCGATCTTCCTTCGGGCCGACAAGAACATTGACGACATTTTGAAAGAGATAGGCCCGGCCATTTCTTCCCTGCACAATAACGTAGTAACTCTCCATGAGCAAGAATGTAATGTCTGAAAGTGCAAGATTCTATGCCGCAACAAGGAAGTGTTTGCAATTCATTTCCCAAGCTTCATTGCTCTTGAAGAAGTCCCAGACAAGACTGAATTCAGTCTACTTGACGAGCTACTAAGAGCATTACTGATGGAAGCATTCGGTGGCCACAGTCGGAAAAGAACAGACAAGTCAGAGGGCGATTACGTTTTAGGGATGATGTATTGCAACTGAGACTAACGACTCGATACGGGAAGATACCCGGAGACTCGACGAACATGGCCAGCTTCTTAGGTTTGCGAAAGTCACGTGCAGTGATTTAAAAATCACGTACTTTTAAAACCCCAGCTATATGGCTCCTGATATCGCAGTTACTTGCCATATCAGGATCTCCTCTGTAACTGTTTCATATATGGAATATCTAAACGTTCATAAGCAGAAAGGAAAGAACATAGATAAGATCGACGATAGCACGAATCTCATCATCCATACTAGCATTAATTAATTTTCAAGTTTACAAGTTTATTTCTGTGATTTGAACTGGAAGCTGTAAGAGGTCAAAAAACCAATGAGGTCAAATCAACAAGGTAGGCGTCTTAAAGATAGGACTGCAGACTGGAAAGTGATGAATATACAAAGCAGGAAGGTCGTGCAGAAAACAATCCACATACGTCTGCCTAGAACTATGATGAAATGAAGATAGCATTAACGAATGGTTTTTAAGATGATGGTGTACAGACAGACATCTGATTGAAGTCGCTTTGTCATACATATATCCACAGAACGTTGTGAATGAGAGATTAACAATCTCCCTACTGTTCCTGGAAAGAAGAGAACATTCGACATGAGCTGAAGAGCCTCATAAGAGTTGGCACAAACTAATAAAACGAGGACACCTTCCGCCTCGGATCTCTGAACAAGAAGACGACACATTTCTAGAAGCCAGCATCAGCTGGGATCACTAGATAACAATGTATACCAAAAATACTTGTGGGAAAATTGAGAGGCTATAAATTTTCATGAAGTGTTCTGATTGTAGGGACTGGTCATGGCCACCTCCAAATGCTTGCTAGAATTTACTATAGCCATCATGACCATAGAGAAGGTTACCAGCAGAACGGACCTTACACCTCTACTCGTTCAGCACAATAGCAAATCGAAAATTAAGGAGTGGGGAGGATGTTGTAAAGAATCTACATAGCAATAATTACTGCAATAAATACAGCAAGTGCAACCACCTGCTTTACCAACTATTTATACACAATGCCGGTCTTTCTATGAAAAAAACCACGGTGAAGCCAAACACAAAATATATGGCAGAAAACACAAGGACACGTGGTATTCCCGCTGTAACAGGAAGTAGTTGTACTTCCACTCTGTACTTCCTATATGTCTGTGAACCTTATAGCTACCTCATTGATGCAGTCAAACGTTTGTTGGACGGAATACATGAGTAAGCGAGAGAAGACATATAAGAGAACTTCAGCTTGTCTGGAGTCCTGTTACTCCCTAAACTTACACAAAGAACAGAACATTCGCATGCCGTTACTGCTTCAGTATGTTGAGAATAAATTTAATGTTTCATTAAGAGATGGAATCCCCCAAAACTCCATAAGATATCTTCAGAGTACTGCAGGAATACTACATTTTTTGTGGGTTTAAGGTTCGGGACAGATCTCAGCCGCAACACCTATCCCAACGAGCACCTAATCGGCTAGATAAGCTACACTTAACAAAACATTTACCTACGAGTGAATACTGCTTCAACTGTCTCCGATGTCGTTGATGTAGTGCCCATGTGTGAGGTAACCTCCTCGTACTCGATATGTTTAGCGAAGAGATTTCAACTAAAGGTCCCATGTTCTACGTTTATGAGCAGTAATTGATTGAGAATTTACTTCCCAAGCTAGATACCACTCTCTTAAGGCATCTTAACTCACTCCAGAGGGAGTATATATACAATGCAGTACTATGTGCAGCACCAGAGCGCGAATGATGGTTTAAAACGGGATAGAAACACCAATGTAAGTTGCTCCATCACAGAACGTGCCAGACTCACACGGAAAAGGCGGTAAATGTGCAAAAGGAGTAAATTAACATAGACGCTAGATAAAAAGGCTCGATATCTTGGCAAGCCGCTCAGATTAGGAGAATTTCAGAGAGTTATCGAGTTGGTGTGTGGAGCTGGCATGGTGCTTTCACATTGAGACACACACCTCACATTGTTCAAATCCTGAATACAGAGCTATGTGGACGAAAGTAGCTTCTGTATACTGCATATCGCGAATTGAGAAAAGAATAAACTCGTGAACGCGCATTTGGAAGATTCGGTTGCCGGTCGATCGGCCCATTTCGGCTCGCGTAGTACAAGTGGGTCTTAAAAATTTCAAATAGGTTGAAGATGATTGGCAATGGTTACAAAGGTTGCCACATTTGTTTGCAGTTTTTATGTTACAAGTTTCTGCAGGCAGAGCAGTAGTTCTCAAAGTCAACCTCAGCAAGCAACAATCCGAATCTTTGCAAGTAAAGGACCGACACAAAAAGCAAAATCCTTCGAGATTCCCTATGCTGTCAACTGACCTTCTGTACACCACCTCAACAAAAACTAAAACCCAAATTCTGCTGAGAAGAAAGAGACTAATCCCCATTCACTGCGCGCAATTCATGCGAAGAAAAGACGCCAAACCTCCGGCAACTACTTTAACCGCATACACGAACAACGCCCAACCATTTCACTCCCTGTTCGCCGATCCTCCATAAACAGTACGACAGCCCGACGGAAACAGAACATTCAAAACGAGTACCCGCTGCCAACGCGCGCCTCCTCAAGCTATCAAGCTTCTTCAGTATGAACACACACGTTCCATCGACGCAAGTTCACGAGCACAGAACATCGAGAGAAAGCATGGGCAAGAGAACACACCGTGAAGGACTTGGAGATGATGTCGTCGTGCTGCGCTACATGGCAGCGGCAGTTGCTGCAGCTGTAGATACGGGGTCCGCACTCCCCCATCCCCCACGAGCTCTCGCTCTCGCTCGCTCGTCCCGTCTGCCCTCTCCTCTCGCTCGTCCTGTCTGATCTCTCCTCTTGCTGCTCCATTCTTCGTCCCCGTTGCTTTCCATAGGCTGCCCTGCAATGCATTCTTCGCTCGTCCGCCGTCTCTCTCTCTCTCTCTCTCTCGGACTCCAAGCCCTCTAATTCTTCTCCTCTCCCTTCACCTCTTTCGTGCTCCTGCCTCTTCTTCTCCATATAATTTACATTTTTCAATGCATATAATTTTTCACAGATCTTGCGTAGAGTGTAAGGTACGTGCTCTCGGCTTTACTTCTCCTATACTGTAAACGAATTATTTAAATTGTTTCTGTGCCATGCTGGGGGCGTATCGCTCCGAATTTGTGACTATTCCATCGCCTGACACGATTTGAGTTAACTAAATTTGCAAGCCGTGAAATTCTTTTAGATTGCAATTATTAAAAGCCTTATGTGTGCCGCAAGAAAGCTGAATTCCGCTTATCGTTGTTCTTACATTCTCCACGCACGGAAAAGTGTTCTTTGCTTGTTAACTGTGTCACAGAATATTTCTCGAAATGAACTTCGATTCAGCATATTTGCTTTCCACACTCCTTTTGTTAGAAGAAAGACTCCGTATTCATGGAGATTGCATTTAGATCCGATCTAGATTGTTGTGAAATCCCTCAAGTGAATGTGAACATAAAATAAAATGATGTGAATGAGTCCAAGCAAAGGTAATATTAAGATGCGAAGTTCAATCAAAGCCATTTTTTTTAAATGAAAAAAACTAGAAAAATAAGAATTTTTTATGAGTGTGAAGACATTTCCATCAAAGATAGAAAAAAATTTTATATGGATGATTTTAATCAAAAAAGGAAGAATGCAAAGGTGCTAAGTTAAATTTCTTGAAAATTAGAAAGCTTAAAGAAATTACAAAATTGATGATATTGGGAGAAGAGTTTTCTGTATTAAAAGTTTTGTTGCAGTAATTGTAAGATTGCAGTGCTTGTCTTTCTAAAGCTTAATAACTTGATTTGAAATTGCACAATATCAAGTTATTCAGTTTTTTCATAGATAAAAGCTTTGAGAAAAAAGGAAAAAAAATTTAAATTAACAATATTTAGCCAATGCAACAAGGTTTTCAAATTAAAGACTATCATTTAAGATCGGAATGATGATTTAAGAAAACGAGAATTAAAATTCACTTAAAAATTTGAAAAAAAATCAAAGAAAAACTTATCAAACTTTATGAACAAAATTAAAAAACACAATAAACTCTTTTGTGATCTGAAATCTAAGACTGAATTAGAATAGTGATAGTTGGAAAATAAACATATGCATGGTTGTTATGATAATACAGTTTTCAGCTTGCATAATACAATAATTAATGCATCCAAGAGTTACTTTCAATTTGAATCAGAAACTAAAAGTTATGCATAAAGATATGGGCGCAAGTGCTAGAAAGAAATCCACAATCATTGCTAGAAGATCTTGGAGAAAGCTATATGTATTGATGTGTTTGTAAGGAAGAAAGAATTGGCACTAAGTATACATATTGAAACAAACAGAGAGAATTATTCATACAGATTAATTGGATATGATCCAACCTCCTTAATGTAGGCGTTCGGCGGCAATGCTGTCTAGACTACCTAAAGTAGGTCAGACCGCTGCGACTACTTGTGCGCGTCTCCATGCGTCGACCGTTACGTATGTGTGAGTTACGTGTTGAAGATAAAGTGGTGATATCGAATAAGTTGACATTTTCCTGTCAATTGATTAAGCAGTTCTTGTTTCTCGACCTATCAATTGTCCTCGTTTGGTGTGCGGTATGAAGTCCGATGTGAAAATCTGAAGCTCCGACTGGAGACAAGCGAGCAATCGATTGATTGCTTGAATGTATGAAATGATTTCGTGTGAAGTCGGACGATGAACAAGTGAGAAAATGTTTCCAGCTTGTACGATGGATTGCAATTTTGCGTGAAGATTCATGGTTGGATTTGCAGGCTTGTTTTGTTCATACTCTTTGGTGTGTTTTCTTTGGTTCTAGCGGGTTCCATCGAGGAGAGGGTCAAGACTGTGATCATCTCACTCGTCAAAAACGATGTGAAGTTTTTGTTTATCGGGAGGAGTGAAAGATTCTATGACTTCTGAGTGTGGAAATGATTACGTCAAAGCCAATGACTTGCGGCTTGGTTTGAGAATATGCTCTGAGACCTGAAATGACAAGCAGGTCAATGATGTACAATGCTGGTTTTGCATTGTCTTTAGTTGCGAGTAGAAGGGGCGTGAGAAGCAGAAGCCCTCCGCCGATGTAGAGGAATGATGCCGTACTTTCTGTTATGATAATATCAAAAATCACATTAGTGTTTAGCATCCTACAAAGTGGGCTCTGTAGAAACGCATCAATACGTCTGATGATTTAAATGTCTCTTCGACGATAACTTGATCATGTTCAAAAGTTCTATTAAGTCGCAGATGGACATCAAGAAAGATATCATGGACGCGATTGTTAGTGACATGATGTTCTATATTAATGATGCACTCAACAACGATTTGGATAGTGACGCGGAGGGATTTAGGAGTGACATTGAGCTCAATGTTGTAATTTGCCGACCTGCTCAAAAGATAACATTGAAGAAAGAACGAGCGCGCTTTTATTATTTCAGGGCGTGTAGTAGCAAGAGAATGTCGTAGGTGATGTTAGTTATTCTTACTCAGTCACTATCTTGAAGTCAAAAACCATTGTGTTGCATTTGACAATATGATATGTGGCCTGTGGAGTTTGATTTGATTGACAACCAACATACTGAGTTGGACTTATGATATTTTGCATAATACTCTCTTGCTGATGTATTCTCTCATTAGAGTTGTGTGTGTTATCAACCTGCAGCGCATGATTCATCATCTATGTCAAACATGGAGGTTTTCTATAGCTATGAACTTAGCAATTCATCAAAGAGCCTCATATCTTGATTTGAGTTCTTGAGGTCTTTTTTTTTTTGTCTTTCATAACATTATTAACTTGCATATGTCGTTCCAATGTCTTTTGTCCAAGAGTTTGTCAACGGTTTTTCACCTACGATCGAATTAGTGAGCATCGTTAATTGGCATAGTATATTAATGTTATAGCCGAAAAACATAAGCTGTTACTTTATGCTTACCGGTATGAGCAAGACTTAAGCATAGCATTGATGCCTTGTCTAGTAGATCAACCTTCAAGTATGTTTGAAATTTAATTGGAATTTAATTTTCAAATAGCATGTGATCTCATCTAAGAAAATATGAGGGAAGTTGAATTGGAGATATATAAGCTGCATGCTCAAAATGTCAATTTAAGTAGTAATTGTGAAGAGAATGAGGCTACTATTAACGAAAGAACCAAGAACCTGAAAACAACATAAGATGATGTTAATAGGAGTCACACACAAATTGAAGCCTTTGAGTAGTAGACGCAGAAGATTGGAAACATCGTCAGTCATTGGAAATTAGATATTTTCAAAGCAGAAAGCACATGGAAGAGTGAGAAGGAAGATCCGGTGAAGGAAGAGGATTTGGAAATATTGGAGTCTAGAGAGAATGGTCGTGAAGCTAATGTGTTGAATCAAGAATTCCAACATCGTCAAGTTACCTTGAAGGAAGATGAGGTCATAGTCAATCTCTTGGACAGAGCATACGAAATGGCCAAACATAGTGCATAGTAGAAGTGGAGATAATTGCTTGATAGTACCCTTGGAAACTGAAATTACTTGATGGGAATTACTAAAATGAAACATATTGGAATATGTTTCATTTTACCCTATGGTATCCCATTCAACGGCACACCGTAAAAGATGTTCCAATGTTACAATTTATACCATCGTGGATATGTCTTTGGGCGAGAAGGAGTGCTACTGTTGACGAGATTGCACTTTCGTTCATTCTGCCCAACAACGCAAAGAGATCAGACATGGTGGAGGTTATGAATGTTCTCACGGAGTTCCTGCAAATGGAAGGCGAATTCGTCGAGCATCGGGAACACGCTGCTCACCCAACTGTCCCACACTCTGGGCAGATGAAGCCCGGGTTTTCTCTGGAGGCTTTCACACCTACTTCTGACTCTTACCCATCTTATGAGATTTACACTCATTCACCTTGGAACACGGACCCAGATAGATGGATCTTGAAAGACAACGGATGTTAATCGATCTGTTGAAGCTGAAATTCCATACTTAATTCGCTTCAATTCAGATCTTAGCTCTGGTCGTCAAGCACAAAGTTTACTTCGAGTAGTAAATTTTCTATGTTTTTTCAGATGCAAATATGGCAAGACGCTATCGGGAGTACTTAGCATCATGGTGGGGTAGAACGAGTCCCCAAATTAATTTCAATGGAGAAAGTAGTTTGGCCCAATAGTGGCAAACACTATCCACACTGCAACACAAATCATCAGGCTATAAGAACTTTGGTTAGAACATGTCCGAAGGTGACTTGCAACGCCGTTGAGTGGAGCACATCGGTTAAATTGAAACCTATTGGGTTCCATCAAGTAATTTGAGTTTCTCAAGGGTCACATCAAGCAATTACTTCAGTGGAAGTGTGACAAAGAGTCATTAGAAATGTTAAATAAGATTCACATTTACACAAGGCCTAAACTAAGGTCTCCAAGTGGGACTAAACTAATTCAGATAATTTAGGCGCTACTCAGGCCGGTACATGATTGTTAGTAGGTGTAGGTATACTAGTAGGTTTAAAAGTGTAGTAAACTCATAATGAAAAAATAAATTGATGTTAAATTTCTCATGTAGTCAAGACGAAGAAGAAATCACCACTACCAATGTTGAAGAATATGCCATTAGGAGTCAACGTGTTTTTTCAAATGGTAGAGCTGTAGTAGGTGGATGATTAAGATAGACTGTAGCATATCAGGCAAAGAGCATCTGAGTAGATCTGTGCAGAAGTAAATAAATAATATTCTTTAACAATTCCTCTTATAAGTGTTAAAAAGGTTTACTCATCAGCGCTTTACTCTTGATGCGTGTTTATCGTCGCCCACGATTTACATCCATTCTAATGTGAGGTAGTTCGATTGGGAAGGGGTTGTTGCTGCGAGGCGCACATGTCGTTACTTACTTCTGAAGTGTCGATCTGCCAATCTGACGCTATCTCATTGGCCCCACATGTAAGCTCATCTAACTGCATGAACACTTCACATCTATAGATCTCGGTTGTCACAAACAAGGCTTTTCGCGTATCGATTTTTCGCATGGGTTTAGAAAAAGCAAATCCTGTGCTCACAACTCTCACAAGAACATTCACAGTTTCTACGTAACACACAGCGAAAAAGCTAAATTGACAGTGATCTGTCGATCGCACCCGTTCCTCTCGAATCAATACAGATCATGGGCTAATTTCACAATCTGCAATCACGCACCTCTACTAACACATACACCGAATTGTCATTATGTCTACATTGGAAATCGCCTGTACACATCTACCTCAGATAAAGAGACAGATAAAGAAAGCACAATCTGCACAGCGATGTGAAGAGTACCAAACTGACGCATAATCAAGTCTGACAAATCGGACGTAAAAACGAGAGTAGCTGAAATCTTTGTCGAATTATAAGGTGGAAAGGTTATCCACCACAAAATGTTTCAATCTTAAGAAACGTGAGGTTCGTGGTCTAGACTACTCCTATGCAGACTCCTAGCGTCCACAACCCCACAATTGACAAAGCTTAAAATCTGCAGATTTTGAATAACAGATTCCTTCTGAAGTTATGTGAGCAAAGGCGGGCGACCACATTCTCCTCTCGACGGCCAACGCAGATCCGCGAGCTGATCTTCATAAAAGATCAGATCTGATCGGTTGATCACATGTCTGGAAGCAGCGCATTTCGCAGGGCCACCTCTCATCCTCTGCAACTTCCTGCGACCCGTGCTTCTACGGCAGATCAATCACAGCTCCTGAAAACAGAAGACATACAGACGCAGCAGTAGAACTATGCGCACCCCTCCGTGCAGCCAGCTGGTGGATCTTGAGCAGAACTTGCGAACGGGACCAATCTTGTGATGTTAAAAAGAATCCTCTTGGAGTTGATGAACGAAGTTGGCCACCCAACAACGATGATCAACAGCAGGGATCGGTTCATAATTAGTAAAAAAAGTCAGGGATGTGTCTATGGGAGGGTCCAGTCCGTGGATCTTGCGATGAATCTCAGGTACCGGACCGACTATCCTCTAGAATTTATCAAAATGGGGAGGACGCAGAGTCTACTCTCTCTTCTGTCTCTCCCTCTCCCTCGTTACTTCCTAGCGGCTGTTCTAAACTGTAATGTAATGCTTGAGTAATCCCAAGGAACTTTACGGCAAGCTCGGTCTGCCTTCTTCCTCAAGCTGAAGAAGGTCAATCTACACAAGTAGTGGTAGTAGTTCAGCAGGCAGCATACATTCTGTAATGCGCCTTATCCCTCGGAGTCTACACTACACGCTTCCGGATATGCTCAAGATGAATCTCGCTCTGCTCGGGACTGAAAGTGATGAAATCATGGCTGGTTGACAGCTGTGATGGGCTTCAAATGTGCCTCTGAAGGTACGATGCTGTCAAAGTTGCCGGCCAAGGATTGTAAAGTTATGTTAAATAAACTCCATGCAGCATCAACTGGCCAGCCAAAAATGCATGACGTCTCCTGCTGCTGCGAACACTCAAACACAGCATCGCCGTAGTAGCTCCACTCCGTGCCTCGAGACGAAGGCACAACCCAAAATTTACATGTGTATGTACATTATACCGAGCGGCAAGAATGAATGAATGAATAAATGGATCGGTGATTGACTGAGCGTTTGGACTCGTCAGTCACAAAAGTATTCCCGTACCGATGCGCGTCCGTCATAGCGAGAGGCTTGGTACTCTTCTCTTCTCGTTTCATGGTGCTCGTCAAACTCAGACCGTCCCTCGCCCTCTTCCTTCCTCCTCATTTCCGCAGAATGCATAACTGTTGATGTAAGTGACATTCATCGTTAACTCGAAAAGCATTACTCCAAATCACGCTGGAGGTGGATGATGACGCGGTTTCGGTTTGATTCGTCAAGAGGTTGTCGGATGAAAGAGAATGTGTGGTGCCTTCGGCGACGTCGGCATCGCCGAAAGACATCAAAATTCTTGTTGAGATCTTCTTCCTCCCGCTGCTTGGATGACAGCCTTGGACGAGAACAACGCTCAGTAGGCATAGAAGTCCAGAAGCTCGTCGACTTGGAGGTGTCGCGAGGAAGGATCGTCGGTGCCGATCAACCAGAGCAGGTGCTCGAAGAGCACGATCTCACAGGCGATGAGGATGCCACCATTCTGATCGGATTCAAATTCGGCAGCCGAGCGCTCCAGCAACCCATGAAAGAGGTTGTGCTCCAAGTAGTGCGCACCGATGATGAACTTTCTCCTCTCCCTTCCTACGTACAGGGCCAGGCATCCCTCGGGTACGTCCTCGGAAATTGTCGATCGGGCCAGATGTCTGACGCTCCTCGGACTGCCATTGTAGGAATCCGAAGTATCACTGCGCCGGCCCCCGTCCCACTTGAAGCAATCATCTGTTCTGTCGGCGTACATTTCTCTGTCTCTGGCCAGAGAGGTGTAGCGCCGCTGATGCGCGCTGGTGAATTTCTTCCAATGGCGCACGATAGACCTCATCTTGTTCATCTTCTTCCCATACATTGCGACGACTCGCCGAATTCGCACAATTGCTTGAAAGTAATGTAAGCCAACACAATGGATGATTCTACAGCTGTTGCAACGCGAACATCTAGAACCGAATGGCTAGTCCACTCGCTTGGTTCGTGCTAGTGCCTAATCTAATCGACGATATCTCCGCTACTCAAAAGTCTCTACTGGGTCAACTTTAAATCGATAACAAAGTTCTACGCAGATCTTGAAAAAGTCTCTTCGAGTCTCTCACTCACTCACTCACTCACTACGTGCAGATTTCACGAGGATCGCCCCTGCTGCTCTCGCGCGTGAGCACATCGACTCACAATGATTCACACTCCCTGCGCTTCCCACTACAAAACTCCTCAGCGCCCTCACGGTTCGCTCCGCTGTCCACAGCACGCGAAGCGCCGCAGCAGACGCCAACAGCTGCAGATTGTTCAGATGGAACACAGGTCACGATCATCAATCAAGCAACAACGCTGGAGTCAACAGCACAAGGTAGGAAGCAGCGCGAGAGCACAATTCCAGACCGGCCTCGATCTATAGTGCGAGAGCGATGCATGACCCACCACAAATATACTCCCCCAGCAAACGTCTACCCTTGCCCGGCTGACTTAACACTCTCAGTGGTGGGGCCCGCCTCCGCCCAGCTGCAGATCCAGCTCTACCTGCAGCTCGCGCCCTTCCGTTGCGCTCGCCGCTCCCCGAGATTCACCGTACTCTACGACCCCTCTACCGGCGAGAAGTCTACGACCGGCGACCGATGCTCGGCTCCGCTAGCTGTAGTCAGCCCCGTTTTCGGCGGCACCACTCGCGCCCACATGCTCTAGCAGCGACCCCGCCCGCCAATTTAGCTCCCTCCAAAGCCCCCCACCCGGCCTTTGCTATTTGCAGTCTATTTGCGACCCGGGTCTGCTATCCACTTGGCCCCGCTGGATGCTCGAACGCAGGCGCCACCGGATGGTCAACCGTAACCGGAACCGGCCGTCTCGGCGGAAATAGATGGTGACAGTTCCGCCAAACAGGTCAGGAGATTTGTTGTCGGAACGACAATTCCGGGCCGGTTAGGGTCGTCGCCAGGTGCGCCAGGGGGGCGAGGTTTAGAGTTTAGCGGAGGACTGGAGAGAGCTCGGGAGGATTGACCCACCCGCCCGTTGGGGCCCCGAACGTTCGGGGGGCCCGTTGAGGCGAACGTCTGGCCGCCGGTCAGCTCCCGGCGCAACGGCTACGAGGCGAGCAGGCGTCGCTTCTTGCGCTCAGTCGGCTGTTACTGCACTGCTCCGGCTTCTAACGGCCTGGTCTACAGCGGGGCCTATGTGATCCGGCAGGGAGGTCTGCTTGTCGCTTCTCCTTCGTGTATCTGGACTTCTCCACCGTCGGATTCGCTCCAACGGATCCCTCACAAACCTCGGTCCCAACTGTCTTACGCAACCGGCAGCCCACCGAGCCGACCCATGTCACGGAGCCTCAGTCGAACCATGTCTCCATTCTATAGCAGGAGGAAGGAATAATTGGAGATTCGACGGACGTGCCCGTGAATGCCTCGTGAATAGGATGCCAAGAAACAGCTTTGACGTCCACATTCGATCCCAGCGGGCATGTTCTCCGTGAGCACCACCGCAAACGATCGTTAGGTGAACCCGATCCTGTCACGTAAAGTTCGTTTTCACACTGTTCCTTACAACATGTCATTATACACATTATTTCAGTCTCAGAGAACAAATGTCATCAGATGATAAATTTATGGTAATGGGTGGCATTTCTGGGCAATATTGCTTGCTACGACACGGCATACTTAGAAGCAAGTTTGAGGCTTCTTGTTTCATAATTTCACGTTCTGATGACTGAAGCTGATAAATTGGTTATAAATGTAAAGATGGTGAATTCAAGTCAATAGAGCTATGGTGCATTGATCAACGTGTATATTGCTGAAAGATGCGAACAAATGATATATCATTATGCATAGATATCCTCTTCAAGTTGACAACTGTCAATGAATCTTGAACCTATAATAAAACTTATCTTCGATAATTTTATTTAATTTCTGATAGATGTCAACGAAACTATCTCAGAAAGACAGCCATTCAAGTTCCAAAATAGTTTTAAGGTCATGGCAATGAAAATACCTCAAAGCCAGGGAGTACTGAAGCTTTATATTGGTGCTGACTTTTAAGAAATCCTTTGATGCTAACTTTGAATCCTTGATAATGTCAATATTAACATTACTTCTATTTTTCTTTATAGACAAATATTTACTATAGATTGTTTCAAAATTTATATTGATATAATCTCTAATATTTTTTATGATAAATAAATAAATTTTTAATTCACTAAAAAATTAATATAGTTCCTTATTTTAAAAAAATAATATTGAATATGCAAATATTATACTAAGGTGATAATAAAATGAATAAATTCAACAGAAAATTAACCAGCTTGCAGTTGATATATTACATGTATCATTTTTAGAAGCAAAAAAAAAATAAGGAGAGTAAAATTTTTTTTGGAAAATATTTAGAAATTTCTCAAGTCTATCATACTTTTATTTTGAAATAAATAATTATAAAATAAATTTTTGATCTCCAATGTTAAAACTTGTTGATTAATCAGTGTCTGGATTATACTCAATTTCCTTTGATTATCATCAGTTAGAGTATATAACTAAGGCTTTATAAAAGAAATTGGATGAAATCACTATAAGTATGTAACGAAAGAAGATAAAGACAGAATGTTGTTATAGAGATGAGATTCACGCAACGTTGACTATGATAATCAGGGTGTGGTTCACATTGTCAAGAATTATCAGGATGGAAGGCAGAAAGGCTAACTAGGCTAGTATTCATGGAGATGAATTGCTTGCATTACTTTTTGCTTGATGTAACACAGCGGTTGGAATGGCTGAGCAAGGTGATGATAGATTAATGAGAAGGAGTTGTACCAAACCAAGGGTATGAAGAAACTATAAAAATCCCCAAAAAATACAATGAACTTCATGTATTTGCAAATGAGGATAAATGCATATTATTGGAGGTTGGAGCATCATCACATCATGTTCATATCATTCGCAAAAGAAGGTGAAAACTATGTTTGTATATTGAAGTATGTGTCGGAATCGGAGTAAACAGAGTAGATTTAATGGACTAGATTCTTCTCCTTGTTGTTGTAAAATGTCAACTGCAAGGTAGTCAAGTCATAACTACAATTTGATATAGTTTATGCCACCTAATTTAATATGCCTAGATTATCATACTTACAAAGCACTAATATATGCGTATGTAATAGGCTTTTAATTAAAGGGAGAGATTAGATATCACTCACGCTACTGAACAGAGCTCTAGAAATGATAATAGATCAATCCCATATTCCCAAAAGTTCAAAATGCTGAAAAAAATAATAAAAACGAAAATTAAAAACAAATAAAAAGACCCAAAGGGTAACACTGGCTAGTGCAAAGAGTGAAAGTAATAATATCCCTAAAATAATATCTCTCTGATTGGTCAAAGTTATCACTATGTTCATTAGAGTTCAGTCGTATAATAGAAAAGTAGTGCACATTAACATATCACTAGGGTGAGTGATAATTAACCGAAACTGACTGATAACTAACCACTCACTAATTAAGTTACTAGATTTTGAATTACGTATAGAATTATACATGGTTCATGTATACGGTACACGAGTTGTTGCAATATTGGTAGAGTCAGTAGAACTTTGTCAATCTTTTTTCTTGATCCTAGTTTGTAATAGAGGAGATTAACATTTACTTCATTCCATCCTGAAAAAGTAGTTAGATTTAATTCTGGTCGTAATCGGCTTCTTCGTAGTCTTCTTCGAACAATGGAGGAGCTGATGAAGTGAGAAGTGAATCAAGCTTTTAAAGACTCGATCGAACAAGTGTGCACAAAATCTGCTCTCTCTGTGTGATGAAGAAGAGGAATTGGTGGCGCATACGAAGGAAAATGTTCGAGTACAGTACTTCGAGATGAGATTCTCTGGAAGCAATGACATTGCAATTAGTTTACAGGAATCATTGCTTCCGGGAAAAATCTCATCTCATTGACATCTTGAGTGTACAGATCTCGGCATCCACAAGAACTTTCTGGTCAAATCGACTTTATTGTACTACATTGACAACATAGAACATAGATCAGAAGCACTACTCAAGCTGGCGGCGTGCATTTCTGAGCACGGACAATTCTCCGTGGAGACATACCGTAGCCGACGAGCACACATGGACGAGTTAGTGATGTGGATTGCCAACATTCTCGACAATGTCGGGAATGTTCGCTTCAACAAATCCAATCCATTTGGAACGCGAGAAGAGCGTGCTGGTGCTGGCGATCGTTTGGACAGATTTGAGCTTCAAAATGATTACGATCGAGACGATCGGGTTAGAATGTAGCGAGATAATTTCAAGCTCATATCTGTTGCTTTAACTTCCAGATAAGCTGGAACGATTGACTTGAGGAAATCTCCGTGCAATTCACTTTTTCTTCGTATCCTTTCAGTAGCCGAGTATGCTTCAGTGTGTAAGAAGTGACCTCGACTCCTCTTGATATCACGATTTACATGTCGCTGCCCGCTGCGAGCAAGCTCTGGAACCGTGAACGGATCTGTCGAAGGGGAACTCAGGAGCCGAAGGGATAATATCACATTGTCATATTCACACCTCGTCCACTGCTCTCTCGATTGTTCCCCCTCAATCAGTGTATCTGGAACAGGAACGTCACGAGATTGGAGGAGTCAGATGAAGTGGATGCCCTATTTTGATTTGATTTTCTCAAATTCTAGACTTTCCACCGTTCAATTGCGTCCTCAAATGCTCGATTTTCGAGATGGAGCTGCCTGATTGGAGTCACTCTCACGTTGGTTTGGGAGCCGGAATAATCGTTCAATTGGACAGAAAAAATCGCCGGCCAGAGGTTGCAAGCGGTCTGTTTGAAGCTGCCTCCTTGTAGCTTGACTGTGTATGCCTCAGATGTCTTCGTTTGAGTCGGATATTTCTTAGTGATCCTCGAGGCGTTTGCGTTTGCGTTTGTCCAATCGTGCAAATGGATTGAAGGAGAGCCGGCGAGCGACAGGTGGTGATGGAGAAGCCGCTGAGGATTCAGTAGAGGCAGACAGAAGCAGAGGACGGAAGAATGCGCCAGGAGGAGGAAGAGAAGGGGAAGTGATGAGAAGTAGTACGCAGTGGAGCTGAAGAAGCAATGAACTATGCTTCCTTGCGACATAATGAACGCACATGAAGTGTGTCCCAGAGGATCATGGGAGCTGGAGCTTCAGCACCTCGATCTCGGGAATCCGGGCCTTCAAAACCTGCATCTCGGGGATCTGGGCCCTCAGTACCCTCAGCCTCGTCTCGAGGATCCGGAACTGGAGTTTCTGGATCTCACGGCGTGAGACGCAGCAAGAGCTGGGCTGTCGTGGTCTGTTCTACCTCCGTGTCCTTCCGCTTTTCATGATTTCAAAATCTTGTAATTAATTCCCCGAGAATCTCTTCTGAATACCAAGCGCCGGAAAATTACTTTTGTTGTTTAAGAAGGCGATATGCTTAAACAACAGCGATCTGTGCATCTTGATGATCACATGGAGGGATGGTATTTCTTCAAGAAGAATGTTCCACGTGATCAAGAAACTCCACGAGCTGAACGCAGGGATGGATAGAACATTAGCGCTTTGATCTCCTTGAATTTTGTTTCATGGCTCATTTTGTTTCTGATAGAAAACATGATGGACAAATTTGTCGTGGTTGCTGGAACAGAAGACATCAAGGCTTGGAGACCGATCTTTGTCAAGCTCCTTCAAGGTACAACTGCAATGTGCCCTTCACGAGTTCGGTACCCAGCGCGGGTGCAGAAGCGAGAACTATCTTCAGCAAAGAGGGTTTGGTGCTCTAGTCGGGATCCATTCAAATTGGATCGGGCACTTCATCCTGGCCGCAGCTCGACCCACGAATCGTATCCTTGACGAGCACCACCTAATTTACCAGGTTCCCATCGTTCTTATATTGGTCAATCTTCTGCTTCTCGTCAGAGTTGGCACAGTCCCACCTACTATCTTGTCATGTCACTTTTGGAGGTTTGATGTGCATCATCTCCCGATCTGTTGGTCCGGTTCGGATTACTTCACTCTCTAGACACATTGAATGATCATCGCACTGTCTGGTGTTAAATCAAGACCATGAAAGATCAGAATCTATGAATTGTCATTTGCGATCACTGAGGGCAGAAAATAAAGGGAGAGTGCTGCAGGCATATATTGTGCCAGGTGTTGTTGGGTTGGAAGCCAGGTCTCTTGCAAACAACGCAGTGTTTGCAAGAGGGCTTTATAATGCCCCACTAAAAACGACAAGCTGTCGGTCTTGTGCAGGAGAGGTATGCAGTTATGGTTTGTAGAAATTGGCAAAGCGTCAGAAAACACTTCAGAAATTGCAGTGGAAATTAGTTTCAAGTCCTCGACATATGGATCTAAACGAATGAGGGTAGTTAAAGGCATGAAGTCACTGGCTCACACCAATCTAATCACACCTCTGGTTGTCAGCTCCACAGTCAACATATTGGAGCTGTAATCAACTTACAAGAGCCAGATGAACATTTTGGTTGTGGAGAGGGACTTGCACCAGGTAGTGCATTCTCCTACAATCCAGAGCGTTTCATGGAAAATCATGGTAATAATCCTGTTTCTTCCTTCCCATCATGCATTATCTACTCTCTTTGAACCAGATGGGATTTGAACCATAGCCCTCACTAGTTGCTGTCTATCAGCCAACTTCTCGAGCATGGACTTGAGTTGAGGTCTTGTCTTAGTGTGTACTGGCGACAAGCCAGTACAGACTGCCAGGCTTCGTGAGTGCTTTTCTGTGTAATATTTTAGCTCATGCTTTATGCGTCTATTGATGGAGATATTTCAAAGATTCCCAGCATCCTGTAAGGTGACTAGTGATCTTGTAAAGTTTAGGCTAGTCCACTTTATCAAAAATCTGACCAAGAGAATGCGTACAATCGGGATTGGCTTACTGGAGGTGAAACAATTGAGTTCCATTGTTTGAACATAATATTCCCGTTGGGCTCCTCTGTGTCCGGCAACTTACATTTGAACGGAATCCTCTCACAGGAAGCCGCTGATATGGTCTGATCGCTTCAAGTATCTGGTTTTTGGTCGTTGACGTGCTTTCAGATTGCACTGACTTTCCCCAGGGCAAGTGGCGTGAATGCTATTATCTTTTGGCTTCTCATGAGTCATTTTGTGACTAGCACAGAAGACTTGCTTCTTCTGCTCAGTTGGCTGGAGCACCCGTTTTGCAAGCGTAGAGGGCCTGAGTTCCGAGTCCTCATTTGAACGGGGTATAGTATTTTTTATTTCATGAGAGATAGTCGTTGGAGGTGGTCATTTCATTATGCCAAGTATTGTGCAACATACCCGACTTCAAGAGTATACTTAACCTCCTATAGGCTGTGGATATGGAAGCCTTGGTAATAAGTGCTCTCTTCTTGCACATCCTTTTTGCTTTCTTACTTACTTGCTTTCTTCTTACGGTTGGACATTGAGTTGCTTAGTTTATTAGGCCAAGAGGATAGACTCGACTTTTGGCTTCGTACTTCAGGATTTCGTTTTGTCTTTCGGGATCCAAGGTTGCATAGACCATGATTACCCTTCGCTATGGAAGAATGCTGACTTGCGAATATTTGTGTCTCTAATATAGAATCTGTGACAGCGTCCATGGGGGGTAACCCATATGGAAGAAGTACTGGCTGTCCGCTTGAAGGATGAAAACGTGCGTTCACATTTAAAAGCACTTGATGGACGTTTGTTGGTCTGTGACCAGATATTAAACGAAATTAAAACTTTAGTCGATGTGTTGCAGTTTACTATTTCAATTTTCCCATCAAGGACGTCAAGTCCGTGGATCCCTCATACATGCTCGACATCTGCCACACCATCGACTCACAAATTACTCTCGGCGATAAGGTCATCTTCAATTGCTGGTTCTGAGTGCTGAGTTGATGTTCTATGTTCTGATGTCTATGAGTGCTGAGTTGGTTCTATGTTCTGATTTGCATTTGAGAACTGTAAGCTTGCTTCGTCGTCCAACATGGGAAGGATGTTAAAATAGTTGTCAGATGAAACTGCGTTGAGTCATATTCTTCACAGTCAACGTAAGGAGGTTGTGAATGCTTTGGAGACAGAAGTTACTAAGCAAATAATGGGCAGGTCCTTGAATTTGATGGGGCCAGGTCATGGTTCACTGCCATTCTGGAGTTGGTGAGAACAAAGACCATCATTGCCTTAGCTTCCTCTGAAGCTCAATCTACAATAAGAGAAGAAGATGCACAGATATATCTCTGATGCTGATCTGATGCTCAACTAAGATCCAATGATAACAAAGTTTTAGAATTCAAATTTTGAAGCGATTTGTGACGACGCTCCCATTTCTAATGTGACAAACACAAAAACCCCCTCATCAAATATATTTCCTTGATTTCTCAGTTGTTGACGGCCTTCTGCTCTTGTCGAACGAGGCCTGCAAAAGTTGCATCTGGTCAGACGTTGCAATGAAGAGGCTGTAGAAGCCCATAACCTCATGCACAGTTTGATAATTTCGTTTTATGTTCAGGACGGACTGGGGTTGTGATTGGGTGCTATTTTGTTTACTCTGGTGCATATGAAGACCCCACTGAGGTATCTACTGAACAAGATGCGACATAAGCTCTTGCCCTAGGAGAGAAATCTTCTACATTACACAGATTGTGGGTGTTCAACTATAATATCAATTATAATCTCATTTTGAGCTCAAACTTGTGTGCAGGCGATTCAAGCTATACGCACGTTCAGGTGAGAAAATCAAATCTGGTGAAATATTTGGAACCTGAGACATAAGGAGTTAATTGTTTTCATTCTATCCAGAGTACGACAGACTTCCATTCAAAGTAGTGCGAGCTAAAAAACCTTCGACAATCAGTGCTGAACGACGAACATAGTTAGCAAAGCCATCCGCACTTGAAGTATGATCGTAAAGCAAACATCTGATGAACAAAGTTACCACACTAATGACTTTATTCGCGGTTTCTCTGACCAACATATACAGGCATGGGACATTCAAACGTGCCTATCAAACTCAGATGGTGAAGGACTTCGAGGCTTTCCTTATGAAGCTACGAGTAAACTTTGTATCACCTGACAAAATCGTAAAGAGAGTAGGTGATGTGCCAGGATACCCCAATATTATTGAGCACATGAGCAGACAGAAGAAAGCACTCCATGGATTGGAGAGAAGAGCTCTTCTATACGTTCCCAAGGTCTGCTTCTGAACGATTTCCTTCCGATCGACTTTACCTCATGCTATATTTTCATTTGGAACCCCAAAAATATGGATTTCAACAATTCTGAAATCTGGTTAACACTAGACGCCATGTGAGGACAATGCAGATTATTGATTGGATAACTAGGGAGCTGATCAGAAGAACAGACTTCAATAGGCAAAAGAGAGAAAAGATCGCAGCATCATTCATGCTTGCTTTTATAACTCCGAAGAGCAAAATCGACATTGCCAAAGCTCAGGTCTCTCTCTCTACTTTGCTGCAAGTCCACTCTGCAAGGAAATGGAATAGAGGGCAAAGTTCATAGAGTCTGGAAAATACACGATATCCTTCTAAACGCCATTTTTAAGGAAGTATGTACAGTACAGTAATAAGTTTCTGAACGATATACAGGAGAAAGTAAACGTTGCTGACTGGGGTGGAGTTGAGGAATTGGAAGTTTCAACCCTCTGCCATTTATTACTTGGATGGCTTCGCCAATTGCAGGTTCATATGTCCTATTCCTAGCATTCTTCTTTCTGGCTTGACTGCATTGAGACCAAAGGCAAAGATTCATCGGGAGTACTAGACCAGTAGAACTAAGGCAGGAGATCTAGGTGATTAAAAGATGGAGAAAGTAAATACAAACTCTCTAGTGACGTGATGGGGATGTCAACTCAAAACATGTGCGTTGCAAGATAAAGTGAGTTCGTACTGATCTGTGTAAGTTTTGTAGGAACCCATAGTGCCCGATAATATTGCGACAACAGCACTTGGTCGGGGTGATATAGAGTCCGCAATTGAAGAGCTGGAGAAGGCTGATAAAATTTCCTTTGCCACCATTCAAATTTTAGCCTGCTTCATTTTCCAGGTTTATTACTGTTCCTGATTTACCAACTTAAGCACCAAATCAGATTTCAGAAATTTATATGACGGACTAAAATAAAGAAGTTAAGATGAACCGAAGGGCATGGCTACAAGATAACAGCAGAAACTCTAAACAACTGCTCGAAAGCATCATGTTCATACTTCAAGTACAATTATATCTTTGTCCCTATCTACAATATGGATCCAGCACTTCGAGTGTCTTTCAAACCAAGCAAATTGTTTACAGACCTGCTGAAAGGCAACCTTGTTTAGGGCCCTTCGACAAATTTATTAGAAACCCACGCATAACGCATCACAATGCTTGCCATCTACTTTCCTCATGATACTCGTAGATAAAGATAAAAGAAGCGTGTGATGTGCAAAACGATATTCTAAACGATATTCTCAATCCGGATAATTGAAAAACAGATCGTCCCTGTGAAACCGAAATTAATTCGCCAACTCTATAGCGCATTGGCCAACGTATTGCTCGTCAGTTCCTCTCTTCAAAATACCACAAAGTTAGAAGAAATCGTTCCAGAAGTAAGTTCTCCAACATCCAGTAAACCACACTTGTAACATTGAAACCCATCATATATATATTACATCTACTGTTCACACATCTGAGTTCAGATTTGAAGATTAACACAATTTTACTTAGATGTAACACACGCCTTACACACTTCAAGAGCGATTTTTCACTGCTGAAACAATAAACTTGACTATCGGACAGCAGCCCAAAAAACTAACAAAGACTAGTAAAAACTTTCGTACTACACTGAAGCTAAACCACCATATGTGTATCGCTCTTGGCAAAAACTATTCAGGACGAGACTATTCCGGCGGCTGCAGCAGACAAAAGCAAAGTAATCAGCCCCAACACATCTCGGAGGCACAGCGTGAGTAAGATGAACAATGTCTACACGAAGTACAAACCAACCCTTTTGGAAATCGAGTATGGCTTGCTGCTGGAGGCATCTGCTCGTTTCTGGATAAAGCTTGGCAAAGCCAAGCAAGCGAATTCAGGAGCAAAAGGGAAGTCCAAAGCATCTACGTCTACACCTGCAGCTTCCTCTTCTCTTCCAGCAAACAAAGAGAAGAAACCTATATTTTCGCAGCCCTGGTTCCGGGACCGCGCCAGCCTCCTGTTCGAAGAATATAATCCTGTAGCAGAAGCGATACAACATCAGAAAGATTTGGAAACAAACGATGACGCATCTCCTTCTACCGCTTCATCCAAAACAGCCAGTTTTGTTGAGCCAACTGCCCCCACTCCTCCCAGGAATCCCAGTCCTCCCAAAAGTCCCAGGAGTCCTCGACAAAAACCGCATCTTAGCTTACTTGGCACTACTTAGTCAGCAACACATTTTGCCCACAAAACCTAGAATCTAGCGACAGTGTCATAATCTTTCCAGGTCTCAATTTCCATACAGAAATAATTATCCGGAAGAGTTCAGCAACTCATCTGACTTGTCTCTCAAAAAACTTGAAAGCCTTGCCTTACATAGATGGGAATGAAAAAGGATAATGAGTTACCAGAGTCCACAGTTATGAAGACAACAACCATGAATTGATTGCTCATTGATCAGCAAGTTTGGACCTCTTTGCCTCCCGCCAGCTCAAGCGATCAACCAAACTTTTCAACATTAAGGACTTCGGTGAAATAGGATCTTCAGATAAATCTATAGGAGAGTAATATAATTCTTCAAGCTTTTGTCGTAAAACTTTAAGATTGTATTCACACTTTTTCTGAATTCAGACAATAAACAGAGATAAATAAAGTTTATCGCTGGCCTCTGAAAAGCCACACTCCGAAATAGCTGCAATGGTACCTATGCACTTAAAGTAACACCAAAATCCGGAGATTCTAATGGCTATGAAAATAGATATAAAAAATGGTATCCTTCATAAAACTAGAACAGTGATTTTGAGCGAAGGCTTTAAAATGAGAGATGTGATACGAAAAATCATACCAATCCTCTCTCACAAGAGACGACGTAGTGTGCGCGTTCACGCAGGTCATTCTTCAGAGAATTCACTCGAGCTTTGTCATCTACTAACACTTGCTGCACCACCCTTTGATGGAAAGTACTTACAGCATCAGGTTGCCATCTTCGCAAGGCAACTGAAGCTCCTCTGAGGTCCACATCACACAGATTAGAAGAGGCAGAAATTAGAAGAGGCGCTTATTATATGATCCACTTGGTTTTTGACAGTACACACCATCATTTGCGAAGTCGGTCATCAGGTATGGAGTTTGATAGAATGTCTAGCCATAACTGAAAAGCATACCTGGTATATTGAGCAGCAAAAAGCTGTAGTCGAATATCTGCCGCAACAGCCTTCGCAGCAGCCTTCTCTTGCATGAGCTTTCTCTTGTAGTTTTGGATGCTTATTTCACAGGAAAAGACCGAGCTTTCAAGTCTCATTATTTGAAGCCTGCGCTCTGCTTCTCTTTTAGCTTTTCTCTTCTCAAACCTGAAAGGAGGAACACAAATCCACGGAAACTGAGCGAACTTGAGACAAATTAATTGTCCAATTACGACAATATAAACAAATGCACCCAAATAGATCTACAAACCAACACCCGACATTCTAGTTGTACGTCCATGTTCATTAGAAATCTCATGATCAGTAAATACTTGTGATTTAAAAAAAAAAACTTATACAAAGAAAAGAAAAACGTCCACAAAGGCCCAACACAAACACCCCCGGAAGAGCCGGAAATCCCAAGCGCAGTCCCACGTTTCCTAACTTTCACTCGAGATGTCTCCGCTACTCTTCACATCTACCTTGGAGACATGGTGAGTGAGAGTAGAGAACGTGAGGATGGGGTTCTGAACAAAGGGGTTTCTAACCCTCCGTTGAAAACTACGTTGTCCGAAACCCGAAAACCAATATTTGGAGAAATACAAGAGATATCGTGCCACTTTGCCAGCATACCAACCAGACACAAAGGTGCTGGTAACAGAGCCAAAAAGAACTGCACTTACTGGCCAGCAAGCTGTACATTAAGACTTATTCAGCTTACATCTTGAAGCCAGTGTACAGGTCACCGAGTTGCAACCCAGCGGGTAAGCTCGAGGAGCAACTCAGATGTACATATGACTTTGTAAAACAAATTTGGCTGTATGAGAATACAGCTTAAACTCTACAGAAGTGTACAGCTACAAACTTGCAACGTAAACCTTGTAAACGATTTCTCCTTGAGCAATACTCTTCCTCCCTTTTATCGTCACCACCAGGGTACAACGATCAGGGTCGTGTAAAGAGAGGGTAGTGTAAAGTCCATATGTCAAAAACTTCCCCATCACACCTGCTTCCTGCCCGCGCTGTGTCTTTAGAATGCGTCAGCCTTGATATGTGGTGGGTGAAAACCCTCAACCAACAGTAATTTACCCCTTCTTCAATTTGCAACTTGCTACATATTTCTTTTACAATCTGTAATTTACTTACAGAGTGCTGGTGGCAATGCACATGTCTGTGAAATAATGCATAATACGAATGCTCGTTGGACATATAAAAGAAATTTTATTGTGGTTTACCGGTCTCCAAATCTTCCAACAAACTTCGATAGTGTTCCCACCAACGAACTGATGGAATACTACAGCTTCAAACAATCAGAATTCCGGTCTAGTTTCTTCGGCCCCACACGTTTGAAAAAATTACCGAGTCAATCTACACCTGTGACATATGCATGACCCAAGGGCCTCACGAGACAACGCTTGAATCGACAATCGGGAAGAAAGATTGATTTGAACAAGGGCAGAGTTGGGAACAAACTTCTTCATGTACGAAGCCTTGGGGTCGACTGCACGTTCTTCCGACGCCTTGTACTCGCCGCCGAAGTCCCGTTCCAGCATCGGTCTCCATATCTTGCTCTCCTTGGAGATACGCTTCGCTCTCCTGCTCACAATTGCAAAGGAGCACAAATCCCGGGCCCTAAGACCATGCTCCCTCTTCGCCGAGTTGCGAAGGATTTGTGACCAAATCTCGTCGGGCAATTTCTCCATCAGTTCGTCAAGAATTCAAACCGGGCCACAAATTCGATTCGCTCGATTGGCATCCCCTCGTTCCAGAGTCATGGCACTTCTACGCAGAAGACTAAATACTGTCCAAGGAACAGCTTCCCACAAGGCGACGGGAGGGCTTGCAGCAAAAGAGAAAGTGCGTCGTCGCTGATGTCAGCTGCACAAATGGGACTCAGAGCTCGGGCCACGCGAGCCATCTCCTGGCGACAATTGTTCCTCCACCGCCTGCTCGAACTCCAATCTCGGTCTCCGTGGTCCCACTCACCGCGCGCTTTCATAACACTCTCTTTAATTAACTTTGTTCATTTTTCGTTGGCTTTTTCCCTTCTCGTACTTCCACGCTGTCAACCAGTGAATTGTTTAGAAGCATGTCTATGCAAATATAAGTGTTTTGAATGATCTTATTTGTATCGAACATATAGACTATATATTTACATAGTCCCATTTGAACATACATGATTTGGGTATTTCTTCTTATGATTTTAATCTAATTTCAATCATGTTAATTTGAGAATTTCTCGCATACGAATTTGTCGAATTGTGCGTGTCATCCTTGCGTAGCGGCCATGCTATTTTCTCTGTATGGTTCCAATTTTATAGGATGTTCCCGAAGGTTCATGGAGATTAGCTGTCTACAAATAAATAATTTGGAACTTTGTATATACATATATATAAGTGTTTTGAATTATCTTATTTGTAATGAACAAATAAATTATGTGTACACATACTCCCATTTGAACATATATGAATTAGGTATTTCTTCTCGTGATTTTAATCTAATTTCATTAATATTAATTTGAGAATTTATTTTTATCGGTATATAACTTTATGCTTTTCAAATAGGTTTGATATTTTCATAGCTATCATTTCACATATTCAATTGGAGTTATATGTTTGTGAGTATGTATCTTGCTGGAGATACATGGTGGGGTGCTGGCGTGATCGATGCCATATTTGATGGGTTGTGTGATACATCGTATCAATTATGTTATTAAATCGTAATCTCTTAGAGGGTAAACATCTATGTGGAAAATAGTCCCAATGATTATGAATAAAGTATTTTGGATGTGCATATGAGATGTGAGGAATGCGATCATATCAATATTTGTCATGTCCGAGATCCATGTATGTTTCTTTGTTGATTGTTTGAGGTTTAAAGATTGGATCTTATGATTGGTTAGCATGCAAAAAAGTTCTGCTATAGGACTTTTTGAGAATAAATTGTGATGTTTATGTTTATATTATCCTACTACATGACAAGGTTGGACGTGCTTTGTTCTTACACTTGACAGTTTGATTTTTGATCTCATGGATTATTTAGCGTCGTTTTGGTTCCTTATATCTCCACAATGATGTCTTTGGTATAAAAGAGTATGAGTTCTTACACAAGGACGAAGAGTTGACAAGCAGACTTTGAGAATTCTACACAAAGAATTGGGATAATGTCTGTCGAAGTCACCTATTTCAAGAGTCGGGTTCAGCCACAATATATGCTAAAACCAAATACAAAATTTTATGTAGTATATTGGGTTAAAGCTTGTCTATGTCATTCCTATCTGAGTATAGTTTAGCCACATGATATGCAAATACGGCTTAGTTACAATAGAAAAATATCTCAGAACAAACCCAGTACATATAGATGGAATGCACGAGACTTTCATAATTCGTGTGTGGTCAGTCAGAAATCTTTTGCATACCATTAGAAGTATGCAACTTGGGCCTATGTAATTTCTTCGCCGTAGTGTACGATAGATTCCACAAGTTTTTCAAGAAGTCATCGATGATGTAAAAGAAGATTCTAAAATCTGTAGGTTTATTGATCTCCTTGTCTGCCTTCAAACATAATCCCCAAAAAAAACTCTGATGAGGATACTCTTCCAAATTCCAGCGGTATCACCAATGCTTGAGCACGATCATCAAGACTTGTGAGATCAAAAGTCGTGTCTGATGGCTCAAATTGGATATCCAATAAGATTCGTACTTGAAGCTCCATCTTGAGATTGCCATATATATCCTCCACTTACAACTCCCATTCATTCGGACGAGTAAGGGTAGCAGCAACTTGAGACTCATTCTTGACGACGATCCGATGTAAATATGCTAAGCCAAGAGAACATTATACATCTCCAACCTTCCTTTGGAACTTCCCAAGACACTACTGTTTCCTCCTTGTGTTCCGCCATCGAGCCTTCAGTGATTGCAGTTCAGTCAAATGGGCACCTCTCCGACCGGTCAGATCCTGTGAAGTAATTTGTTATTCGTCAATTGCACATCAACAGAAAGACTGCAAATGACACTTGGTACGTTTAATAACAATTGCATTTCGCTTTCACCTTGGATTTGATGATGCCTTGCCTTAAGTTACTCAAGTTAACCAGTCAAACTACTCTCAATGATGTTGTTGTCTTTTTCAATGTCAAATAGCTATGAACATGGCAAACGTAGTTTTCCACAGCCTTGACATTGATGCTCATTCAGGATCAATCACGATTACTGCTTGCAAGGAACACGGTTGGGGAGTTCGCACTTAATTATAGGAAACTGGTGCTCTATCTTTTTCGCAAGCCTCGGCGTCGTCTTTCAGTAGGTACTACATTCCGTTTGTTGCGTTGAAAACTGTTTCCTACCAGCGGACAATATCCAGAAGGAAACATCCAGAGTCCAAAACGACAGCAGATTCCGGATGAAGATCAGAAATCAAACTTCGCAAATCCAGGACAAGACTAACAGTTCGCACTTCAGAGACAAGACGCGGTAGCTGTGTAGGTCAACGCTAGGGTCAGATAACAGGTGACAAGTCAGTATGGACACAGAAACTCTACCCACGACGCCACATTACCGGGCATCTTTTCAGGGAGGAGACTATAAGGAAGGTTTTAAAATACCAAGGCTAGAATGCACTTCTTGAACAGACCTTTACAGGCGCAAGTGTTGGTGTAGAATTACACTGGCAAGAGCCAGTACTCCATGGCGCTCAAATTTCTGTTCAGCTAAACGGAAGTCTCGCAAAACTCGTAATGACAATGAACATAAACATAAGCCTCATGTAAAAGCGATGCACTAAACGTTAAGCCCAGTGACATACCCAATGATATACCAAGTGACCGAACTCCTACTAATCTTTCTCCAGGGAAAAACCAAAGAAACCTGAGTTATTGGCCACACTGGATGCGCACAAACACCAGAATCGATGTTTGTAAAAAAGACATCACTCGCTTCCATTCTTCTTCAAAAGCCGTGTATCAGGTACGACCAATCTGCATAGAACAGCATGTAAACTGAACGAATGGGAAACAACAACCATAGTTTGTTTTGGGTCGTCGGCCCACATCCAAACATAACAATCCATTCTCTTTAAACGTGGAGAGCATACAGCGATGAGAACGTTTTCTGTACTCGTTGATGAATGGGGAGTAAACACCCCGTAAGAGCAGCGTGGTACGTTCCTACGATAAGAGACTTGTATCGAATCCAACATATGCACGTCATTCAGACATCGCCTAACCTCCATGAGATAAAAGGCTGAATGATCCAAAGCGTCGGTCTTGTCCGTATATACGGACAAGACCGAGGCATTGGGTCCCACCTACAACTGCTACTTTTCCATACAAAGAGATGAAACCTACGAATCTTCAGAACACTCGTATTGATTGTTCCATCCTATGATACAAGTTTCCCGCAACAAAAATGAACTCTGCATAAGAGGTGAAGACCAAAGACTTGCACCATTTATCAGCTTCCGTTTGAAATACAGTATATTTACATTGATTGGGGTGCATCTATTTGTTTCACTGAACCATTTCAAGCTCGTGGACCCCTTGGAGAAGTTAGAGGAGCAGTGGTAGTCGTCTTCGATGGTTGCGATCCAGGATTTGTCTTTTCTGCACCCGGAGCCGCAGAGGCATTTTTTGCATTACCCAACTCTTGTATTTGTTGGACTGCTGCGACAGACTTTTTGACCTGCACATTTTCGTGAGATCGACGTCAGCTCTATTTGGAAAAGAAATAGCTCGACATCAGCTGGCAGCTTCATGTTCATCAACAACGAAATCCAAAGTTTTGAACTAAGGCCTCACGTTCAGCTCTGGACTAGCTATAAACTTTAGCCCAACTGTAGAACTAGCCCACAACTGTACCAAAAGGTCAGGAAGAACTTACCACAGCTAGGCGTTGTTTGTGAGTTTCACTGACAGTCTGCAACCAAAACTACCACGAAAGAAAATTAGAACCATTGTTTCACCAGAATCACTGAAGGCTTCACTTGCCCTGCACCTCCATTGCAACCATGTCTCCGAATAACTCCACAGCATACCGTCGTCTCCATACCGAATTTCACTGAAGCCCCTTCTACTGGTGTGTATTTCAGATGTAACTTTATATTATTTGGTATAATAGTATATATTGCTATACGGAAGTTTCGTCAGAAAAGCTAGTGTAAACCTGAAGAGTACTCTGTAACCTTTAACAGAAATCACAACTCGCTCATCTTCTCTTGTTTCTTTCAAAGCTTGAAATTTGAGTTTGTTCTGGTGTGACCACATCTCACAAGTTAGCCAAGGACATTAAAGGTGTTACTTGAAATATGGGACGGACCCTACGATATATGACTATTTCATCTGCCAGGATAGGGAACAGGATGTACCGCTTCAATTCTATCTTCCCACTTTCACTAGCTCTCTTTTCCTTCTACATCTATCCCGTCTTTTCCAAGTAGCAAGTCTCTTCATAGCACCGCTCAGCCAGAGCGTGGAGTCTAAGGTCTTCAGGCTGTAAGATGCACATACTAATGAGTACAGTATCACCAGCTTTTCCTCTGCTTGAGCACCTCTGTCTTGGCTATGTGCATTTCCTGAGCAAATTAATACTGTATCACTGGTCTAGCATATATTATTGACCTCCTCATCCTATCCCACGATGGACAGGTCTCTGGGCTGTTGCAGTTCATGGGTTCCCTTGAAACTTCGCAGAATCTAAGTAGACCGGTCAAATTTAATGTCCAAATTTCATGTGAAAAATGTGATACTGTAATACGCAACTAGACGTTTACACGGTTCACCACGAACGACCCAGAGAATCACGACTGAGGAGATGAAAGAAAAAAATAAAATCTTTCTGCCAGGTAAACTATTCAGCCTGAATTGGTGATTCGACCAACTCATATATGAATCTCATTTGTGCTGAGCCCGGTAAGTGGGATCCTAAGATGTAACGATAACAAACGTTCATTATGAAGCATAATTTTACTTTTCTTTGAACAATAATCTCTTTACTGTGGTACAGATGGTAGACTCAGATGCCTAATCATGGATAATGAAAGACAATCAACAACGCATATAAATACAGAGTCAACTTACCGGCCTCTTGTAAGCGCGATATTCCTCTCCGCTGAATCCAGGTATCGTCAGGTGCCAGTTACGCTCTGTAAAGAGCATCAACAGGATTAGAGAAGGCTTTCGACTGTTTCAACAACTATTATTACCCAAGAGTCAAATGTAGATATCCCTCCAGTAAAAACTTTTAGGAGGAAACTATCCTTATAACAATGATGACTCCAACGAAGTAGAGAACATCCTGGGCGAAGTTTTGGTCTAGGCAGGACCGGCTTAATGACTCGAGACGAGGAGTGAACGACGATAAAGTCTATATTCCACAAAAAAAAACCTAATCACGAAACATGGATCACTGAGGCCATTTAACGTTAAATCTGTTAGGCGATTGTCAGAAGGCTAACAGATTACTCTTTTCGACCCATTACTATGCCTAAACTTTTGCAGTTAGTGGTTGATACTCAATACTCTTTAAATAATTCCCTAGAAAAGGTGAGATAACAGCAGAAGTGTTGTGTTCTGATGCCAAAAGACATAAGAAATAGGTATGATCGTTCTTACCTAGGTGAAGCAACACATCCTTCACTTCCAACACGTTGCCTTTACGATGTTTCGCCAAAGAACAGGCAAATGAAGTCACCTAAGATTAGAAGACAACTGAGTATTAATCAGACAGTAAATCAACTCTATTCAGGAACAATGTATCTGCACTTAGATTTGAACTGGAACAGTGATATCGACCGATTAGCGCACACAGCCAGTTAGGCTAACGTTCCCTATAAAGGATGACTTCGTCAACGAAATAAATCACTGCAAACAAGAACATTCACACTAGGACCAGTCTGTTGTTCAGTTTTGCTGATAAGAAGAGAGTTGTGAAGGGAAAATAATTCAAATCTGCTCGATATTTATAAGTGTTTGCCAATGAATTAAGCATCCTCGACAAATCAGGATGGTGTGGTGTAGAGAAAAGTGGTACGTCAGATTATTACCGATTGCACAAAGTCATCAGCGATATCCAAAAGCACATCCTCCACATCTGGGTCCAGCTTTTCACTTGGATCAATCTGTTGAAAAAACAGCCTTAGCACACAGTTTTGGCACAGAATGCACATTCATTGTATAAGCCATGACACATCGTTCAGCTCACGTACCTGTGAAACAAGATCCTGTATGCTCCTCTTTCCAAGAATTTGAGCATTCGGATCTGCAGGTTTGCTGCTAGTCCCAGCTGTACTCGAAGGAACTGTTGGCCCTGCTGCAGTTGTCTGCGGTCCATTTGGTGTTGCAGGTCGCTGGGTCGCAGCCTGCCTACCAGCAGGCTGTTGCTGTTGTTGCTGAGGTGGTTGTGGTTGGGCCGGTTGTGGAGCAGCTTGCTGTGGAGTTTGTTGTTGCGGTGGCGGTTGCGTAACAGGTGTTGGTTGCTGTACTGTTGCTACAGCCGTTGTAGACGATGAAATCGTTTGCTGCTGAACCTGCGGTTGTTGATGTTGCTGCTGTTGTTGTTGCTGTTGCTGAAGTTGTTGTTGCTGCTGTTGTTGCTGTTGTTGTAATGCCGGCTGTTGAGGCTGAGCCCGCAGTTGTTGCATTGAGTTAACATTTTGGTGATTATTGACTTGCCCAGTTACAGCATTGGTCTGATAGGGAACTGAAGGTGATTGATTCAGGACAGGCTTCATTTGGCCTGCTGGAAGCCAAGACTGTGTCGGCGGCACCAGAGAACTATTCTGCTGCGCTGACGTTAGACCCTGCATCTGCGAACCCAGTGACCCAGCAGATGGAACCCTTGTAGTTTGTTGTGAAGGTTGCTGCTTCTGTACAAGTTTGACGTGGATGAGAACTCTCGTCTTGTAACAAACAATCACGCTAGATCAAAAAAACTGATCACACAAAAGCAAACCAAAAAAGGGAAAAGATGGAATATAGCCACAAAGTAGTGGCCATATTTCATCTTCTCATTAATAGTGGACTCTCATATACTAAAGACGCCCAGCCGTGACAGTATTTGCAACGTTTTTCTGTTGTTCTTAGTCTTCAAGGCTCCCTATTCCTACTAAGATGTAAACATGACTTACCGATAACGCTGTCAGGTGCGACTGCTGCTGTTGAACGGTTTGTTGCAGTCTTGAACCAGATTGTTGCATCCGTTGTTGCTGAGCCGAAAGGGGAGTAGATGCCCTCGCGAGTTGGGACGCGATGTTACCAGAGGCAGTGATGCTACCTGGACCCATCATATTCATCGCGGGAGATGTTTGGACAACCCTCTGGGTTGTGTTTGCTCCACTTTGGAAGTGTGACGCTTGGCCCTGGGCTTGTTTTTGTCTTGCCTGAAAGGAGCCAAAGAACGTATTTGACGTTAGCCTCAGATTGACATTAAACGGAAAGTTGGACAGGCTAGTATAGACACAGAACATGACTTCAAGGGACAAAGAGTGGAATACACATCGTAAGATTAGATAGAAATGTTCAAGATACATTCAAAATGACGTCAATTAGCAGGAGAATATATCCCCAGGAGAAACTACAGCTTTTTCTTAACACCTAGCAATCTTGCCATGAATTTTCTGCTTCATGGCAGTATGATATGAATAGTTACACGACCGCAAGAACAAACATCTGCGATCTGCATAAGCAATTCAAAGGAACGTGGAATCTCTAGGTTGAATAACAACTTCGTCCTTCCCCGAGAAATGGAGAGGCATAAATGTACCTGACTTAACTGACTCCAATAAAGAACTAGATCAGGAAACTGGAAATGTATCTATAGACCATCTTAGACATGTCTTTCAACTATATAAATCAAATAGCTTTAAAAAGAAGTTGACGGTTTATCTACTTGATTTTCAGTAGGACGAAAACTTTGCTGTAACAAATCCTAGAGATGGTAAGAATTGCATCACCATCTACAAAGTGGATCGTTTAATCGCGTAGGAAACTGTACCTGCAATGCTTGCTGCTGAGGTGATGTGAGCTGTGATTGTAGCCCTACATAATTTTGAGATGCGGGAAGGGTTAGCATGTTGGGTATCCCTGGAGTTTGACTTTGGGGTGTACCGCCAGTGGTTCCAATCCGGCCAGTTCCTGCCTGCTGCTGCTGCAAATGATGTCCATACTGAGAACCAACAGATTGCTGGGTCTGAGAATACAACGATGGCCGAGACGAGGAATGAATTTGTTGCTGAAGCGTCTGGTTTTGAGTACCAACTTGCTGGCCTTGAAGGAGATGTTGATTCTGCTGAGTAAGCTGGCCCGTTTGTTGTGGTGATTGCTGAGGTCTTTGTTGCGTGGCTGAATTGGTTTGCTGTTGCTGATTTTGATTGTTCCTCTGTGCAAGAAGCTGCTGGTGTTGTTGTTGTTGTTGTTGTTGTTGCTGCTGCTGCTGCTGCTGGAGAGAGGTGCTGGCAGACAATGAAGCAACTCCTGGTGAAGACACCGCGAGGGATCCAGAAAGAGATGGTGCTTGCTGATTAAATTGAGTGCCAGTAGGCAGTAGAGATGAAACCCTCATCCCTGAAACAGCCGTTCCCGCTTGTTGTAGCAGAAGGCGCTGACTCGATGCAGTTCGTTGCATTGTCTGAAGGCCTTGAGATGCAGAAAGACCCTGTTGCATCGAGGACCCTTGTTGCCCCTGGGATCCGACAGACATGTTTTGTGCGTACTGTGCTTGTCTCTGCTGCTGCTGATTTGGGTTTATGACCTGTTGTGCAAGGTGTTGATTTTGACCCACAGCCTGCTGGCTCGAGTGCAGACCTTGCTGCTGACCCGCGTTTTGCCCAAGAGTTTGACCTCCGGCAATAGCCTGCAAGTGTGAAGGTGCATTTGCCTGCTGCAAGCTTTGTTGATACGTCGGCATGCTCACATGAGAGCTAACCATAGATGGCTGACTGGTAGCCGTGGAACCGGACAGCTGCTGCTGACTTTGAGAATTCTGCTGCGGGGCGCTGGTTGTTGGGGTAGCCGCAGCTGTAGCCTGTGAAGAACTCAAGCCTAACGAAGATGTCATGGCTCCCAGGCCAGAAACCAGCGAAGAAGCTGCTCCAGAAGCTCCAGTCGATGAAGAGCCCTGCCCCGACGAATGCTGCATTGCAGATGACACCGTGGGAGCTGGTGCTGACGATACCTGGGCGGCAGAGCCGGAGAGCGGAACTTGCCCATCCATGGCCAACTGATGCCTCTACTTTATACGGCGTGTACGTAAAGAATCACACTTCTAACCTGTTTCGATTTGAACGCTCAACGATACAGCTGCTCTGAAATCTCCTTAAAAATGATATCCGCGATACAGTATGCATCCGGTGTATCAAGCAGAGTCATCCCTCCTTAGGAAAAAAAACTATTGCATACGAACGGCATGTGCAAAGTGTACCTGCACATCATTTGCAAGCTCGTGCTTTCTTCGTTTTACAACCCGCGACGACTACGCCAAAATCCCACCAGTGAGAATCCGATCTCTATCCAGGGAATAACTTTACAAGAGGTGTAGTGACAAGGATGAGCTAATGAGTTCAACCAATCTTTCTAAAACCTTGATAATTTCATGTCTTCACACCAAGGCTCATTAATTCAAACTCCACTGTACAGAACGATGCGAGCCTGAAGCAGAGTTTCATTCCAAATCAGTCACCAAACAAAATTTCGTTGCCAACTTCCTTCACAGTCAGCCGTCTACCTTCTTCAGCATGCAGGTGCTCTCCCTTACCCTCGCCTCTTCGTCTCAGAGACCAAGAGAGATGGTCAGTCACAGCCACAGAAACAGCGTCCAGAGGAAGTATGAATGAACGCGTAGAGCAGAAAGAAATCCAATCCGCTTCTCACAAAATGCTACCCATCCGCAGCCCGCCACAGCCTTCTTCTCGATGCGCCTACATCCGGCGGGGCCAAATCACACCCCGATGGTTTCTAACCACATGAAAAATTATGTAAATAAACCCTGAGCAGATGTTGAGGATGTTCAAGAGGAAACTCATCCGCAGCATGGCTTCTTTCTTTCTTCTTTCTCTGTAGCTGCCTGGAATAGTGCTAGAGCAATCCGACTCCGCCGCCGTGCCCCGTGCAGAAGCTTCTACTGTTCGCTCGTTTAAAAGACCCTAAATCTCGTAGCAATACTCTTAATCACAATTTCGTGATTCCGCGATCTCGAGTTCGGGGTTTGACTCAGGGCAAATTTCATCGACGCATTCTTTGAGCTATGCTCGAGCGAAGGCTCTGCGCGCGCCTGTACACGGCGTCCTCCTTGTCGTCATGACTACGCTTAAAATAGACGACCGCTACCGTCGCCGTGGTTTGTCCAGTTTTACTTGCGGGAAATGTCCGGAGACCGAGCCGCTAAAGACATGGACGGGTCCTTAGGACCTCGATCAGGAATCTCATCAGGCGCCAAATCTCGACACAGAGCCGTCAGTACGGTCTCTCTTCCCTTGGCTACTCTCAGACCCTCACCTGGTAGCAAAGTAGATTGTCTGTCATGTAGGACAGGAGCTAAATCCTTGGCTTCACGAGGTAACATTAATGACATTCTTGAGATCTCTTTGAACACGAAAATTTCGGGCTGGATGGAGGATAGGTGATGACTCTGTGGGTAGACATTTCATGCACTAGCTGCCTTTGTATACAACTCCAAATCCTTCGCCCACGATGCAAGTGGTAGACTGTTGAGTCATCTTCTCCCTGCTCAGTCAGCAGTGCCATACTCGTGTAGAGGGGATACCTGTTTCTTCTTCGTTCTTAGACAATCAAATTGCCCTCCCTCTCTCCACCCACGTAGTTCACTTGTTGTGCTCCATCTGTGGGGCTTTGTAGTGCAGGTTCATACAACTTTCACAGATGATCCCCCCCTGTTGTGTAAGGAGTGGGACCCTGCGTGTACGCTTTCGCCATGTCACCTTAGAAGCTGCTTGACAATGGCAGCGGTGCTGAAGTGTACCTCCACGCAGATTGGAGAAAGACGACCTTGTGTTTTAGTTCTTTTGGTGTCTGACTTGTTCACGTATTGGTGTGCTTCAATGCAGCACAAAGCGTTCTGTCAGATCTGTGTAGGGGCACGGAACTCGCTTTATTTGTCATACTGTACCTTAAACATAAGGGTCACTGAAGATTTGCAGAGGGTTGTACACAGTTCTGTATCAATTAACCATCCCACAAGACCTGGATGTCAACCGAATAATATGGGCTCCGGGTATGACACTTCGGCGAACATCTCGACGTTCATTTTGTCATCAAAGACGAGACGCACTGCAGAACCTTACTCACAGGTCACAGTTTACATGAAACATGACATTTTGTTCAATATCCAGTGGTCAGGGTGTGATAAAGAAAAAAATGCACGGGTGCTCCAGAAGACAACCTGCTAAAAAAATTGATGAGGTTAACTAGAAGTACAGAGAAGTAACCTTAATATATTTTCACCCAGTACAGGGCTTAGTTTTAGGTAAATGGGGGCAATTACGACTTGAAACTGACAATGCACCTAAACAGTAAGAGGTGCGTAAATTATAGACTTCACAACTAATCTCTACTATTCTGCTGTCTAGCTAGCGAAAGATCATATTACATGAACTGGTCTTCGAGAACTTCCTTCAACACTTCCAGTCGGCTGATGACTTCCGGATTCATGAGATTTCGTGCTTCTTTTATGAGAGTCCCTCGTTTATTGGTGTGGTAAGCATCCAAGATAATCTTCACCCACTTATGCAAGTTCTCCGGGGTCCTGTTCAACGAAGCCAAAAGATGCGGGTCTGTCAGTTTGACAACACATAATGGCTCAAATAAAAACCAAGGTGACTGCAAGCTGGTCCTGACACTTAGTGAAAAGAACATGAAGAACAATTCGATGAGGAACAGAGGAACCGGTCGGAAACATCCAACAAACTATTAATAAAATACTTTCTATGCAACTCTGAAATCCAATTCGCTCACACAACAGGCCTGGGTGTACCAAGCCTGTCCAATTCAAGACCTGCCCAATGAAAGTGAGAAACCTTAAAACTTACGTGTATAGCGTGTCTTTGTTTTTCCCCTCGAGTTCATCTCCAGGAGAAAAGGCATCCGTCATAGCGGCAAATCGTTCACGCGGGTCCGGAATAGCCAGGAGATGTCGGATAATGCGAACCTCGCTGGGTACAAGTCTCTGCATGTTACCCCTCGCAACATTGTACAAATGAAACATGATGTCTTTCACCTGCAAGAGAAGTAATTTGGTTCAATTATAGGACAAACTTCGCCGAATCAACCAATAATGTGAAATAGAAGCAGCCTGTGGAGCGAACCGTGACACAAAAAAAAGCCTCGAATCCTCGAGATTCGGAGGAAATTCAGTCTACACTGACGCATCAGGCAGGTGGCACGTACAGGCGCATCTGAGTCATTGACTATTATACCTTGGAAAGAAGTATGACTGTGGTCACATACCCATTCTACTGGAGGTACTGGACTTTGAGAAGGATAGAACATGGGTTAAGATTATGAGAAAGAGGTTACGTCACGATCAGTGCCCGCACTCACCTCTTCCTTCATCATCGTGGATTCTTTAGCTGCTGCCCACGCCTTAGTGATGAGAAGCATCAAAGTTGAATCAAGTTCCTGTCTCTGAGCTAACTTGTCAATTTTGTTCGCCGCGGCTTCTAACGAAGGTGAGTTCAGAATGTCATCGAACTTCAGCTGCGCCTCGGCGAGGTATTCGTCATCTTCTTGTGCGGCATCATACGCTTCGACGGCTGACAAGCACCTTCCTGCAATCGCCGCTATTTCTGCAAACACAAGTCAACAAGGGGGGCACCGGCTCTATCAGTGCTTACTAGACTCCTCAAACAAACTTTTTATCCAGTAAATTTTACAGAAGCTCTTTCTAAAGACCCTTCACCTCAGTACTACGAGGTGAAGGGCATGCTAAGATGATTTGCGACTTCCGCTTTCGATATCCTCGTCACTGAAACCGAGGACTGCTCTTCCCATATTGAGCCAGCAGTTCGTGTTCAGCTTTACGGGTTTGGAAAGAGAGACAAACTGGTGAGAAAGACATGTCAGATAAAATCTACGTTTTTCACCAATACAGGAGGTGCCTTCACGAGAGGCGATAATCCAAACGTATAACAGCCATACTCAAAAATTGGGTCACAAAGTAGAAGGTTCGTACCATCTCGCCGATTGAGATTTCTATAACTGGCGTCACAAAGGGTGTGTAAGTGTTCAAAAAAGTCACTGGTGAAGTCCTTCCGTCGCTTGGCAACAATTATGTCTAAATTTAATGGCGTCTTCTCTATTTCTGCAAGTAAATCGTCATGCCGCAACATATCGTCGTCAACCTGAATTACACAAAATGATCAAAATTCATGTTCAGATTTTCCACAAGAAAGTCCCCTTTATCTATAAACCCTAAACCCAACAGAAGACTGTGTTACGATACGAGGATACGAGGAAGGCATCTAGAAAGAGCAAATCTAAGTACCATGAAAATGAAGGCTCAAGCAGCTTCAGAACCAACCAAGAAGACATTAGGAACTCAAGAGAACGTTAACTATCTTGGATTTCACGCAATCAAGCTGGCTGTACATGAGCCTCTGACCTCCTTCAATTTCCGTGCGAGCTTCAACAAGTCGCCTCTCCTCTTCGGATCTTCTTCGGCCTTCGCATTTGTTTTGCATCTCTTGTAGAAGTGAGGTCTTATTCTAGTCCACTCCTCGCTGAAAGCCAACAGCTTTCTCCATTCAACAGGGGTTTTTTTCTCAATCATAAAGACTTCTATCAACCGGTCACAAACTCTACTCATTTTATATCCCATTTCCAATTCCTCGTCCTCGACATTTTCCTCGGCTCGAGTCTCTGCATCCCCGCTCTGATTTTGCGTCTCCTCTACCTTTACTTCAACTTCCCCGGACCCTGTAACATCTGCTTCCAATGACCCGACCCTGTTTTCAGACTCAGAGACAACATTTGCACTTCGGGCAACATTCAGCCTTCGGGGGAAAGCTTTTCTTCGTGCAACTAATCTTCCACACCCACCATCGCCAAATTCCAGCTTCTCGTTGCTCCTCAAACCAAGTCCATACCGCACCCTGTCTGGAAACTCGACCCTCGAAGAACAGCAGAGCATAACCCCGCCAGCATCATTCGCCGAGCTAGCCTGGCCAAATCCAGGTCCGGCAGGTGGGATGGTCAAAGCAGGACTGAAGCCCAATCTGAGCGCCATCTCTCGACAGGAATTCGGATCTCCAGCGACTACGAGCAATTCGACGTCTATTCAATTCCCGGCGTGCGTGCCTGCAAGACCACTAAACCCGTAAACCCTTCGGTGAGATGCGCCCGTGGATAGGGAACCTGTCTGCCAACGTGGTGGCTTAAGGAAGAAGGAGAAGAAAAAATAATAATAATAGTAATAATAATGAGGTCCAAATAGGGAGAGAAAGAAGCCGAACCAATTGACGCGATGCCATTAACCTTTGAAAAACGATCGATAGGGATTTCGGATTATAAATTCATTCCATTGAGAAGCTTTGGCATTTTTGAGATACATTTTTTCTTCACTGAAATCTTATGATCAAATAAAACTTTCAGTTCTATATAGAGTACATTACATCTGTATTCAGTAATTGATGTTAAAAGTATTAGTTCTCCGCTTTATTTACGCGACTGGTTAAAATTAATGTTCTTTTTATAGAATAATGATTTTAGAAACTTATTTGAAATCAAAATATTCAATAAATCAGAAACTGGATTTTTACACACCAAAAAAAGTGTAAAACATCAAAAATCTAAATACCGTTAAAAATTCAATAATGATATCATATTCTTGCAATGAGAATTAATCAAGCTGGTTCAAAAAAATTTCATTCAATAATTGATAAAATTTTGGAAATGTGCATGTATAATGTATAGATGAACAAATTATCGGACCAACAACTATGCCATCATTTAATAAAAATGTGTGATTTAACCTACTCATGTGCGCTTGTTATAAGCTTTTGAAAACGAAAATACGGTCTAAAAAATCTCTATATTAGAACCTTACTAATATGTTAACTATTCCCACTACCATATCGGTACATCCAAATGATCAACAAATATAAGATACAAAAGGTGTGTTTTACCTTTTACAAAATGTCAATGATAATATAAGGGTCAACTCCAATGTGCATACCAAGGGATCAGATCATAATTATTGCTCTCTCACATCGGCGTGTTGCAATTCAAAGGATTCTATGGATCAGGTCACAAAACATGAAGTTTCAGACACTTCTTGAGTCCAACTATGGAGTAAAATGAACCCACAGCAAGTACAAATATATTCCAAAAAGACATGGTCCTGCATCAGGTATACACTATAAACCATCGACACACATATATATGTCATCTCTAAATATAGTTCAATACATAGATATACCAATACGAGAACATTGAAATGCAAAGAATATTGAATATTCTCTTTGACTTTTTTCTCTATGGAGAAGGGTAAATACTCTGAACCTCTTTTGCTTTGTTGACTACTGTATTAATGCCAATTGGACACAATGCGGGCTCTGATTGATTTACCGGCGAACCTGACTTTCTCGTCGCTCGACCTCCGCCGAGTCTGTGGACTCTGCGGAAAGATGACACGAGTGGCGGATGGATATCTTGAGTCGGCCGATGACACGCAGCCACACCAGCGATCCCACTTTTGATCGAGCCTTGAAAAACCCCCCGAGCGCCGGGACTGCTCGTCTGCTGCGGCTTAATGGCCGGGCCTGGTGCGTGCATTGAGGATTCGTCGTGGAGTTGGAATTGAAGGTGAGCATTTGCATTTCGCACTTGGCGCCTTTGAAGTGGCGGAATTTGAAATCTGCGATTGTGCAAGACAGAGTCCGCTTTCTGGAGCGTGAGGCCTGCAGAGAAGAGGTAGATTTTGTTCGCCCCGCTCACCTTCTGCTTTTGTTCGTCGATGACGGTCTTCGGCCTTGTGCAGGTGTTGGAATTAATTCTCGTCCGCACGAACAATTTCTCCACACCCATCCATCCGCACACTTCCATTCCATCTGCATAGGTACCTCCTTCTTACGCAGTTCCGACCCATCAGGAATCAGTCTAGTAGCACACCGCTTCCTGGTGTCGGTCTTTCTGCAGTGCGAAATTGAGCGTCGAAGAAGATGCCAATTTGAAATGGAATAAACCCTTGGCTCACAGCAGTAGGCAACATCTCTGTACAAAGATTAAAAAATTGTATGCTGGCGCGTTTCTTGTTTCTGGCGCGCAGGAATGATGGAGAATCTGGCGATCCAGATTTCTGCAAGCAGCTGTAGCCAGGTGTTGGTAAAATCACCCTGTGCTTCTGGAAAAGTGCAAAATTTGCCGCAGTCGTCCTTGTTTACCGTGAGCCTGCGGACAGGAAGCAAGTTTTCGAGTTCCCGTCGACCTGTTGCATTGAGGCATCTTTGCAAGCAGTACGTCGGGCCCAGATGCAGTACGCTGGAGCTAGCTAAGCCAAGTAAAGAGAACGAGGAGAATTCGAGTGGTGATAGCCGTGAACTTCTGGACAGGCAGGAAGAAACTGATGTGAATCGAAAAACGGGTTCTTTCAATTGGTTGGAGCAATGGTATCCTGTGGCTGTCGTAAAGCACATGGACAAATTGCAGCCTCGTGCAGAGACAATCCTCGGCCGGGATCTGGTAATTTGGTGGGATCGTAACGCGAATCGGTGGCAGGTGTTCGACGATGCATGTCCACACCGGACAGCTCCTCTTTCAGAAGGGAGAATTCACGAGAGTGGTCACCTACAGTGCTCTTACCACGGTTGGACCTTCAACTCCTCTGGATCATGTACCATGATCCCTCAATTGGAGAAGGGTCGAGAACAGGTACTGTCCTTGAGCAGCTTACCATAATTCCTTTCCCTGGTCTCGATGCGAACGTGAGCCTACTCAACGTTGGAGTGTTTGAGCTGTTCAATGTTATTTTGTGAGGAGAAAGATGTAGACGATTTTATGAAACCTTAGTCGCAGCTTCTGAATTGATTTGCATAATTCTCTCTCAGCCTTTACGTTCTTTCTTTCATGTGTACCGATAGAGGCTGGATGTATTGTCAAAAGAATTTAACATTTTTCCTCCTCCATACGCTGGGGACACTCAATTGCAGGCATTGAATTCTAGTCGAGCTTGTGTAAAAATTTACGTTTCAATGGAACATCAAGGCATGATATGGGTTTGGATGGATAGGGCCGAGGGGGCCGAAGAACGTGCTGCTGCTAATCCTCCTCCTTTCATTCCTTACCTAAACGATCCGAATTATGTCTTTGATATCGGAATGATGGATCTACCTTACGGGTACGTGTGCAGCTTATTATTTTACATCTCGGTATTAATCATGTAAAGATCGTCCCATTGATATTCGATAGATCTTTTTGGCCGAAGACCAATCATCATCTCATGAGGATCCGAGTCTGGAAAAGTATGGATGTAGCATACTCATGGGCCAAGCGGGATGTAAATTTAGAGTGTTGCTTTCTTGTTAGACATATCTTAGTCGTCAAGTACGGAAGAAGTTTTTGATTGTTCTCATAAATGAAGTCAGGGTTCCCTTCATACATCTTTCTTAAGAATTTGCGCTCAACTACATTCACCCTACTTGTCTGAATACAGATACGAGTTACTCACAGAAAATCTGTTGGATCCATCCCACGTCCCTTTCGCTCATCATAAGATTCAGGCAAGGTTCCTTCATCACTTTTTCTTGGCTTTCCCAGGTTGCATCTTTCGTATCTTGTGATGAGTTGGTCTACAGCTTGAAATATAGGGGACGACTTATTTATATCTCACCATCATTGGTCCTTCGTCATAACATGCATCCGGTTGTCCTTCGGGTTTTTTTATTTGCAGGGCAATCGAAATACAGCAAGACCTTTAAACCTCAAAGTTGTCGACTCTCACATTCAGGGCTTCAGTGCCAAAAGAGAGGAAACAATGGACCTTATATTCCACGCCCCTTGTTTGTCGAGAATGGACTTCAGAATTCCACCTCCGAAGACGGTATGTGAGTAGCCAACGCGAAGGCCAGCTCTGAATTCGCAACACCGTGTTGGTCTGCTCTCATCCTGCACTATGCTTGAATTTAGGAGGTGCGGCTATTGTATCTAAATGTCGTCGAGAAGAGTGCGTTGCACTGTCTGAGAATCAGTATTCAGTTTCAGATGTGTGCGTTTGCAGCCGCCCAAAGGACATCCTCTGGCTTTGAAGGTTCGTGAATGGATCGCGTCCAGGAAGCAGCCTAAGGTTGATGAAGAGGTCAAGCAAATTTCAACTATTTTCTTTTGCGTGCCAGTGGCCCCTGGGAAGAGCAAAGTTATCTTCTCTTTTCCCAGAAACTTCGCCCAGCTGGTATTCAAGCTAACACCGCGGTGGTTTGGCCACTATTCTCACATGGCAGTCATCGATTCCGATCTGCTACTTCTTCATGAGTTGGTACGATGTTACTCCGAAGTTCACGTTCTCTCCTTGTTCGTGCTCCTCGAAAATTTACGGATATAATGACCTTTCCTTTTTCTGACAGCCGTGCTTGTCATGAACAACTATCAGGAACATCGGATTCAGGAACGTGGTGGGGATATAAAGCCGCTGTACTTCACACCTGCTTTAGCTGATACGTGTGTAATGGAGTTCAGAAAATGGTTCAAAACTCTGGCACAAGGTAAAGTGGATTATGGAGCCAAGTCCTCCAGCACTCTGCCGCCACGTCCTCCGAGGAGAGTATTATTCGACAGGTACGTGAGTCTTGTTGATTAGACACATTTCATGAATCCTATACTTCCCCTGCAAAGTTTTCATGATTGATCTCTCCTAAACGTAAATAACATTCGTTGTCCACTTCTGTGATAAGCATGGATTTTCTTCTTCCTACTCTATTCGGAGAGAATAGTTACAATTTCTTATGAAGTGTCTGAAGGCGAACCTTTTGTGCAGTCTCGTGTACTTGTTTAGACTTATTGGATGGCCGAGTAGCGGATGAAAGAATCGTTGCACATTAGCTGACCAGATTTTACTCGTGCTGTGGACCTTCCCTACAGGGGCATTTCACACGTCGCCAAGTGTAAAATATGTTCTGGTGCAGCTGCCAACTTCCGAAGACTGAAAGAAGTTTTACAAATAGTGTCAGTTGCGCTGGTGGGATTAGTCGGAATAGCCTCTTCAAACTCATGGCACGTTCTGAGTAATTTTAGTGTCCCTTTAGTATGCCTGGCCATCGCCAGTGCTGTGACCTCCATATGGTTGTCGAGGTTTATCAAAAAAATGTACGAATATCATGATTACAACCATGCCGTAGTTGAATAATAAACATGACATGGTTCAAGCACGTCGTCATGTGCAACCAGGACAATGAGTTCTTTCATTCATATAATGTCTGCCCCCTGGGTCATTTGAACACTTAAAAACAGAGGTACTGTTTCTTCACCTGTTTCGACACTACTCCTTGCATGTATAGATTCCCTTTGCTACGATGAAAAAACCGCAACAGTGACTTGGATGGGTTCCGTAGTTTGGTCGATTTCTACTCTCTACTTAGGGCGGAACTTTCGAGGTGCTACGGCGACGATGTAAGCATTCCATGCATCTTCCTGTAAGAAACTTGTCACCTCCTCGTACTTGGCCTTGGAATCAGTTGCAGTGGCTTCATCGTCATCCCTTTCATGAGTATCTGACATCTGCTTAATCCAAATATGTACCGAACTAAAACCGGCCTCCAAGAGACACTCCTTAACTTCCGGGATGGTCCACAGTCGCCAATAATACGAAAACGCATGGCGGATTATGCCTTGGTTGTTATTGAGTCGGAAGTGCAAACTTATTCTTGTCGTTCTATTGACAATGTCGAATTCCTCCTGCTCCCAGGTATACGAGAATTTCTCAAATCGGCGACGAAGCTTCAAAGCACACTCTGATGAAGTGCCTCCGTACAAATCCATTGCAAAAATACCTCCATCCTCGTGTATAGTTTTCAATGCTTCTCGAAAGTACTTAACAAGATCTGCGCGTTTCTGTAAACAACAGCAGCTGTAATTGAAAGAGCAGACCATGTCAGCTCCCGGGAGCATTTGGGCTGCAGAGAAGGCTCCCGGATCAGAAGGACCTTCCACATTGGAAGATGGTCCGTCCAAATCAACTCTCTCATTCTCGTCATGCAAAGACTGCTCTTCAAGCTTCCTCGTCAACTCAGGGACGAGGGATTCATCCGCTAAAATTCTCGAAGCCCTGGAAATGTCATCCAGCACATTTCCGCAGAACAAATGAACGCGGTTGTAAGCGTCGACGCCGGCTTTGCAAATATTATTCTGCAAACCCCATCGCAACGCCTCCTCGTCGAGATCCAACCCCACGGCCGTCCGACGGGAGTCGGCACGGACCCATTCCGTGCAGATGAGCGCGGTACCGCAAAAGTCCTCGCGCAGATGAAGAGGAGTCCGCCCTCCGACGTAATTCAAGAAGAATTTCTGCAGATAGCTGATGTCGCCCTTGGGCGATTGCACGGCCCGCTGATAGAGCGCGTGCTTGTCCTTGGCAAACGCAGCCTCTGCCCCCACTCCATTCTCCTCTCCGAGCTCCGACTCCTGCTTCGCTCCAGCGTCGTTGTCGATGGTGCTGGGGCTGGCCGATGCGGGGCTCGCGATCAAGTAATTACTGGCATTGTAAGCGCTATAGCTCCGCTGACCTTTCTGCCCCTTCTTGTTCACCATTCCTCCTCTCCCTCAGACTGAGCGCTCTCGCTCGGTCCACAAACTTACGACAGCAGCCGAAGCATTTGTGCCGTCCGAGCCCACGGACCCCTCCCTCGGTCTCGGGGCTTGTCCATGTCCTGCCCCTCCCCGCACGTTCGGTTCGATTCCGAACGGGCCTTCGCGGCTCGTTCCGACTTGTGTCGTCGCATCCCGACGGGAGCCGGTGTCGGGCAGGGCGAGAGAATATTCTCTCAGGACACTAACTTTCGATTGCCGCGTCTCCCGTCGACGGGAGCTGACTGGAAGCAAGCTCTCGCTGTCACCTGGTCTCTCGTTGACCGGCAACATATCCAAGGAAGGACGACCCCATCACGTCCTTCGTTGATGAAATCCTACCGAGCGGTGGGATGGGGATATCTTATGTGCATGTAGTAATTCGCCCGAGACATGAAAACTATCTTCGTCTGACTTCGACCTTGAGCTAGGACATGTTAAGAATCAACGCCTGAACGAATATTTCTTATTTATATATTTTTACTTGGTAGCAGTTAGTTATTATTCACTTAGGGTTGATTAGACCTCACTCTATTATATATAATTAATTGATTAGTTAATGGATGAATAACAACTATTTCTAAAATAGGGTGTTCAACATGTAGGAAGGTGAGGGCTAATTACCCCTGTGTGAGAGATAATTAACCCCTCCCTTTGATTTTATATACAAGTGCTCTATGTATAACAATGGATACATGATGAGCCAAATACAGTAGGTTACATGAAAAAAAAATGATATTGTCGTCACCTAGTATGATGTGCTCTTGAGCACTGAGTCATTGAAATGTGTAATCAGGATACCTCTATACACTGTCTTCGTCGCGTAGCACGGTCTGATCTCACCGCTCCTTCAGAAGTGTGTAGAATTCGACATGTCCTTCCACTTGGATAAGGATGGCTGCTAGCTCTCCACCTGTATTTTGCATAGGACGATGGGTTCAATTCAATTTTATTCAAAATTGTGCCATGTGTAAAATTTGTATCCATGTACTCAGCGGTCAAGTAAAGGTGGGGTTAGAGCCGAGCACATTGCATATCCCATCAACACTTTTCCTTATAAAAGTTTTCACCTTCAAGAGGTACTGTAGTGGTAAATAGATCAAGTGAGTGAGCAAATACGTTATCCATGATTGCATACCGGATAATAATACTTGAAAAGAGCAATAATTCATGGACCCATGAATGCATGGGAATACCGCGGTCCACACACACCACTCTTACACATTGGTAATGTAGATAAATATGGGTACACTAAAGCCAAGTCTAAAAGCCAAAAGGGAAAGCTTTGTATGTGCTAAAAGTCAAGTACCAACCAAGATCCATGGTTAGTATTTGTTGCGGCAACTCTACAATCGAACAAAATACAAGATCGAGTGAGATCACAAATGAGGAGATTCCTTACACAAGATTCAGAATAAAGCTCAAAGTGGAAAAATTAGCAATAATATGTAAATAACAATGTCCCGAGACTTTCTATATATACTCCGATCAAACCCAATGATTGATAGTATTTCTATCATTCCGAAATTGTGAAAAGGCAGCGAAGAATTCGAAGCTGGTTATGTGTCAATTCCGAGACAATATGTCTGCACCTCCAACAGACAAAGAATGGTGTAGTCATTTCTGGAAATACGCAGTAATAATAACTCTAGGATAATTCACACCCTCCGCGAACATTTTATACATCTCAAAGATGTAGATTATGTTCTCTAGTACCAATGATGCTACAAGTTCAGCTTCCTCGACTGATAATGAACAAAAATATGCACAATATATGGAAGAAGATGCTTATATAACTGTCTTATTTACGTTGCCATCCCTCGTAACGGACATCATACCAGGAAATGGAACGTGGGTTACTTTATGCCAAAGACTGCGCAGGTTGACGCTTAGGTAATGTACGGTGAGTTCTAATGTCTTATCGCTGCTTCGTTCCTCTGTCCAACTGCAGTTAGGTTCACGACGGTGGCAGGGAACGTGACCACAGTTCTCCGCGTACGGTCGTGTACTCTACGTTGGTCGTTAGGGCTCGCGTGAGGGCCTCTGACCAGAGGCTTTTGGTTGGGTTGGGTTGGGTTGGGTTGGGTTAGCTAGAATCGTGAACCAGGTTTGGCTGGTCGTGGAGAGTCGGAGACAGACCAAACGTCGGCTGTTCCCGTCCTTCTCTGTCTCCTCAAACCCTAGCTTCAGAAACCCTAGACGATTCATTCATACAAAGACCGCACAAACTCAGAATCAGAAATCAGAGCCCGATTCTTCTCTCTGAGAGAAATGGTGCCTGGCCTTGGCAGTGGAGATTGAAGATGAATTCTAGGTTGTAGTAACAGATTATGCATTACCACTGCACTTTCTTATTCAGTCACGTCGGTAAATTCAGGCAGTATTGGGAAAGATCCACGCTACGCATGGCAAATTGTATTCTCAAGAAGCTGAGCAGAGCGTATTTCTTTCCCAACGCTGCCTCGTCGATTCACTCGTAACTTTCACTGCCCCTGTTCCCTCTTAGTACAGGTAGAATCCGCAGTCAGATAGCAGCCTGTCGTTCACTTCAAAGCCACTGTTCTTCACTCGTCTGTTAGTCCCGAAGCCTTTGATGATTTGTGTTGTCAAGATTCACCGTGATGATTTCATATTGAATGTCTTCTACCTGCTGAGGCTTTTAGATTGACCACCTCTAGGAGCACTCTGAGATGGACAAGCGATGAGGAGATATACACCAGTTTAATAGCCAGTTCTGCTTCTGAAAAATCCGTGAATGATAACTGGTAATAAGCTGAGCTTGTCCACTCGTACGTAGTTGCAGCAGTTCACAATGTATCTGGGTTTTTAATCGGTATCTGGATGGAAATGAGGATCCTTTCCCCAAATGATCGAATATGATTCGAACTATGCGATTAGCTCTTAGGAGCCAAGCCAGAGAACTGATCCATCCGCAGTGCCGTAAAGTTATTGCATTTTGTAATTCACCTGTAGTTAGGTCGAACTGTGAGCTCTCTACATCACCAGCAGCAATTCTGAAGTCTAGAACCCTTGCCGGGTGAAAGGTGGAAATATCCACATTGGTATTTTACAATAATCGGATCCGTTTCATGCGAGGATGAGAAATAAGAGTTTCGGACTAGAGTTTCTGATCTGGCTTGACCAGTTTGACGAGACATCTCTTGGCTGGCTGAGCATGAAAAGTCTACCTTCCGTAGTAGTTCGTTCTGAGTTCATCTCCTCTCCCTATTTTCTATCTTGGTAGCGTGTAGAATCGCTTGGGTACAACATCCTGATGAGAATTGCTAAGTTGTACCCAAGCGATTAGTGCAGACACTAGCAAGTGCTCAAGTGTGCTAGTGTCTGCACCCACGTAGTAGCCGCCGTGGAGACGTTTACGAGCTTTCTTTTACTTCTGCAGAAATTGAGTGTCCATGATGAAGAAGGTTATAGCCCTCCATTTTGCGATGGAGGTTGAGTTCATCAATGAAAGTATTCTATTTACCGATACTGCCTTCCTTCTGAGACAATGGTAATTAGAAATGCAGCAAACCATCGGCTTGTAACGTACCAGATTGACTCAACGAACCTTTAAAGAAGGTAGTGTTCAGTGCAGCAGCAATCTTCCTTGGAGAGTTTAGGGTTTAGAGTATCGACTGCAGCATTGAGGCAGATGAAGGATTTAGGCACATGTTTACGTATCTATATGGGTAGCAAAAAAGTGCAAGTTTAGGGGGTTTTGTTAAGATTCATTCCAGGTACAGGGCAGGAAGAGTTGTTCTCACACAGAACGCAAATGAACATTGGCAGGATTTTGTGATTGGTGACTACCGTTGGTGTCTCAGAGAGACACTTCTGTAAGAGATTCGACGACCCTTAGGAGCAGTAAGATATGGACAAGCGATGAGGAGATATACACCAGTTTAATAGCCAGTTCTGCTTCTGAAAAATCCGTGAATGATAACTGGTAATTAGCTGAGCTTGTGCACTCATACGTAATTTCAGAAGTTCATAACGTACCTGTGTTTTAAGTCGGTGTCTGGATGGAAATGAGGATCCTTTCCCCAAATGATCGAATATGATTCGAACTATGCGATTAGCTCCTCGGAGCCAAGCCAGAAAACTGATCCATCCATAGTGCTGTGAAGTTGTTCATCTTGTAATGGCCCTTTACTCAGGTCGAACTGTGAGCTCTCTACACCTCAAGCAGCAGTTTTGAAATTTTGGAACCCTTGCCGGAGTGAAAGGGGTAAATATCCACACTGACCGTTTCATGCTAGGATGAGAAATAAGAGTTTCGGACTAGAGTTTCTGATCTGGCTTGACCAGTTTGACGAGACATCTCTTGGCTGGCTGAGCATGAAATATCTACCTTCCGGAGTTTTCGTACTGACTCGTCTGAGTTAGGACAAACCCCCACTCTCTTTTGTCCTTTTCTCCCTTATTCACCACCTTGGTGGTGTGTAGAAATCGCCTGGGTGCAGCCTAGCAACTCGCATCAGGATATCAAGGTTGAGCAATTGCTAGTGTCTGCACCCGCCTAGTCCTTGCCTTGGAGACGTACGCCTTGAGCTCTCTTCTACGTATGCAGAAATGTCCACAATGAAGAAGGTTATAGCCCTCCATTTTGCGATGGAGGTTGAGTTCATCAATGAAAGTATTATATTTACCGATACTGCCTTCCTTCCGAGACAATGGAAATTAGAATAGTAACAGACCATCAACCTATAATACACCAGACTAACTCAGCGAACACTCATCGAAGATGGTAATAAGTGCAGCAGCAGCAATCTTCAGTGGAGACTGTCAACTGCAATAAACAGTGTCAAGACAGATGAAGAACTTAAACCCAATCGACTTACATGGTTGAATGATTTGCATATAAATGCAAATCAAGCCAAGTTGAAACACTGATTCAAGACAAAACCGCTGGAAGAATAGTCGGGGTAAAGATCTTTGTACAGAAGTTGCAGTGGGAGTTAAATGAACATTGGGAAGAACACATGCTTGGTGAACACCTTCCTTGTCACAGAAAAATTCGTCAGTCTGTCGGAGGACCTCCCTTGCGATTAAGTACATTGCAGTGGATGAATTCATATACGGACCTACGACCAGTTGTACTGACCAAAGCATGCATAGAAACATGAACTTCCGGTTTGTACATCTGAACCAAAAGAAATTACCAACTTAAAATGCATTAAACTTGCAGCCCACATCACATGATTTAGTACCCCATATTGGGAACATCTCTGACAATCTCGGATTGTCTAATCGAATCGAACATTCCATCTCACCAGCGAGGGAAAAGCGACGGAAGTGAAGAAACTGACAAGGGAATTATAATAATCACAAAGAAAGAGGAGAAGACCGCATGGACGAACAAAAGAGAGGCTAAACCAAACTAAACCAAGGGATTCGCCCTCGGTATTCCATTCTACTGTCTTGCCTCTAATTATGCATAACACTATAATAAATGAAATTGAAAAAATTATCTTCCTCCCTGGAAAGATAGCACATGCCCCTAAACAAAATATGGTAATTCTGCGTCGTGAAAATCCCCATTATGAAAAGAGTGCTGATAAATGTACACTGTGAGTGATAAATACTTCACCTCCTCTACGAAGGGATGACATTTGACTAGGCTGGGCTGCAGGGGTTCGGGAAGGGTTGGGGCTGAAAGAGCGGTAGGAACAGTGGAGAAAGTGGAGTAGATTAGTAGAAATGGGACTTAGATAAACAGGCATTTGATTGAGGAGAGTGAGATGAACTTCAACAAAAATTTGTTCAGATCTTATAATCCTAGATGTATTCAATAAATTGCATGTATGAGTACATGTTGGAATTCTGTTTGGAATAATCTAGTTTGTTAATCTCACAATAGTGAATTTGGTGGGTCATTGATATTGGGTCAGCGTTGGGCCACCCTGTCCCCATGATTTCTATAACAATCATTTATATTTTTGAAACCCGAATATCATTTATGTTACACAACTATCAAAGTTTAATTTGTTGGTTTTCATAGATTATTTTTTTCAACATTCATAATATATTATATATGATTAATTCATATATTATTCAATATTCACAAGTAAATATAATATCATTTTACGTATCATTTATTGTATTGGTCTGTTGTCGATGTACATTGAAGATAACTAGTAACAAATCTAAACATAAAAAATACGATGTTTGTCAGTCCTTATGAGTATAGGTTTAGGGTACAGTAACTCTAAATACACATGGAATGAATCAACATTGCTATTACTTGGAGTAAGTTAGCGTTAATGCATTCTATAGTTAGCTGCAGACTGCATATATTTAACTAGTTTTCATGTGTATAGGTAATCATTACGTATTTCATAAACGCCTATACTCATGAAAGCTCGTTGTATGAAAAGATCACCAAACTCTTAAAAATTAAGTTAAAAAAAATAAATCAGTTCCTATAAATTTAACTTTGGAGTTATATCGAGCTAAATATAGTTTTCGATCATATGTATGATATTTTTTAATGTATTTTTTTATGTTTTATTTTTTTTCTTCACTTTTTTGAATAATTTTAAATAAGTACAATAGGTTAAAATAGAAACGATGACATATGATGACCCTTTGATGGTAAACTCGATAAATACAGTCATGACATGTAAGGTGCAATATAAAATCTCCCATTGTAGTGATGTTGGTACTTACCCATGTAGTGTCATCCAAATTGGGTTCTAACTATGGGTTTTGTTTAGTATTGTACATACCTAGTCCTATATAAAATAAAAATTGGTTCTTGTTTTCTCTCACAAACATACTCGCGTACGATAAAAGAGGTATCCAGACAAACTATAGAAAATGCTGGATATTGATAGATCACAGGAAGTAATAACTCAAGGCAATATAAATTCCATAAGTATCTCAAAGCACGAGTGTGTCATCTATATGTAAATATGTTTCACACTGTACTAATATGACATCACATATCACAAATATCAACCATATAGTCCAAACTTATTTAAAGGTACATGACGTTGTACGTTCATTATTGGTGATGGTAGCCCGCTATACCTGTTGCCCTCAAGAGCCGTAATACACTCAGTGGAAGTCAAGCAAAATTTTGCATGTATTTTTGAGTGTCACTATTGGTGTACTTGCCTATTCTAAATATCCATTACATCTTTCTCGCCGAAAGAGATCGAACTAGTTGGTTAGTCCCCATGAAGTTCCTCACTTACAAAATTAGTAGACAACAATACTATACATCGTGGATACTCAACAAGTCAAGAGAATACCGTCATATTTCTTTAGAAATCTCTACTCCACGTTGAATTAGAACTGAAAAATTTTTCTACTGCTACGCGTTTGTACGATTCTTTTCAAACCCTTAAATTAATCATTCGGTGAGTTACAATCAACGTCATAGATTTCCAACCCTGTTGTTCTACCCGAATCCACACCTTACTCGCTAATATATTTATGATAGGTCTGAGCTTACTCATTGTTCAGACCTATCTGTCTGTCAAGTACAGCTATCTGCAGCGGGAACATTTCATGGTGAATTGAAATATCATTATTGGACATATACATGAAGTGGTGAAACAAGAAGACTCTTTAAAGTTCTCAATTACGCTGTGTGCACCGATTCTAACTGTGTACAATTATATGTAGCCATAGTCAGCTCTGTGAAAGATACGAAGTCCATGATCCAGTCGAATCACAAGAGGCAGAACTCTGCGTTGCTACACAAGACGGTTGAATTCTTCATCCGAGGGAGAGGGTGCGAAGTATTCGACCTTGCAAACGCAATTTTGGCCATGTACTGACAGGGGCAGGACAACCATGCACGACGAAGCCTATTACTTGCAATGTAAACAGACGCTAAAAAACTGATGCTCCTCTCCATATAATCACATGTCACTTGCAGCAACACGCAAACAGCAACCACATCACCACATAAAGCAAATGCGTAGGTGTTGCTCCAAAGGAAACTCAGGACATTAAACTGACCATATATCTTCCAAGAACGAGGAAAACTCAAGAATGTGCCCGTGCCCAAGTGGTCATTTGCGCTATTTCGAACACAACTTATTGCGGAGGCAATACTTACAGATGGACTCACTTGGTAAGTCTCTTGACATGACTGGGAAAAGTGGAAAAGGAGGGGAACTGCTACGAAATGCAGGGAGAGAGAGGATCCACCAGCTTCTTATGCACACGGCCACTCAATTAAGTTAGCCAGCTCTCGAGTGCATCAACTTGCACACCTTCAGCACGTTAAATCTCAACGTGTAGGGCTATAAGCATCTGATGCGGTGCCCAGCGACATGATCCGAACTTGGCTCTAGTAGATTCCATCTCCCTGCAAGCCTGCCTCGAGAGGGCTCTCTTCCTGTGCCCTACATACTTTCGCTGCTGCTTAGAACTCGGGGTTTCTCTGAATCGCACTGGCATTGAAGGAGAGTTGGACCCATGCTGATCGGCACGCGAGATGTGACACAGAATCCAACAACGACGAGTGACTCTGATTTCTCCACCATGAAGCTGTCTAAGAGCACTCACTCACGGAGTGACCGAAGTGCGTATTGAGTGCTGTAATTTGAGAATCCAACCCAGAATGCCCCAACCCGAACCTATCAATGCAATCTCCAACCAACCAACAAACAAACATCATTATGGCTCGCATCTTACTCCTGCCAACAGCGATAAGTTCGAAACCATCACCGATGAGGAATGTCAGCTCCATGAACAGCTGTACATCTCCTCACACGGGCTCATCTGGCTTTCATTCATCATCATCATAATCAACTTCTTCTTCTTCTTCTTCTTCTTCTCACTTTCGTACCCAGCCAAGTCATGTATGCAATTCGTTCTCACATGTAATTACTACATACAGTGTGATAGAAGGCAGCCGTATCTATCTAGTGTACCCCTCGAGTTCGCAAATTCAATGGTGGGTGTCAATGCTTTCTACAAAGATGAACAAAAAGGAAGACATTCTAGAAGTGAATTGGCTTATCGTAGGTTGCCATGGCCGCCTCCTTCACGGCCTCACTGAGGGTGGGGTGGCCGTGGCAAGTTCTGGCGATGTCTTCACTCGAGGCACCGTACTCCAGGGCGAGGCAAGCTTCGTGGATCATTTCTCCAGCGCTGGGGCCCATGATGTGAACTCCCAGAACCTTGTCGGTCTCCTTGTGGGCGATGATCTTCACCAAGCCGTCGGCGTCGTCGATGGAACGAGCCCTGCTGTTGGCCATGAATGGAAACTTGCCCACGTTGTAGGGAATTCCTGCAGCCTTCACCTGCTCCTCGGTTTTGCCCACCGATGCGACCTCCGGGTGAGTGTACACCACTCCCGGAACAGTGTCGTAATTCACATGTCCGGCCTTGCCAGCCAGCAATTCCACGCATGCGACGCCATCTTCCTCGGCCTTGTGAGCCAACATGGGGCCTGGGATCACATCTCCGATGGCGTAAATGCCATCGACACTGGTTTTGAAGTGATCGTCCACTTCCACACGGCCGAACTTGTCCACCTTCACTCCAACCTCCTCCAGACCCAAACCCTTGATGTAAGGCACCCTTCCTGCTGCAACGAGGACCACATTCGCGTCCAGAGTGGTGGCCTCGCCGCCAGCGGCAGGCTCGATGGTCACCTTGAGCCCGGTTCCGGATTTCTCCACCTTGGACACTTTAGTTTTGAGCTTGAACTTCATCTTTTGCTTCTCGAGGGTTCTCTGGAACGACTTGCGCACTTCGCCGTCCATGGAAGGAACAATGGCGTCCCCGAACTCGACCACGGTGATTTCTGAACCCAGACGGCCCCAGACAGAGGCCATTTCCAGGCCGATGTATCCCCCTCCGATGACGATCATTTTCTCGGGAATCTCGGTCAGAGCCAGAGCACCTGTGGACGACACGATCTGCTTCTCATCGATGGTGATTCCCGGCAGGCTCTTGACGTCGGATCCGGTGGCGATGATGATGTGCTTGGCTTTGATTTCTTTCGTTCCTCCTTCCAGCAGCTCCACCGACACTGATCCTGGGCCTGTGATCTTCCCTGCGCCCTTGACGTAGGTCACCTTGTTCTTCTTGAATAGCCCCTCAATTCCCTTGGTCAGCCCTGACACTGCCTTGTTCTTCTGATCCATCATCTTGGGAAGATCAATTTGTACATTGGTCACAGTCACTCCGTGCGCGGCAAAATTATGTTGCGCGTCGTGGAACATGTGCGACGAGTGCAACAACGCCTGCCAAATTCGCCTCACACTTCAGTACGACCCGTGGCAACAATCCTCAGACTCACAGATGCAAAAAGAGAACGACGAGATTCAAGCGAGGCCGAGGGAAGAATGAGATCCGTACCTTGGAAGGAATGCATCCGACATTGAGACAAGTGCCCCCGAGGCTGCCGCGCTTCTCGACGCAGGTGGTTTTGAAGCCCAATTGCGCAGCTTTGATGGCAGCGACGTAGCCTCCAGGACCTCCTCCCACGACGACCACGTCGATGTTCTCATCGCCTGCGGCTGCGGCGTACGCCCTCACGGCACTGACACAGCGGCCATAGGCTGCTCCTTGCCCCGCCCCGCTCACTTGCGAGCTCGGAGCGGCCCCAAAGTTCCAGCTCCGGCAGACATGCTGCACTAGTCTCTGCGATTGCGCCCGAGCAGCCATGGCCTGATCTCCACCACCAAATCAACCCAATTCAATCCGCTCCAATCCAATCAGTCCCAAATCCAATTCAAGCAGATTGCAATCCGGACGGGATCCAAACAAACCAAATCTTCTCGACGAACTCAACAGAAAACACAATCTCTACCCCTCGAATTCAGCCTGCAACGATCACACGGAGGTTCAGACTATCGAACCTCGATAGAACCCTTACTTACGCTGGACAGATCTGCGGGTCGTTCTTTCTCGGGTCGCCTCTCCTCCTCTTCTCTTGCTTGCTTCCTTGAGCGGGACCAGCAGCAGCGATGATGTCGAACGGACCTGCTCTCCTCTGTCCTCTTCTCTGCTGCTCGCCCTTTGAGCGCCCTGGAGAAAAGAGGAGAGGCCGCAGGAATGTCGAGCTCGACGACAACGACGACGACAGGCCACTTGGAGAGGAATATTAAACAAATCAAACCCGAGCAAGAGTTTGCCACGCATTAAATTGGGGGCAGACTCAGAGACTCACAGAGATTGGAGGCCAACAGAATTGGGGGCAGATTGGAGGACTCGGACGACTTTCCGCAGACCCCCAGCCAGAGGGGAACAGAGAGGAGGTGCATGCACAACCACACGCGCTCTAGCGTACCTGCTACAGACCCTAACCCTAGCATCCTCCCCACGGTTTAGTTACAACTAAATTAATCTCCTCACAAGAGATAAGTTTTGCAGATATGCAGATTATATTGCCTCTGTTTCGATCACGACTCATAAGAACGATAGACCGAGAATATCAACTCAACCTCAAATATCAATCTCAACTGAGGTTGATTTGATTTTTGGTAAGAAGGATAAAGTAAAAGTTCATTTAGTTTGTATGTGCAAATAGCTAATACTCTAATACTGCTTCGATCGATATTTGTATACCTGGACATGCAGACTTGGATGATTATTTAGACCTTGGTTGGATATTGATTAGTGTGCACACGCAAACTTCCTCTGGTCAGGGTCGTTTAATAATGATAATAAGCTGCTTAACGTAATCCAACTATGTAAAGTACAAGAATAATGCAGCCCTATTTCCTCTTCACCGGCAAGAACTTGGTATCAAAGAAGCAGCAAAATATGAATGTAAAAATATGAATTTTTACATGTGCTTCTACGAATCGGAAGAAGAAAATGTGAGGAAATATTGGGGGAGGCCAGGCCCCTTCGAGCCGTTGAGGGATGAAGCGGAACGGTAAACGAGGAATGTGCTCCGGTTAGTAACATGAGAGGTTTGGCTTTTGGGCCCGGCCTCTGGTCACCTCTACCTGCAGCAGCCACAAGTTCAATTGGCTTGGCATTATGTGAGTCTCATATACAGGCTGCTGCAGTAATCAGTATAATTAGGGCCGATGTCTGGTATATATTCCGAGTCAAACATCCCGCACGAGAGCTGAGGTGTCAATCCAACCAGCAGCTGCAGGTCTGCTTTGGACTGTTGTGACCGGAGGGCCACCGTCCAGACCATTGTTTGGTGAGTAGTGGGCACAGCTCGAGACTCACAACGAGGTAAAGACACCAAGAAATATGGGGAGACCCATGAGAGCCTTACATGAATGGATCCAAAGGGGTAACCTGGGGCTGGGCCCCACTTGAGATCCTATGTAAGCCTGTGAACTGCACACGAGAGCTCCGAACCATTCTGAGTAATTCGAGCATGTACATAGCAGAGTATCCGACTCCGGCTCGATTTGATCTGGAGCCTGAAGAAATTCCTCTCAGATATGAAACAGTCATCTTGATTCCACTTTAGTCTCGACTTGCCTATCGAGTTTCAAGATCTCATCTCCACGCAAGTGCGTCTGATATGGAGTCACTGACCAGCAGCGAGCAATGTGGATGAGAAACGCATATATGCTATCGATTCTTAGATGCTTCTTGTCCTCTTATTCTTTACTGCTGAAGGAGCACCTTCCGTTCGAATGAGTGTTTGTTGCTTATCCAGAGCGTGTGGTCCGACCGATACGTAGTCAGAGGTCCTTAGTTCCTGGACTCAGCTCTATAGATGACTAGGGCAGGGCAGTCAGTGCGTGCATTCGCTCCAACCCCAAATAGGAAGAGAATGATAAGCCACTCCCATCATCAGTTCATGATCCACGACTCGTGAACTGGACAGAGGATGGGGTTCAGTGGATTGGTAGGTTCAACTGGTAGAATGATCAAGATCCAGCCTGGGGCGATGAGGATTGGTGGGAAGGGGTGGGGCGAGGGTCTTCAGTACAAAAAGAACCTGTTCTAGTCTTTACTACAAAAATACTTTCTTGCAGTGTTTCTAAGGGCTTTCCTGTGTGTCATGCTGGAGAATCTGCGCCACAACGCTCTTTTGGACTTGGCGCGTTCTTACCCGTGCCCAATGCTCTGTCAATCACGTCCTCAAAACAACCCAAACAAGTATGCATCTTCCATCCTGTAACAGCTTCATCGTTGTAACTTGTCTGAACTTGCAGTAGTGGCATTAGGACGGTACTTGGTTTTCGCAGCAACACTTCCATGGATCAATATATATGACGCAAATATCTGACCGGAACATCAGTTGCCACAAAAAGTCTCAAAACTCGTACTTCAAAGGCGACTTCCCACAGACACTAGGAAGACCTCCATTGAGGTTTCGAAGCAAACGCTTGCATAATGGTAAAGTTACAAGGGAGTCCAATGGCAACAGTGATAGGGCTGCCGATCAGCGGCCCTTGTTTACACTAAGAATCTCAAGGGGCCCAGTTAGCGAAACCTTGCGGCACTTTTACGAAGAAAGAGGCTTCATTTCCGCCTCAAGCTGCTCAACGCCACAACCCAGACCTGCTTTGCAATCTGGCTGCAACTGCTTATCTGTTCCCGTAACAAATGACGAACTACAAAACTTCTGTGAGGAAGTACTAAAAAATAGGACAAAATGTAGAGCCTGCTGAAAAAGCCTCAAGACGTCTTCAGCATGCTTATTTTCTCCTCGATATCCCTAAGCTCGGTCCTCAACCCTTCGATAAAGTTCGAATCAGTAGATAATTTTTGTTTCAAGTTATCATGAGCTTTCTTTGCTGCATCCATATCCTTCTTCAGTTTCTGCACAATAATAGACCAAACAAAAAAGATAAGAATACTAAAGCTTTGGCGGCTCATAGAGTGCTGTTGTGCTCTCCCTGCGTGGACTAATTGAGCTATCAATTTGAGGGGCAAAAAATATTTCAAATCTTACCTTTCTAGAGCTGCTCGTGATTTCAACCCCTTTGACATCATGGGTCGGCATGCCATCATTGTCAAAAGCACTAAATTCACTTGTTCTTCCCTTAAACAAGTCTCTTGGATCTTTAGCTGCCGCCTCGAGTTTGTCTATCTCCTTGACCTGATAAGGGAGAGGGCACCGTTAAAATGCAAGCATCTATATGGTGTAACCGTTACCTCCCCTCAATGCACCACCGGCCCAAGGTTCTTAAGGTTTACGAAACTTAATAATCCAATAAAACCACAAGCTTTAATGAGCTGCTAGAATTGATAAACTTGCTAAACACCTGACGGTCTCTGCTTCGCTCAAGCTTCAAGCGCTTTTCCTCCGCCGCCTTCTTCAGCTTCTCATCTCTCTCTCCTCTTAAAACAGTCGGTTCGTCTAACTTCCAGGTAGAACCATCGACTCGATCCTCCAACCTTACACCCAGGTCAACCATAGTATAATCCCTAAAATTGTCTGCAAGCGACAAGATCTTGTCCTGTTCATTTGAAAACATATTAGATCTTTTTGTTGTCTTCGTGAAGCTAAGGATTCAGGAAAAAAAAAACAAAACATTAAACTGTTTCAGTACTAGCCGCGCTGTGGCTGCAAAAATCAAGGTAAGGCAATACGACCAATTCCTCACCTGCTTCATCTCCCTGGCTACTGCTCTAACTTGATCTCGAAATGAAGCAATGGCATCAAGGTAAGGAGCCTGCAATCCGACAAAATTTAATAAGGACACTTCGGTCAAACGAAATCAAACATGTCTTCTTTAGTAATCGAAACAACCAATGGCTTCTTCCAAACATAGAAGAGTTGTATACAGCAGAGTTGAGAAAATGATTCGTATGCACATACCACAAGGGTTTCTATACTACCACTCTGTACACCTGCACCGCTGGTAACAGATCCCCAGCCGATTTCGCCCCTTCCAGCGTCTGACAACCCTGCATCGTGTGAAAGCAGCAGATTAAACAAATAGATCGTCAAGAAACCCGAAGCCAAAAGCTGAGAACAAAACTCGCCGCTATCTTCAGTTCGACAGACGAAAGAAAGATTCTCCACCAAACGGTCTATTCAGTAGTAAAGTAACGGCAATTCTAGCTCTTAAAGACTGAAACCTATCAAGATCTTCCAACCAAAAAAAATTCCAAATAGGCACTCTTTTGAAAAAATCCGCTGGCTGTCGCTTGTTACAGACCAAATACAGACAAAATCTTCGTCACGAACTGCGCAATCTCCTTCACTAGGTGCAGATTTAGATATCCCCGAGCCTGAACATTCCAGCATATCACACTAGTCAAGCTTCCAGAAAGCCGAAACTAAACCTTCACTCTTAAGGAAGATACATGAAGAAACTACAGAAGATTTAGCTCGTGTTTTTATATATCAACTTGAAACCGAGACTTCGAACTCATTAAAGCCATTCCGCTTTGCTGTACATTAGACTTCAAGGCTTCTACCAATTCGAACTTAAAGCGACTTGTACGATAGACAGATGTTAGACCTGAGGTACCTACTTGTTTGTCCCGATAGATATACACTTCGCTGACGAGATCGAGAAGCACATTAAGTGCTCCTGGAGTGTCAAAGTTGTCCTCAAGCCGCTCCCTCACCTTACAAAAAGAGATCTTTCGTTATCAGAGAATGTTCTAGAGAGGCGCATTTGACTCAAAGATGCATTCTCACAAGATCGAAAGAGCAACCGAGTCAAAAATCCGGCTCAAATGTGGATCAATCTATACGGATAAACAGATCTCTACCTGCTGTTCACCGTCTAGAAGCTTGTTACTCAGGTTCTTCTCATCTTCACCCCACCTCTGATTGTCGTCCACATTCTGATATGCAGTTGCAAAACAAGTGTGTTTCTTGAGTTGCTAGTCAGAACCAAAGGTGGCTAGCGTTCACGTTCGATGCAGAAACATCTCAAAATCAAACTGAGGGTTAGCCTGCAGCTGAACAAACCACATGACTACACAAACTAAAACACATCTACTGACTTCCTGCAACATCACGCCAAGCGAGAACTCAGATCATCTGAATGGAGTACTTTGATTCAGGAGATCCAAATTGCTACATCCCCGAATACCACAACTCCAAACAAAAATTGCAAACAACCTGATTCGATCAGAAACATATCCATGAACATTTGTATACAAGAGGACATTTTTTTAAAGGCTGTACCATTTGTCTCAGCATAATTTGCACCTCTTGGAAAAAGGTCTTCAGTTTCTGTTCTCTTGAGATAGCAATATCCATCACTTCTTTGCTGAAAGTCATTGGCTGCAATAATACCAGTAGAGGCAGATTAAGATAAGAATGGCCGAAATGGCTTGAAAGTATCTTTAAGTACTTCTATTAGGCCAATCCATAACCGTGGTTCTTGTCACCGGACAAAGTCCACATCTTTTGCGTTCTATGTGATTTGTTCTCTGAGACCTAAGTTTCAAGCGAATCAAATTCTACTACAAAAGCAAGTGACCAAAGAGCCCAGCATGCACTGATTTGGCCGATATCATTTTCTCAGCGGAAGAGTTCGAAAACTTACTTTGTCCCACAGCTGAATTACGAACAAGAATCGAAGTTGCCTTGCAGTGTACATTTCGAGAGCCTGGTAACAAGAACGTTAGTACAGGCCAAAAACAGGGGCCGCAAGACAAACCTCTGCACAACAACCGCACCAAAGGCGTATTTTCTTCAATTCCAGAAACACTCAGTTCTCACTCCAAGTTTTGATGTAAGATATCAATATGAAAAACGAAAGACTTAGGGGTAAGTTTGAGGTGAATTATGCACAAGGAATACCTGCTTAATTGTGATGAAATTCTTCAATGACTTGGACATTTTCAGGCCATCAATAGCCAAATGACCGGAGTGGAAGAAATAGTTTACCCACTGTACGCACACAAAAAGAAGGCACAAGTGTTCAAAGCTCAGAGTGTTAAAATCAGTAATACACCACTGCAGGTGTGACTCTGCGAAACACAAACCATTCAACAAAATCCAAGTTACAACATTTCAAAAACGTAACGCACTTGAGAACAGCCGTAAAATGCTTCTGCTTGTGCCAATTCGTTGTCATGGTGAGGAAATTGTAAATCACTGCAAGACAAATGAGCAATCATTATAAACAATTTGGACAACATCCGCCACATCCAATCCTCCACAAATGACATAACCGGCAATCAGAAAAACTTCCTCAAAGTAGGAACTCTGACGTACTTTCCACCAGAATGAATGTCCATTGTCTGACCGATGACATCACTTGCCATAGCAGAGCACTCAATATGCCAACCAGGACGACCCTTTCCCCACGGTGAATCCCAGAAAGGCTCTCCACTTTTGCTCGCCTGCATAATCAAAATCCACATCTTTAGCTGTCAACTCAGGTGTATGTGGGACACAAATTGGAAAACCGCAAGATTGGTTTCGCGATTCGAACTTTTGCAAGAAAGTTCATCAGCCCCCACTAGTATCTACACTGCTTAAGGTCAGTCGTAAGACGAGAATGAATCATAAAATCTCAACAACAAAATATCTCGCTCTATGGATTTCACTTTCTGACAAAACAGGAACATTCTTCCTACAAAACTTAAACCTAACGTTGCAGGTTTAAAGACCAACAGAGAGCGAGGCATGTAGTAGAATAGTAACCTAGAACATGGAGATAAGATTATATTTCGCACATGGGTGCCAGGGTTCACGGAGGAGCAGTATAATTTTCAAGTGACCAAACCTTCCAAAGCGCAAAATCAGATTTGCTCTTCTTCTCTGTAGTTTCGAAATTTGCTTCACTTTCACTTGCAAGTCCTGCACTCCCTATCGCCCAAGGGTTCAACTTGCCATAAGTGTGACCTGCATCACTGTCAATAAATATGACCAGGGTTTTAATGCTGCCCTTAATTAGTGGCTTTAAATTCGCTAAATTACCTACTTACACTCCAAATAGTAGAGATGCCCACAACAGCGTCCTCTCGAGGAGATAAGTCTTACACAACTGCTAGAGTAATCAAAACAAGGGAGTGCCAGATCATCATTCAAGTAGAAGACAGCATGTAAAATAGTCAGAAGTAGTTATTACATGAAGGCTTTAGTGTCGAAGTACACACTTCCGTTTGCAGCATAGGCAAAACCTCGCTCAATGATACTTTCGACGTATGCTATGATTTTATCCACATACCTGTAGTTTCAACATAGCGAAACAGTCAATGGATGGGTAAGAGACCTGATTGAATATAATCAGATAACAAGCTCAATTTAAGAAGAAACTACTTGCTATTCGATGGTTCATGTGTTATTTTCCAAGATCATCTTCCAGTTTCCTATCGTATAACAGCGAACTGTTACTAAAATCAAAGTTTCTGTCGACAAATCTAAGCAGAGAGGACAATAGCCGTGAGATTGCGGGCTACCGCAATAGACTGGAGGTATATAACAGAGCAATGCAAGGATCCGCACCCTGTTACTCTTGTCAAGTACGTCGGCGGCCTTACACCAAGATTGCCCATATCTTCGAAGAAGTCTTTTTCGAACCTTCATACCAAAAAAATAATGAAATATCAGACGTTTGTTCCATTCAAGTACACACATTTCTGCAATGAGTGAAGAACCAATTTTGCATCAGTCTTCCAATTACAGGGCACCCCTGAAACGTGTAGAAATGCAACACTCTTAACTCCCCGGAAAGGGTGTAAGGAGGATGTCCTCGGCCGCTGATGGTAGAAGGAATAGGCATTACAACGGCAACAAGAAGTTGAAATGAGCGCAAAGCTGCAGGACTCACTTGGCAGCGTGAGAACGAAAGATTTCGTGGTCAGTAACCTCGGCCCCTGCCTTTGCATCGAGATGAGAAGTGAGAACATCGGTAGCACCGGGTGAAAGAAGAACATTGATACCTTCTTTGCCCCCAAGAGCTTTCGCCTCATTGACTTTTTCCAACATTGTCTTTAAAGCTTCCTCCAGCTTTGCGAGTTTCAGCTGTTCTTGTTTCACTTTCTACAGAAACATCAACATTTCCAGATCAGGGTGAAGAACGTGCCAGGTCACGACACTGAGAATTCACCAACAAATTTGAACAAGGAGAGGCCTTGATTAGCTTCTTAGTGAAGATTAGAAATAATTTAATTGAAGCTTGTTGACGAAACAGGGGAGGAAACAGAACAACGTACTTCTTCAAGTACTTTCTTTTGCTGACCAGATGCTGAACTCGCGAGCTCTCCCTCTGCTTCTGCAACCTAGATGATCCAACTTTCTTAGGCGAATTTCGAGACAAACATATTCAGCGATTTCTGGTTTTTTGATAGATCATCAGGCAGAAATAAAAGTATTTCAATCCAACCTTTTTGCGCTGCTTCGCAACCTCGATAGGAAAATGAGAGGATAGATCTTGCAGAACCTGAAAACCACAGTGCACAAATAGTCAGGGTGACAATTTCCCGTGTCCGCTCTTTCCCATGATAAACATATTTTTAATTTTCGGTGAAGAAACTTATTCTATCATGGCAATAATGCGAACCTCCTCGAGATTACTTCCGACAGTGCTGAGATATTGATTCAACAGATGATTTCGTCGAGCCCGGTTGATAATTTTGTCGTCAACATCTGTCACATTCATAACATATCGAATCTCGTACCCGAAGTAATCCTGCCAAAACAAGTAATTACCGCCTGAGTGGAATTTTGTAGTACAGTGTAGCTTAAATTGAAATGAGAGAACAAAACACATAAATAGCCACCACACAAAGTTTGAATTCAGGTGGCACCAAAGCACGCAGATGAGAGAAACTGAAAATTACCTCCATAATCCGACGTATGATATCAAATGTCAAGTAGTTCCGTGCGTGTCCAACATGTGACGAATCATACACAGTAGGGCCGCAATTATACCAAGTGACTGCAGGCAAAAGCATGAATACAATTAGCAATTTTCAAGGCCAGAATTCATAACTCGGAAAAGCAGACGGAATTTCTGGCAGCTCACCTCTCCGCGTGCCATCAATCGTTTGAAAGGGCACTTTCGTGCCACTAAGGCTGTTGAACACTTTGAGTCCATCCAGAGGTTTGGAAGGGGCACCAGGCGGACTCCAGCACTTGTGCACCTTCAGCGTCCCTTGCTGTGGCTCCCCCACTCCATTCTCCCTAATCTCCATGAGTAGGTCCTCCACAGACTGCACACCCCGATCAGTCCGGAAACCAATCAGACTTCTCAAAGTTGATCAAAAGGCCCAGATAGCTTCCTGCAGGCTTTCAGTGGTGCTGGTGCAAGGGGGATTCCGAGAAATTTGTATGCTGCTAGCGGCCTGCGGAATTCAGCTTCCTCAACAAAGTGTGGGCCGCGAGCGCAAGCCACTGCGTCAACTTTGTTCGAGCTGAAACCTCACTCCAACAATTCCTTCTGCGGAAAGTCAATATTTCAACAGATTCCTGCTCAGAGACTCCGTGCCCCTGGCCACTGAATAATTCTAACACGCTGGTTAGGGTTTATGACGTTCTGGTGAGAAGCAATGAGGTTTCTATGTTGGCTTCGAGAGTAAGATCTACGATTTCCGATGACCCCATGCCTACTGGTCTCCTCAACCTTCCGGTTCCAGCATGGCTCAATTCAGGAGCATAAAGTCGAAGAGTCAAGCCCTAGAGGATACACAAAACCTTCAATTTTATCAAAGCTCCCAACTGACACGACGGGCCGGGCGGCCAAAGCACTGTACGCATCCGCGTTACAGAGATAACTTACGAAAATCCGGAAAACTAGTTTCACAATTTCCGCTATGCAGGCATCCAAAACTATTGGCACATCAGTCAAATTGTGGATGGGTAACCTTCAACGCATAACCAGGTACAGCTTTCCCATGCGGGTCAGGATTCATGAGATGAGTCGCGAGACCACAGTTCCAAGACGAACACAGCCATGTCGACGTCGCTGCATGAAAGCAATCGAATGTCCTTTTCCTGTGCCCCAGAACAGGGAACACGTTAAACCATCTCGATAAAATACACGGAATTTCGGAGAAGCTGCGAATTTACCTCCTCTAGCTTCCGAGACGGATCCACGATTCTGCTGTCCTTTGCGGAACGATCGATCTGCAAGAAAGGTATCCGGGACGGAGGCCGTCTGGGTCAGCTCCCGTGGGCCCCCGCTTCATCCTTCATCGCATCGCCTCCGTCCTTCCCCGTCCCCTGCGCCACGACGCCCTCTTCACGCCCGCTTTTCCCTTTCGCGCCCGTCGCACTCCCACGGTATCCGGGTCAACTGATCCGACGCCCAAGGTCTGGGATTCTGGTTACCTTTTCTCGTCTTGCCGACGACTGCCAGGTGGCTTTCGTTGCTCGCGGTCACGGCTTGGTTGCGGTACCGTGAAAGCTTTTACAGAACCACCGCTCTACTTCTAAGAATTGAAATACTGAACAGAAAACACAATCTCTACCCCTCGAATTCAGCCTGCAACGATCACACGGAGGTTCAGACTATCGGCAGACCCTTCTAGCACGCCTGGTCAACCCCAAAGTCTTGAGTTAGTACGCCTGTCATGGTGTACAAATTAACCCTAGTTTGTTTGGAATACCATTTATTGTCGTATCCACTCAGAGGCAGAGTTGTCGGTCCGCCAAGATGTAGTGAATGACTCCAGTCTGTTGACAACAACTTCAAGTACCTGTACTGTACTTTCCATCCTTTTTTGTCCTCCCCATGGCCCACGTTCCCTCTTCTGTGTTTTTAGGGACAAATCATCTTTATCTGCCATAACAGTACTCGTATGGGAAATGATACCTCCATATCCGTCTGATATATCTGGAAAATACATCTTTCAGTACTTAACCAAAAATTACTGTATATAGTTTTCTATTTTCGAAAATTTTTCAAAAATAGAAAAAACTGAATAGAATTTGCAGTGAAGGCAATTTAAAGAATCTATCATACCAAGACTGAACAAGATTCCTTTGATACCCTTGAAAACTAGTACACTATAACTAGCCTATAACTTTTTGACATATATCTTCATGGATTCTGTACAATGATAAGTCATGCCTCATCTTGATAATCTAGTAAATGAATCTGGAATTTTTTAACACATTTTTCTGAATGAATTTCATATATCCAAAGAAAATTTGATAATCTTATGTAGTACAGTATTCCATCAAATTTTGTGGAGATAGGTTGTGAAATGGCGAAACAAATGCTGTGAGTTGAGTTAGGCATTCAATAAAAATAGGCTAAAATATAGACTCATAGAATCATGAGTGAAAAATGTTGCAAATAAAAAACAAGTGTTCAGAATTAATGTTTTTAATTTGATTCTCAATAATAGATGATGAAGAAATGACTTGAAAAAACTAATGGTAAAAGAATTTATTAATAAAAGAAGAATTTGTTCTTTGCTACCATCAAGCAAATTTTTCAACAAGCGTGTTGATCATATTTCGTGAAACTTTTTTTCTTGATTTCACAACTTCTTCTTAGAAAGAGTAATTTATTTTCATGTCATAACGATGAAATAAACATAATTATTAAAAAATATCTAAATTCTAATATGATTGAAAGTGATTAAATTTAATTTGCAGTATTAAATTCAATATATATAACATACTATTTTATAATTGTAAACAAGTACAGAACTTGCTATTGAAAATTGTGCTAATTATTTTTTATATAAATCAAATCTTTTTTAATTTTGATCTAATTTTAATAATAACTCCTTTTTTTATAATTCAAAATATTATTTCTAATAATTATATATAATTGTATAGATAAAAGTAACAGAATCTCAAAATTCTTACTGACGATTTAGAATTGCCAAAGTATTTCATGATTGTCAAAGCATTAAAGAAAATTCTGAAATATATTTTAAAAGTTTATCATTTTCTTATTTCTAAATTCAGAAATATATGAAACTGTGAATAAATTATACATAATTAATTATCTTTATGTTACAGCCATAAGATAGGTGGTAAAAGTAATTTTAAATTTTGACTGACTTTAAGTTCTTATAAATTGGACATAATACCGATATCTCTAAAAAATATCAAAATTACGTAAATTTTCTAATTTGCAAACAAAATCAGTGTACACCTGTACGAACATTCTACTTTCAGTCCAATAGATATGTATTTATTCTAAATTTTAAAAAATTTTCAAATTTTCAGTCTAACACACAAGTCATGCTATGATTTTCAAAAATTTTTACTTAAACAAATTATTCCAACTTATTTATTTCATAGAGAAATTACAAAAGTTGCATATTAATCAACATTCATCATTAATATTTATTGTATTCCTCATAGATAATTTACAATTTGACGCAACAAAGTTGGCACAATTACAATTTATAATTTAATTGTATTCATATCGCTCCTTGGAAATATTATAAAAAAACTGAACATAAAAACCATTTTTTGTCTATGTGAGAAAAGTGTATAAGATTGAAACAATTAGTATGAATGACTAACATGAAAATGATAAAAACTCATGATCAGTTGTAAAAATTTGTATTGATTTCATACGTGCGACCGTACTTTTAAAATAAGATATATGGATGTGAAAATTATTTCAGAAGAAATCATGCAAGAAATCCGTTACAAAGTAAAGGTATGTTCGTTGTAGCAGAAATAGATGTTTGAAGTAATATACAAAATTTTCATGAATTCATTCACCAATTATACGTCTAATGTCTTCTATTTTCGAGTGCTTGTAAAAAGTTAACAATGCTTATGCATATTTCTTAGATTTGTACAACTCATTCTTAAAGTTTTGTAAGAGTAATGGCTAAAAAAACTGTAAATTTGGAGAAATTATAGAACTTTGGAAGTTGCTTTGTGCTGGGCTTTTAGAACAAAATTTCAATTGTCGAAGATATCATGAAACTTTATAGAACTCAAATATGAGTGACTTTTTTATAAAATAGTTTATATGAATTTCATTGAAAACTATATTTAAATTCACACATATCTTTTTATCTACCGAATCCGAGATTCTAAAATACAATATACATCATGGTACGACTCAAGGAGAAAATGTGTCCAATATTAGATACAAGGCTCACTCGTTGAACGTAAGATTCAATAGTTAGGGCTTAGGATACTCTCCATGAATATTTCAGCGCATGTTTAATGATCACATAAGATTCGACAATTAAGTTTAAACTGAAAGCATTATGATTGAACCCGCTATATTCTTTAGTATTGTGTCAATTCCAAACTCTGCATATGTATGTCAATATATGTTAATGTCTGAATATTTGACGAGTTTGTCTATTTCAATAATTATCGACTTGAAAGAGACCTTCTATGAGGTACATAGTTATTGTCGAATATCTCCCGATGTGACGTCTAATAATGTAATTCATTTGTTTAGTATTAAAGTTCACAAGTAGATAAAATTAAAGAAATTGTAATAATTTTCAATCATGTGGCTATGATATTGTATATTTTGCAGCCAGTAAGGTACATTTGTTAACAGAGATTACACAATATTATTTCAGAAGGACAACACTTGAGCGTATTTATACTTAATTACATGTTTTCATACTTTAGCTAGCATTTTGATTTTCCATCGAAATGGACGCCATCTAGAGGATTTGCATGATGGCTTATTATAAATATGTTACTCTGGTTCGTATGTTTTTTAAGAGAGTTTGACAAGGTTTTCTCTTTTAATCACAAGAAGAAATTGGTTTCTAGCATCTAGCTTTCAATTTATGCTTTTCTGGTTGTAGAAAAGCAGAAATTTTCCCGTCCTATAAATTTTGTGTTCATTGAGCCGAGAGAAGGTTAGCAACCCCCTTGACAAGGACGGGAATTGGCTTCGGCCATTCACACACCACGAGGTTAAGGCTTCCTGCCCCCCGGGGCGGATCTAAACCAAACCAAACCAAATAGATGTCATTTTCGAAATTTCCAATATTTGTTCGTAAGATATGAAATGAAATATCCATAATTCAAATTTCAAATACGTTCTATAGACCCAAGTCCGGGTTTCTCATTTTTCTTCATGATATAAACTTAAAAGTATTTTGTCTCTCGCTAGAGGGTTTCCATCCTTAAGCATATTTATTTCCATGTTCACAAAAATAATCCATCAAAATTTTACAACATTTGGAGTCTAACATAAATTCCACGTTTAAAGAGCATGAGAGACTATCGAAACCCGTCATATAGCCTAGGGATGTGATTAACTTTACACGCAATCCGTCATTGCTAGGGAGGCAAGTATGACGTGGTATATGCAAGGCTGACATATATATTGTACTGAACATCGGGATATCTGAGCTTTCTTACGGGACGAGCGCAGCCGCCGATGAGCTCAATGGCTGGCGAAACGAGGCCACATATCCGTACTGGAACGAGGGTGTGTACTTGACGTGGCAATGCCACTTGGCTGCGCTCTGCTGCTATCCATCCATCTCCTCATCTCTCCCGTTTCATGGCGATGAGAAGCGTGAGACCACAGGTTTTGACAGGAGCAATATCCTCGTCCCGGGGCCGTGGTCCTATGCTCCACTGCGCCATCGCTCGCTCTCAGCTTCTCACGCCACTTCCACCAGCACGGTAGATCCTGCTGCTGCTCGTTTGCTCGTGGAGTGAGTGAGAATTGGAGCTAGCGCGTGAGTTGTAGCAAGCAGCCATGGCTGCCAATACAGCAGCGCTCTGGAGCTCCGTTGTCACCGCAGCTGCGCCGTGCAGCTCTTCGAATTCGACGAAATCATCGCGCAGAGCCGCGACCGCGAGCAATGCTGGGCCTCTGCTCCACTTCCTGTCCTCTTCCTTCCAGACTGGCTCCGCTGGACTGAATTTGCAGGCGAGCAAGCAATCTCGCTGTGCCGCAGCTGCTGGAGAGGTTGCGTCTGCGAGAGCAGCCGTGACAGTGCAGCCCCCCAAGACTAGGAAGACTAGCCAGTACGAGATCCAGACATTCACCGGATGGTTGTTGAGAAAGGAACAGGCTGGAGTTATCGACTCAGAATTGACCATCGTCCTGAACAGCATCGCTGTTGCTTGCAAGCAAATTGCGTCCCTCGTTCAGAGAGCTGGAATCTCCAACCTCACCGGTGTTCAGGGCGCCGTCAATGTCCAGGGTGAAGACCAGAAGAAGCTCGATGTCATCTCAAACGAGGTAAGTCTTCGCACACGGCTGAAGTCAACTAGCTGTTTTCACCACATTGATAAGTCATTATTAAATTGATCTTCTTTCCTCATTTCAAACGTTCTCTCTATACAGTCATGGACCGTATAATATTTTATCTTCTATCCCGAGTCCTTTCTCCACTCCACGCGTTCAGCATTCCGCTATCGAAGCGAAGAGACTGCATTGCAGCCTCACTCACCTCAAGAACCTGCCCTTCTTCTCTGTAAAAAATCGTCTGTCATTTTTTGTTTCCATGTTCTTCTTTTCCTGTCCATTTCCATCTGAATTCAGTACGTACCACCCAATAATTCGTCACAATTTCACTCATTTTTTTTCCTTTGAATAAAATGCTTCTTTCTCAGGCTACTCTCGGTAGTCCTCCAGCCACAGTGTCTGTTGATGTGCACTGATGCTGGATATGATTTCGGTGCCAGACGAGACGGTAGTCTCCTTATATATTTTCGTCGATTGTGCTTGCTTCGATGGCGAAGATTGTTGAAAGCTGTATGAAGAGTAGAAGATTCCTCCCTCTCAATTTCATGATACAGTATTCCACCATACGAAGCCGACACTAGCCAACTTTGTGTGAGCAGCTTCAAGGGAATGCAGCCGATAGCTAGATGGAGCCATCTTGAAACTCATATCAGAATTGCGCTGTACTGAACTGAGTAATATTCGAAACCAAACGCGTGGAGTGGTTGCTATAGTTCGCTGGCGAGTGGTGTACAAACTTCGGATCTTGTACCCGGTGCACTAACTCCTGATCATTGATCGCAGGTCTTCTCTAACTGTTTGAGGTCCAGTGGACGAACTGGTATCATTGCTTCCGAAGAGGAGGATACCCCAGTCGCCGTCGAAGAGAGCTACTCAGGAAACTACGTCGTTGTCTTCGATCCTCTCGATGGATCCTCCAACATCGACGCTGCGGTATCTACCGGATCCATCTTTGGAATCTACAGGCCCACTGAGGAGTGTCTTGCAGACATGGACGACGACTCACAGGTTCTCATCTGAGCAACACATAATCTTGTGCTGGAGTAGCTTTTATGATCAACTTCTGATGAACCCCTGTCCAATTTGGTCTTTTCTATGCCTAGAATACGTGATTGATTGGCTGCCGCCTACATCCTTGGGACATCGTGACTCTAGTTCTCATAGTCTCCTGCTAGCTCCTCCCTTCAGTACGTCCCGTGGCATTTTCCCACCTTTTTGTCTAGAATCAGTAGCTTCTTGCTTGCCATTTGATGTTAGCAGTTCAGGCTGAAGGACGGCGTCACTCAGTGAGCTTGGTCGTGGGAGCTTGCAGAGTAACTACATGATGCAAGCCCTATCTCCAAAGAGCTCGCTGATAACTATGTGCATGGTAAAGCCTCAGAACGCTTCTAGCACCATTCTGGGTTCCCGTCTACAGCTATCGTCTTCACACACATTACATGTTGTACTTTCACTTCAACAGTTTCAGGCACTTTGAGCATGACCTCGTCTCTTCCTCTCCTCACGAACGTCACATGAGTCTGCCAGCTTGAATAGATTAGGCCGATCAGTATCTGCAGACGGGGAAAAATACTCCGGCTGTTGAAGCTCTACGAGCTCTCACAGCCATCGATCCTACTGTGGGACATGAAGACCATTTTGACCTCATCCTGCTGAACGTCATGTTGTGCTGCAGCTCGGTATGGTGGAACAAAACTGCATCGTGAACGTATGCCAGCCCGGTAGCAACCTCCTATCCGCTGGGTACTGCATGTACTCCAGCTCCGTCATTTTGGTGTTGTCAGTCGGAGACGGTGTCTATGGATTCACACTGGATCCCCTGTACGGTGAATTCGTCATGACCCACGACAACATCAAGATCCCAAAGAAGGGATCGATCTACTCGTTCAATGAAGGTAACTACGCACTCTGGGATGACAAGCTCAAGAAGTACATCGACTCACTGAAGGACCCCGAACCCACCGGCAAGCCTTACTCTGCTCGTTACATCGGTAGTCTGGTCGGTGACTTCCACAGAACCATGCTCTATGGTGGCATCTACGGATACCCTGCCGACAAGAAAAGCAAGAACGGAAAGTTGAGACTTCTGTACGAGTGTGCTCCTATGAGCTACTTGGCAGAGCAGGCCGGAGGAAAGGGTTCTGATGGTTACCGCAGAGTTCTGGAAATCGAGCCTGAGCAGGTACGATCCATTCTCTATCGCCCACCTCATCCGGTTGTGAATGTTCTATTTGTAATAGTGGAAGTCATCACACGAAAGCCTTTCCCTTACCTGTGATCCTTAGTCTTGGCCGCTCACGGTCGGTTGGTTACTAAAATTGCATGAGATTGGCCATCACTCAGCATATATGAAAGATCAGTTATTTCCATTATGCTGATAGAGAATACAATTTTTGACTCGACAAACGTCGATGGGTAATCGAGAATTCAATAGCTTTCTCCCCAGCGAAGAAATTGGCGCTGTAAGCCGAAGCTGGATCTGTGGCTCAATCTACTCTCAATCTCTTTGTAAAAAGATTCTGATGTTTTGCTTTGTTTGGTTCTTTTGACCGACAGGTACATCAGCGAGTGCCACTTTTCGTCGGAAGCACGGAGGAAGTGGAGAAGCTTGAGAAGTACCTTGCTGCTTAGGGAAGAGTCTACACTTGTGTACTATTACATCCTTTTGTCAAAAGACGGGACATCCATCTGTAAAATTTATGCATCACTAAAGTACGTAGCCCCGTGAACATAGCTTGTAGTTTATTTATCGATCCTGCAGTGAAGACGGGCCGGGCCAGCTCAGTGCAGACAACGAGGCCGTCCACCGTTATGGCGTAATGGAGTTTTGATGTCGATTCTTCAGGATCAAGTAGTTTCCGAGCGAAACCCTCACAATGGAGGCTGAACTACCGTTCGTGTACACTTGTTTCAAGGTTATAAAGGTCATTCTTTTCGATAGCCCAATGAGGTCTACTCCGTTCTTCCAGTGCTCCAGGGCAGATTGAATGACGATCTCGGCCGAAGGAAAAGTCACCACTCAGACACACGTACTTTCTGCACAATTGGTAAAAGTGCTGATTTCTGAGACCGAAAATTGATTCCTTGAATGTCATGTTCGTCGTGGAGAGTGTTGATCGAGAAACGAGACGATGGATCGAAGTTCCGATCCACTGTCTTCATCTAAGGCAGTTCAGCAACTGAAGGTGATTCAAGAGCAGTGCCAAGAATTCGTGGGAGGAAACGGTGAGAAGATGTCGATTGGAGGAGCGAGAACGCACTAATGTACTTGAACACAGTTAGAGTGCGAGAAACCGACCAGGGAACCAAACCAGTTTAATATCCAGTTAGCACGAGCAGGAATATCTGAAGGTGTACATTGTACCGGCAGATTTCAGATTTACGAGATGTACCCGTCTTCACAAGCAAGAGGCGCCCCTCCAAAATCTACCATGTGAACGCTTGTATCTAAGCACGTGTGATTCCCTGTAGACCGAGATATCCAGCGCTCTAGAGGTTGCTATGGACTAGACCTTCGTGAAAGATTTCCGCCGAGTCTGAAGGTCATGTGCGTGGAAGGCAACATATCTCCCCCTTGCATCGTGAGGAAAGAGCACTGCAAACGTATCCCTCAAATCACGAGAAAATCTCGCTCAGCTCACTTCTGCAGCTCCTAAGCGCACCGTAGTCGCCGAATCGAATCGAGGAACGGAGTCATGAGCAGAAGTGGTTGAATGCAAAAGTACAGTCTGACTTCTAAAGGCCGAACAGACGAGAGTGCACAGACTCGCTCACACGATCGATGAGAGCTCGACGGGGAGAAGGCGACGAAAGTGAGGCGGCTGCTGAGACCACTGATTCTGATTCCACGTTAAGCAGTTAACGGTAACCAAAAGTAATTAGCTCTAATCAGAAACAACCGCAACCCGGAATCGCCGGCCACTTCCCTGCATGTTGGAGGGAGGGAGGGAGGGAAGGAAGGAAGGAAAGAAGGAAGGAGCGATCGATTTCCGTCCGAATCCGTCACGGAGGCACGGCGGGTCTACGCTACACGACGGGGCCGGAAGATGCCGAGCGGACAGTGGAGGAATATCTACCTGCTTTCGCGGTCGCTCAACGGGCAAGATTCTTCGGGCTGGTGCCGTATCCGGAATTGTACGTCAGACTGACGGTCGGGATTACGGCATCCATGAGCCGGGAACACGAGTCCGTCCCTGCGAACGAGCGAACGAGCGAACGAACTGCTCGCTGAGCTGCAAGGCTACAGACGACGGACGACGCTCTTGAGCGCTCGAAGGGGTGCTCTTGCTAAACCCTAGGGCTTAAGTCCCTGGAGCGAATGCTCGAAGTGGTTTGTTGCGGAGGCGATGCGAAAGGGATCAGATCAAATTATCGCCCAGCGTCGTGAGTGAACGCCCGGGTTTTTCAGTTTCGTGGATCGGGTTTTTGCGCGTGATCGATCGGTGGAGTGATTGCGGATGGTTGGCATGGCGACTCTCGCGCTGTTGCCTACTGCGAGGCCCACTCCAGCAGCAGGTGCAGTCGCGGAGCGCAGTGCCGTTTCTAGTCGTGCTCACAATTCCGTGCGAGTTTTGGCCGGACCTGTGAAATCGGAGCGAGCTTTAGCTTCCGCTCGTGCTCTTTTCAAGGGGAAGAATGCTGGACAGTCGGAATTATTCGTGAGTGGACTGTTTACGTATTTTCTCTCTCAATTGTCGGGTTCTAGTGCGCGCAATTGACTCTGTTTGGATTGACAATTTTCGATAGGAATTTGAGTTTTCCTTTTTGCTGGCGCTACTTTGAGGATGGGAGGAGACTGTAGCTCGTTCGACAAGGGGTTGAGGATGAAGCTGATCAATCGGGATTTACGATTAACGACTTGTGTAGAACAGTGAAGCTTGCAAAGCAGGGGATATCGCACAAGGAATTTGTGATGGGCCGTGTAGGAGAATCTCTCATTTACACGTTTCGCGGTGAATTATATTTGGGTCACCCTTGTTTCGGTGCCTGGAAAGGTTCTCAGCAATTTTCTCGTAAAATTGAACCAGAATTCAAATCTGATCAATACCAGGTTTTGTCCTGGGAAATTATATGAATATCTGGCTGTCAAATGATCGGAACTCATGGTTGACTTAATGGTGTTTTTCAACAGGGGGATGTTGTTCTAGTTAAGCTTCCCGAGGCATCAAAGAGGCCATTCAGTAAAATTTGCGCCACACTAGCCTCAAAGGAGTCCTTGCAAGTGGGTTCCTCCATATGTAACTGTACTTTCAAATTTTTCTGCTTGTAAGCGCATACAGTATAGGAATGGTTGAATAGGGGTACCAGACATAAACTGACTTCCGTGAATCGAATTATACTTAGGCCAAATCAGAATCTGTCGGAGGCATCGACACTAAAGTGCAGCACCTGTACCGCCAGCCATTTCTTGCGGAGAATGCCACTGAGGCACTTTTGAGGCTGGTGAGTTGACCGAAGCGACCTTGAAATTGTAAGAAATTTGCTCAAGTATACGTGAATTGCAAATGGGGTAGTAGTGCCAGTTTGCTTGTGTTTGTTAACAGTTGTGATCCTATTTTGCTTCTGATTTTGTTGAGGATATTCACAATCCTTGACATTCATTTTGAAATTTGCAAAGTTGTGGAAAATTTGGAGTTGCCGGAGGCAGGCTGGATAACGAATCCTAATTCCTCTCTTGTCCTCGTACATCTATGGCATAAATTTCGGTTTTCCACTTTAAATTTGTCTAATACCCTCAGATTCGTACACATATCAGGTTAAGCAAAAAGTCTCTGGCGATGTCGAGTCTATCAAAACTGAACAGGTAAAGATGCCCACTTCTTTGTAATCAGAATATTCCGTGTTTCGTACTGTGTCTGTTTCACAATACGTCAAGATTGACAAGGGATAGAAATCAAGGAATTGCATTTATAGCACTACTCCGTTGGACTTCGAAACATTGCATCTGAATATCCTGATCCTGACATGATAGTGGTTCTCGGGATGCAGTGCTACAATATTGCATTAAGGGCTCCAATTAGTCGTGAGAAGCAAGATGTCCTCACGTGGCTGCTTCGAGAAACATACGAACCAGACCAACTTCAAGCTTCAAGTTTTTTGGACTCCCAGAATGCCACTGGAGGTGCGACAATAATTTATCAGTGTATGCAATATGAATGAGAGTCGTACAAGAAGTTTGAAAATTTGTGTTGTACCAGTGGTTCCAGCGATGACTTGGGGATGTGGTCGTGAGGCTTCGACAGGAAGATATTTATAACCCAATTCAGGCTGTGTGATACATGTCTTCATTGTTAGTTGACTTTTTATTGCTGTCTTTTGCCTTTGCTGTGTAGGAAATGGGGTTGTGGTCGAAGTGGGACCTCGATTATCTTTTACCACTGCGTGGTCAGCAAATGCAGTTTCAATATTCTCTGCATGCGCATTACCAGAAGTCTCACGAATAGAGAGGTCACGGAGATATCTATTGTCTGTACGAGATGGTGCTGCTCCTCTTGATCAAGACCAGCTGGAAAAATTCGCGGAGCTGGTAAAGTTCACGTCCAACCATAGTGAAATGCCTACAAGCAAACAGGGAAGGGTGGCGTTGTGATGAATTTGCTCACCTCATTGGTTTGATGGCTCGTCGGATGGCTGCGTTGATCATAACGTCTAATTTTTCAATGTTTTTTTTAAATATTGCAACAGGTACACGACAGGATGACGGAGTGTGTGTACTACTCAAAATTGGAGACATTTGAGACCGACACTGTTCCTGAACCAGTCATTGAGTGTCCCGTTCTTGAGGTAGTACTTTCATCGTTAAAAATTGTTATGTCTTTGTGGCTCAATTAGTCTAAAGTTGATATCCGAGTACGAGGGAATTTTTGAAACTTCTTCAGCGAAGCCACACTGTTGTTGGTTTACGTAAAAATCTGATCTTAGACGTGGTTGTCTTCATTTTGTGTTGAAGAAAGGAAGGGCAGCTCTTGAGGAAATCAATATCAGGATGGGTTTAGCGTTTGACGACTTCGATCTTGAGGTGAGTTGTTATAGTGTATGAAGTAGCTCACTCTCTTGATATCAACTGATTTATCCTATTATTTAGTCTAAATGCTTTCGTTTCACTTAATGGGCCAAATATACTTCACTGATGTCATGCGGGCTGCAGTAGTACTGACAACAAGAACTTCAATTGTCTCAATCAGTACTACACAAACCTTTTTCAAAACGATATGAAGCGGAATCCCACAAATGTGGAGCTTTTTGACATTGCACAGTCTAATAGTGAACACAGTCGACATTGGTTCTTTAAGGTACTCCAACTGGTTCTTTTTACATTCACATTTCGTATTTCTGTTTCGGTTGGTTGTCTTCACAATCCCATTGTTAAACAATTATCTCACTCTCGTGCCTGAAAATGCGACGAAAAAGTTCCGATTCGATTCACTGCTCAGAACGTATCGTAATCTTTCTCAGGGAGAACTCATCTTAGACGGCCAGCCTGCACCGAAGAATCTCATGGATCTTGTCAAGGACACTTTACGCGAGAACCCCAATAACTCAGTGATAGGGTTCAATGACAATTCCAGGTAAGAACTGAAGTTGGTGGTTGTTTGAGTTGATTGTACATCTTTTTGTGAAGAATATGGACATTTTGTTGTCTTTCAAACCTTTTCAAAGGACGGAGTAGATAGCAAAGAAGATGGGAAGACCTTTTCAAGCCATACAAGGAAGAAAACGAACGGGAAACCAAGGGCTAGGCCCCGTTTGCATCATGATGTAATTTAAACTGAAGTTTACTTTTGAACTTAGTGACTCATGTAGTTCTCCATCCTTTTTATTGATTTGTCTGAGTACAGTGCTATACGCGGTCGGGTAGTCGAGCCGTTGCGTCCTTCGGCACCTGGGACTCCATCTCCTCTGTCAACTATCAAACGTGACCTTGACATTCTTTTTACTGCAGAGACTCACAATTTTCCTTGTGCAGTGAGTGATCTTAACTCAATTCTTTCTTGATATTTTGTAGTTTTCAAACCTGACGTACGTGTAGTTACTGGACACAAATATGTCTTATACTTAATTCTTGAACTGCCTGCTTAGAGTCATGCTGGTTCTAACGTCAAGTGCCAACTTCTCTGCAGGTTGCTCCTTTCCCTGGTGCTGAAACTGGTGCTGGTGGTCGTATCCGTGACACACATGCCACAGGAATTGGATCCCTCATTGGGGCTTCAACGGCAGGATATTGTGTTGGCAATCTCCAGGTGAAGAAAGAATCATCGCAGCTCTAATATTCTTTACCTTTTAGTGACGGACCTCTTATCTTAATAATTCAACTGCCTAACGAGTATTCGTACTTGTTCAGATGGAGGATTCGTTTGCTCCTTGGGAAGATAATAGCTTCGAGTATCCATCTAACCTGGCTTCTCCCCTCCAGGTTCAGTAAAAGTCATCAATTTGATGTTGTTTTAAAATTAAATGTCACTCTGGTTTCTTCCCAGCACTTCCTGTTTTTTGGAAGGTGTGTTTGATTACTGAGATTCTTTGCATTTGTGGTTCTAACAGTGAAGTTCATATATGCAGATTCTTCTTGATGCTAGTGACGGTGCCTCTGACTACGGCAACAAATTTGGCGAGCCTCTCATACAGGTTGGGATTTTGTTACAAATCTTGATGCATTAGAAGCGTAGTTTTCAGATGTTGTATCAGGGCACATAGATAGTTAATTACGTAGACATGTGTGTATAGCAAACATAGGCTTTTGTTAGGTTGGAAGTTGAAAAGATACGAAAGTTCGTCGATCTTGTGGAAATCCAAACGTTCTCTGAGGGGAGTAGGAGCTCCTTTTGGATTATAGAGAAATTTGAGTGCCAGTCACCTGCTCGTGACCTTCCTCATAAATTACATTTGTTGGTTTGCAGGGTTACACACGAACATTTGGTATGCGACTCCTCAACGGAGAACGAAGGGAGTGGCTTAAACCAATTATGTTCAGTGCTGGGATTGGTCAAATTGATCATCAACACTTGAAAAAAGAAGACCCTGAAGTGGGAATGCTCGTAGTCAAGGTACGGCCAAGAGTTCATCTTCATTGTGACCTGAACTGTTTTCCATGCTCAGTGGTGAAGATCAAGCTTTTTATTATGTAATTGATGCAGTTTAGGTCTTGGGCTGCGCCCCTTCCGGAAGTTGCCTTATGCTTGTGATGCGCTGGCTTAATTTTTTTGTTATTTATATGTTTGACAATAGATTGGGGGGCCTGCCTATCGCATTGGAATGGGTGGTGGTGCCGCGTCTAGCATGGTAAGTAAAATCCTTTCCCTGTGTTTCTAATGTTACATGGATTTGCTCTATGATTCAATCATAGTCCAAATTTTTTGGTTGTTTCGTGGTGCTTATTAATCGGCGCAAACAAATTTGAAATTGTTTTGTCCATCCGTACTGAAGTTCTTCGTGTACACGTAGTGTACTTTCACTTACTTTCAATAACCTTCAAGCAGTCATTTTACAGTGTTAAGACTCAAGAATAACAGTCTTGTCAATATAGTTTTTAGGTTTAGTCGCCTCTGTAAGTCGCTTCGTTCCTTGAATCATATTTGAGCTCAACAGATTTTATACAAGTGATAGTGCAAAAGTCAATTGAATGTTTCATTCCGCTGTGATCAGACGTAAAGTTCATATTTTGTTCCCGACATCTATTCGAAAGCACGGCTGCCCTTAAGTGGGCAGTTGTATGAACAATCCCTTTGGAAGAGAAGTGTTTAGGTTTTATATCTGGTGCGTTTCAGGTGAGTGGGCAAAACAATGCAGAGTTGGACTTCAATGCTGTACAAAGAGGAGACGCAGAGATGTCACAAAAGTTGTACCGAGTTGTGCGCACATGCGTAGAAATGGGAGACAAGAACCCAATTGTTAGTATACATGATCAGGGTGCCGGTGGTAACTGTAACGTTGTGAAGGAGATCATATATCCAAAGGTAAAAATAGTTAGAAGCCACGTCAGAAGCTCTTTACTACTGCTTTCGATCTTGATGAGAGCTGTATTTCTGAATAATCTTAATCGCGTTGTTGATTTCTTCTGTTTATTATCTCATCCTGTTTCATTTTTTCTCACAGGGTGCAGAGATTGATGTGCGTGCAGTAGTTGTGGGTGACAAAACAATGTCTGTTCTTGAGATTTGGGGAGCAGAGTATCAAGAACAGGTAACCAAGAGCATTTAGCAAACACTATTTAGACACCGAAACCAGATTTGATATTGTCCATCTTTCTTCTGATTCCTCAGGAGCAGGCAGTTTTGTGTGGAGTACAATGTTTCTATAGAAGTTAGTTTACAACTGGGAGATGGCGCTGAAGCATTGTTCGCAACCTGCAGGACGCGTTGCTTATTAGGCCTGAGAATGAAAGCTTGCTGCGTTCAATCTGTGCAAGAGAGCGCGTGTCTATGGCAGTTCTTGGGAGTATCAGGTGTTGTAGCTTACGATACTGCTCTCTCCTGAATTTCTTAGAATCTAGGGCCTTCAAATTTCTAGTGTTTGTTTTGTTTTTTTAAAAACCTACTACTGATGTGGTCTCTTTGTGTACCTGGTGACGTGAATTTGCATCCTAGTCATGACAAGCATTCGTAGTAATCAAAATATTAACTTCTCGGGTTGTGCTTGTGTGGATTTACTCACATTTCTCAGCACTTTTCTACTGCAGTGGTTCAGGACGAGTTGTACTTGTTGATAGTGAGGCAAGAAAGCAGGCGGCAGCCTCTGGCCTCCCAGAGCCCAGGCCTGCCGTGGATCTTGATCTTGAAAAAGTAAGGAAGACTAAAAATTTTCATGTGATTTTCTCCATATTTTGGACTATCCTAACTGAAACTTTATAAATCTATTTGTATCACTAGAAGGGCAACATGTGTGGCAACGAACCACCCCCCTTTTTTGATATTAGTACCATGAAAAGGAAGTAGAATATCACTCTCAAAATTCTGCTACATTTGTATGCAATATCTTGACACAAATACATGGAAACATTTGAGATAAATATTAGATGGTAGTAAATGTCCACTTCCTTTGCGTTTTCCTTTTAATTTTGCGCTAATTTGAGTCTAAATGCTTGAATGATTTAGGTTCTCGGAGATATGCCCAGGAAGAATTATCACTTCACTCGAGCTCAACCTGTTTTGGAGGCGTTGGATATTGCACCAGGATCAACTGTTTTCGATGCCCTGAATCGAGTGTTTCACCTGCCATCTGTGTGTTCGAAGCGCTTTCTGACCAGCAAGGTAATATTTGTTGTGATGTCTTTGGCATACTGCTTTATTTCTGACGTTTTGGTCCATGAACCCAGGAGTTTCAGATGGTCTTTGAATTAAGTTTTGTCGAACTAGTGCAAGGTTTTGGAGATAAGGGTGTATGCTATACTTGATGCAGCTTATTTCATTCATGGTGGATAACTTCTTCCAGAATTTGGTTGTAGGGTTGGTTCCAATTTTGTCACTGACATTTTTCATATTTTGTCTCCTTTTTGGACTTAGGTGGACAGATGTGTTAGTGGACTTGTGGCACAACAACAGACCGTGGGACCACTGCAACTGCCGCTGGCAGATGTCGCTGTGTACAGCCAGGTCATGCTCATAGCATTTATGGATATTGTTTTCTGATTTGCTCGAGGGTGACATGCTCATTGCCCTGGTCACAATTAGCAAATCATAATTACCAAGTTTTTTCCCTTGTTACAGACATACACAGGCATCTCCGGTGGAGCGTGTTCAATCGGAGAGCAGCCCTTGAAGGTTAATATTCTGACTTCACATCGGGAGCTTCAGCTGGCTATCTTTATATGGTGGACTTTTCTCTGTTGGCTGCTATGTGTCATATCTACTAATGGTCGCTGTACTTCCGCAGGGCTTGTTGGATGCTAAGGCAATGGCCAGACTGGCCCTTGGAGAGTCATTGACCAATCTTGTATGGGCTAAGGTACGAGTCTTTTCTAGTTATTAATGTGTAGGTGGGATCGTAAGATGCATACAGTGACTGGTTTTAGCTCCCAGAACCGTCGTTCCAAACTACCATTGACGGGAACTGGTTGCTCACAACGTTGCTGATACTTTAATGCCTTTCATCAAGAATTCACTGGCTCTACTTCAAGGGTGGTTCTAGGAAGTTTCATGAGCCCTTCCCCTTGTGACCATAGAGTACTTAATTATGATGCATGATAGTGCACTGCGCTGCCTTTACATGCAATCGTCTAACGGCACCGCACAGACAGTTCTGACCACCACATATTTTTATCTGATAGAATTAGTCGTTTAAGTTGTAGTCCAATTCTTACTGCAGGTTTATTGATAGTCTGTTAAGCTGAGGAATGCCATGCTTTGGATATATGCCATCAAAATGTCGAGGTAATTCTTTGGTAATCTTGCTTCCTATCTGATGTGCATAAGTCATGTTTACTTGAAGGTCACCGCGTTGAAGGACGTGAAGGCTAGTGGAAATTGGATGTACGCCGCTAAACTCGATGGTGAAGGAGCAGCGATGTACGATGCCGCAGAGGCTCTTCGGGAGGCCATGATTGCGTTGGAAGTAGCCATTGACGGTGGTAAGGACAGTCTCTCGATGGCTGCTCAGGCAGGAGGAGAGACCGTGAAATGCCCGGGAAATCTTGTTATCAGTTCCTATGTTACATGCCCTGACATTACGAAGACAGTGACTCCAGATTTGAAGGTAACTTATCTTTCTCGTTGAATATGTTTGTACCTTCGAAGATTAAGGCTCAGTAGACAAATTTTATGTCTCTATATTGTGTAACTGCTGTGCCGTGAATGTTACCGTAAAAGTTCATTTATCAGTCGCATGTTTTCAAGTTTTTTTTTGGTGAACGGAGCCAATTGTGGTTATTTCGTTGGGTCCACAATGTCAAATGCTATGTTGCTCTATCAATCTAATGCAATTTTACTTGCTATCAACCCAGCTCGGAGATGAAGGAGTTTTGCTGCATATCGATCTGGCCAGGGGCAAACGCCGCCTTGGAGGTTCCGCTTTAGCTCAAGTTTACGATCAGGTATAGTTTGGTATGATATTATGCAAGATAGGTTTGAGAGTTAAAACAGTTTTTCTTAGTCAATGTACATCCTTCATTAGCTTTGCATGCGGTAAAGTTGGCATATAACCGTAAACAACATCCCCTCCCCCGGCAACCTTGTTGGTCCTATCCCGCTCTCTAGAAGCAAGAGTGTGGAAAAGTGATCGTATATGGGAAAAGTTATCGTTTCTGAGGGCTTCTTTTTCTTTTATTCGCTGCAGATAGGTGACGTTTGTCCTGATGTCGACATTCATCATTTGAAGGCAGCTTTTAACGCCGTTCAGGTGCGCACTATACTGGAATTAATGAAGCTAACTTTTTCAAATTGGATTTTCAGTTCAGCTGCTTATTTCTGCCCCTTTTGGTGAAAGCTTCCATGTCATGAAGAGATATTCCCGTCATAGGATCTCAAGTCGTTTGTTTATTTTTTGTCAGGTGTTATTAGATAGGAGGGCGATTGCAGCTGGTCATGACATTAGCGATGGTGGAATTATCACTGCATTATCGGAGATGGCATTTGCTGGCAACTGTGGTATTGTCGTAGATTTGCCTTCGCCAGCTGATGATAATTCCCAGCTTGCTCCATTCTCAACTCTGTTTGCGGAGGAGCTTGGACTTTTGTTGGAGGTACTGGGAATTTCTGTTCTTACTCATTTCATCGTACCTCTCATTTTGGCATGTGAAACTTTCCTACTTCCAACCTTAGTTTTTCGCATGAATCTGCGTCGTCTGATTTTCATACGGTGATTGATTTGAAGGTTAAGCGCAGTGACAAGGATGCAATTCTAGCCGAGCTTGAAGCAGCGGGTGTCACTTGTAGTGCTATTGGGAAAGTCACAAGTGATCCGAAGATAGTAGTTTCGGTTGATGGAGAAGTGCACGTAGACAAACCAACCTCCTACCTTCGTGACTTGTGGGAAGAGACTAGTTTCACTCTCGAGAAATTGCAGAGGTTGGAGTCTTGTGTCGAGCAAGAGCAGCAGGGGCTTAAGGACAGGACGACACCAACCTGGGAGCTTTCTTTTACACCATCCAAAACTGATGAGAAGTACATGAATAGCACTGTAAAGCCCAAGGTAGCCATCATCAGGGAAGAAGGAAGCAATGGTGACCGAGAAATGTCAGCCATGGTACTGGCGGCTGGTTTTGAGCCTTGGGATGTAGCCATGTCAGATCTTTTGGCTGGCAAAGCCTCGTTGAAGGATTACAAGGGTATAGTCTTCGTCGGTGGTTTCAGCTATGCTGACGTGTTGGACTCGGCCAAAGGATGGGCAGGCACAATCCGATTCAATGAGGTTCTGCTAGAGCAGGTGAGGTTTCACGAACAATTTTTGCAAGCTTCACATATAGCCTCTATATTCTGCTGCTCTTACGTTATTGCTGTTTAGCCTCTATTTGTATTTTGTTAGTCGCTCGAGTCACAGGCTTAAGGACTTCAGCAGTCGTGACAACTAACATGCAACGTCACTTCTCTGCAGTTTCAAGAATTTTACAACCGCTCAGACACCTTCAGTCTTGGTGTCTGCAACGGTTGTCAGTTGATGGCATTGCTCGGATGGGTCCCAGGAGCGGATGTAGGAGGAACTTTGGGTGCAGGTGGGGACACAGCACAGCCTCGGTTTGTTCATAATGAGTCTGGACGATTTGAGTGTAGATTTTCGTCTGTAAGGATAGAAAAGTCCCCTGCTCTGATGCTCCAGGGGATGGAGGGTACCAAAGTGGGCGTCTGGGTTGCTCACGGAGAGGGTAGGGTTCTTTTCCCAGATGCAGCAATTAGAGATGTAATAGAGAAGGACTCTCTTGCACCTATTAGATACTGCGATGATTCAGGAGAGGCAACGGAGGCCTATCCATTCAATCCCAATGGTTCACCCCAGGGTATCGCTGCCTTGTGTTCACCCGATGGTCGGCATCTGGCACTCATGCCACATCCTGAGCGATGTTTCATGATGTGGCAGTTCCCCTGGTATCCCCAAGAATGGTCAACTTTGGACCGCAGTGGTCCAAGCCCGTGGCTGAAAATGTTTCAAAATGCGCGAGAGTGGTGTGATCAGTAAGTCTGCAACTGTACATGCCCAAGATTTTGTTCCAAGATTCATAGTCACCCAATTTTGAGATATTTTTCTCCTCGCTCAATCTTTAATAAAAATATTCTACTCACTTCTTGTAAGTTTATCGCCGATTATGAACATTGCTGCATGTTGGTGACAGAAGATGCCCTGTTTGGAAAGGCTACCCTGTCTAATTACTCTCCTCTACTGATAACCCTTACCTATCAGTGCAGTCATGTCTCTCAAAAGCTCAACGAGTGTGCTTGAGATGAACGACTATAGGCAGATTGAGTTTTCATGCGAATGTGACATGAATGCAAGGACATGCTGTCCTCAACGATGTACGAAGGTCAGCGTCTACGGGCATGTTATCGAGGACCGACTTGTTGGCTTTCAAAGAACGGGGTTGGGCAAAGATAAAAGGTGTGAATTTTGAACTCGATTGGAGAGTTGGTGTGAACGATCTACCAGACTACTGTCAATCTCATACTTCAGTCACTGGACATTGGACATTGAACAAAGGATCAACGAAGACTCTTTTGGGGCTCTTGTCGTCACTGTGAGAAGTTTCTTCGATCGTCTCCATCGTACATTCTATCGAAGTCCTCCGAATATGGGACTCGAGCGAATGGTCTTCGTAATTTGGTACAATATACGGTCAGTGAGAAAGGGCCGGCAGGAGTATAGCCGGAAAGTGTCAGCGAGGTGCTCCTTGTCTTAATGATGAGAAGCACTGGTACAGTTACAAACATGACATGACCTAATCAATGACGCATGCCGAAGGTCCACTTCAAACTCCTGTACTATCCGATCATGCTACCACATTCAGCCACAGGGTGCAATAGTCACATCTCACACCTGTCATTGGATATCTGTCTGGACGTGACAGGACAACATGATGTGGTGCATTTCTGTAATCAAGCGAACCCTAATTTCACTGAGTTTCAGTGATATGCTGACTACAGGTCCGTTGTCGGTGCAACTCTTATGTAGGGTTGGGACGTGCCCCATTATCGTTGAACTACTTCACGTTGGTTTTAAAATGACTTCCCCATCTTCAGCTATCACCTAACACTGTTATTGCGGAGCTCAACTTCTCTTCATCGGAAATGTGGTTGAAGATACATGATGCAAGTTGTAATATTCTCGTTGTGACCTAAATGTACCCTTCTGCAGTTTTTCACCATGACGTTAATTCCGTGTGAAGGACTTATGACATCTGATGTGTACCTAAGGATTGCCAGCCCATGAAAGTTATTCTAGTGGGGGACATTGTTTTATCCTAGATTGAAAGTTTACCCTTGTGTCTAACACATTTTCATCATTCCCTTTATGATGTCAATCATCTGTAACCTGAAGAGATCATTCCGTATGTACGTGCTCTTTTCCGTATCTTTCATATCTCATTTGGGTCGAAGCGCCATCCAGGCAGCTTCGACTCAGTTCGATATTCTAGTCGAGAAAAATATGTCAAGTCATCCTGCTGAAATTCATCCAGTTTCTGAGCAATATTGACGTACATAAGAAGAAAAGTAAAACGTTCACCGCATCCTAAATAATGAATTAAGAGTAGATAACAAGATTATCAAGATTGTATGTCGTCCAGGGACTCGCGAGTACCAACGCAGTGATCTGGCTCTTCAAAGAATATTTGTCTGCTCTTGGAGTTGCAATCAACACGTGGTTCTCTGAAATCTCGTGTCCACAACTAGCGCACGGCTTCAGTACAGAGTGTAGGGTTATGATATAGGTTTGAACTAAGTCGTTCACAGTACTGTACACAAGCAGCTGAGGAAGCACTCAAAAGTCTGCAAATTAGTGGTTATCGAAAAATGTACTGAAACGAAACAATCGTTCACAAATGATATTTCGGTTCAAGAAAAAGGATTACCAAGAGGGAAATAAAAGAAGCAAATTTTGTATCACAACACAAGCAGCTGAGGAAGCGCTCACAAGTCTGCAAATGAGTTGTTATCGAAAAATGTACTGAAACGAAACAATTGTTCACAAATGATATTTCGGTTCAAGAAAAAGGATTACCAAGAGGGAAATAAAAAGAAGCAAATTTTGTATCACAGCGAGTGATCGGTATCATCAGCGAAGGGGTGAAAGGTTAAGCCGTTAAATGCAAGGGGACTGGGGCAAGTACAATGTAATAATTCGGGCGAAGATGCACCGACTGCGATGACCACTTTTCTCTGGTTGGCACAGCGTGCATACACGGAAGTAAGAGCACTCGGGGTACGAAATTTCGACAAATTCCGAAGACCAGAAGCATGTCGGCGTGGGCCTGGGGACGAGCAGATGAGGGAGGGGACCAACATGATCCGTCGCAGAGGGCATGGAATAGGTATCTAGGTCTCAAGTCACTCGATCCACATGCAGTGTCTGGTACGAAAGATGGTCAAGTTCCACAGGAGAGACTCCGAGGCAGGCACGAAGAGAAGGAAGGACTGATGTCATCGCGAGTGTACTTCCGGCGCATTCCGTGGTGGACATGCAATAAATTCCGCTGCTAACTCTCTCTCTCTGCCTCCCTCTCTCAGTGGTTTCGTCGGAGTGAGATCGAGGGGAATGTTCCAGCAGCCACAGACAGTCGTTATCATTCATTGCGCGTGCGACTTTGAACACTGAGAAATCGTGGATGAGAGAGAGATGCAGTTCCGAATGCAGCCCATGAGTCTCGTCTCGACCAGGAGGCCACCTGCCACATCCGAACGGTGCACGCCGATGCCACAGGACCAGCACCTCCCTCCCCATCTCCCTCGGGGGTTTCTCCGCAGGGGGTAAGTGCGGCCGATATCTACAAACCTGTATACTACTCAGGGAGGGAGAGAGAAACTTGAACATGTGTGTGTGCTGAGGTCATGCAAACCCAACAAGGGTATAGAGCGTGAGGGCCCTTCTGCTCGCCCAAGAATGTCGGCAAACCATATTTGTGGTACCATACCACCAGATGGTGATGAAGAACACCGAGGCGAAAGTATAAAAGGTGGTAGTGTTTGTGTTAAGAGAAAATTACTTGATGTACCCTACTGAACTCAAAACATCCCATAAGAATCATTTTACCCTATGTAACCCCTTGGATTCCACTTCATGCGAGCTTCACCCATATTCCCATATGAGTTATTCTAAAATGTGTGTGTGATTTCAAAAGTGATTGTCATAGTGTTTGAGGAGTTTTGAAATCAATATGTGATTGATCTCTCCACTATGTGAAATCAAACTTGATTGAAAAAATCTTGAAATTTCCTATGATTTCCATCAAATTTCTTTAGCAAAGTAGGAAGATCAAATGTGTGTGTGATCTCATAGATCATAAGAAATTTCAAGATTTTTTCAATCAAGTTTGATTTTCTATTGTCTAAGATATTCAACAGAAAAAACACAAGTTGCACTCATGAAATCATTGCTCACCAAAACTACGTTATCTTGGTGTTTTTGTCATCATTGAAGAAGTATTTGTCAAATCTAACGGACCTTGATCAATTCTTGAAAAAATTCACAAAAACGATTGAATAAAAAGATTGAGATCTTATATGAACAAACAAAATTTGAAACACTCCAACAACAATTTTGTCTAACTTCAACATACATTGCAAAATTTCAACAACTTGCAGTGATCTTGACTTAAATAACATGCACTATCATCACTATATTTTGACGTAAACTCTAAGAAAATCAGCCAGAATATCCAAAACCTTGTTGCTGTTCTTGCCCAAACCGACTGCTTTGTAGTAAATCATTACTCAATCAATCAACAATTTGTGCATCAATAGAATGCCGATTGCTTTTTTGATCATATCAAGCAAATTACATAGCTTTACATTGCCAAACATCTTCAAGCTCTTCAATTTTAAAGCTCATGCAAATCAACATTTCATGAGTTAGGAAGCTAATCAAAGAGAAGAAAGAGCGAAGTTGTAGGGAGCATTTTTCTTTTTATTATGAAAACAAGGAGCATCGTTTAAGCAACTACGTTTTCAAACTTCAAGTGCCAAATTTGCACAAATTTGGTACAACTTAATTATGATACAATCAAGCACTTTTGAAACAAGAAAAGTATAATTTAGTCAAAAACAACAACAACCGACCATAATAAGTACTATGCGGTTGACATGTATTGTAACGTCATCATCTGATGCACTATTTTATGAATCTTCTTGATGTTTTATTATCTTGCTTAAAATATTTTGTACTCCACATTGCATAAAATTTAAATGATTGGAGACCAAAATTTCTGCTTGTTTTATTGATAAAATTTTTATAAAGTGTTATCATCTTACTATAATACATAAAAAAACACCTTGTGACACTAGAGCTTATCAAACGTGGAACTTTCATTTTATGATATGTCACTCATAAATCTAAATTGTAAACATTAGTCTAGAAGTACATCAAATAACAATTTTATTCAATAGTTTCTCTTCTATTGTTTTTTTTTTTGAATTTACTTTTGATTAGAGATGATCAATTTGGATATAAATTAGGAAAAGTGTGAGCTAACATATCAAATCATAGTATTTCATATTTCATCTAGACATCCAAGAAGTATTCCAAATTGTGTATTTAGCAAGTTTTAGGATACAAAGTCAAAGATCCATTATTGATCGGTGTACGAGTCTTTATGAAAGCTATCAAAAATGAAAATATGTTTTCAAGTTATGCAATTCGGATATTTGAACTTGTTTAAGAACCAATCAAGTTATAAGTAAAATATGAAGAGTATGGAGACTTGTTTGAGAAGAATAATCTCAATACACTTCTTCTAACATTGAACTTATGATTGTGACATTGAACTTCAAGAAGATTGTGTAACCTCACTTTCGTCCCATCTATATAGTGTTTCAAAACAAGCTTGGTATAAGATTATCTTGATGAACATCTCAAAAATAACTTCACTTGAAACTTCAAGTCACATATTAGAATTTTTGTACTATTTGTCAGGAATAAAACGGCTCCCTCTAGATGTGCATGGACTACTGTCAACTAAGCAAGATCATCATCAAAAACCGGTATCCATTGTTGCTTATTTCAAGCCTTATTGAAAACTTTAACAAAGCAAAGATCCACATTTTAGATTGATTTTTGCGGAATGTACAATCTAGTATGTGTCAACTTCCGTAGTAAAGTGACAAATGAATATATTGAACAATATCTTGAATACAATTTTATACTTTTTGGTATAACCAAAGCACTTGCCATCTTGCAACACTAGATGAATGACGTATTTCAAGTTTTTTTTATAGTATTTTGTTGTATGATATCTCGACGACATATTGGTATTTCCAAGAATGAAAAATATCAGATCTACCATATTTGACTAATAATCAAAAAAAGTTGTGCACTGCTTGACTTAATGTCAACTATATGTCAAGTTGGAGAAGTATGTAATCCATAAACTCCAAGTTAAATTCTTGAGCTATATTAATTTTGGAAAAAAATTATCCATGATTGAAAAGAATATTCAAACACTCATCAATTAATAAATATGGATTAATGTTCTAGACGTAGAATGATTACTCGGTATTATGAACTTTTATAGAATCTTCATCCAAAGATATTCCAAGATTGCAGATTGATATTTATTCACAAAGACAAGCTCGAGTAGAATGCAAAAGAAGACCAAGCATTTGAAACTCTGAAGATTGGATTTACAACTACAGAGTACGCCTATTTTAACGCATCTTGACATCCATAAGCCATTCTTTGTAGATGTGGATGCTTCTAACATTGAACTTGGAGCAACAATTTCAAAACGCAACAAAGATGGACGTCTTCATCAGATCGCGTTTCACTCACACAAAATTACTGTTGACGAAGTCAACTTTGAAATCCACGATAAGAAGCTTTTAGACATTTTTGACTCGTTTCAAGAGTGGCATCATGTTCTCAAAGTTGCTCAACATCCGGTCAAATTCTACATTGATCACAAGAACCTTGACTACTTCATGATGATGCACCTATATATTCTTGAAATAATTGTATATTTCATTATGCAAACGTGTAACATAAGAATGCACGATGAGTTTGAAGTACAATAGTGATTTTGGTTTGAAAATGGGGAGAGGTTTTGAAGATGAATATGAATATCTATATTTCTTAAAATTTTTTAAGATTTAATTTTTGTAATTCGTTAAAATCTTTGCACTTGAAAAAAAGATTGACCTCATTGTTGATATCTGGTTCTAATCTTTAATTACTTGAGTGATGTGTTGAATTGAACTCAATTTCAATTTGAACCTAGATACATGTAGATGAGTTTATGTTGGGTTGTTGGACTGGAGCTTTGCATTGCAATAGACGTTTTAATCCCATCTGAACCGCGTTTGAACCGCATTTGACTTTTGCAATAATAAAATGTGTTAGTATAGATGAAGAAATTTGTATAAAGAATAACGATAACTGATGTTCAAAAGTGTGCTTACTGTAAACCAACTCATGTTTGGCTCCATCTGACTTGCATAATTTGGATGCATGTTCGAACTCAGACATGAATGACTTGGATATTCCGTTAGAAGAAGGAGGTATCTATGACCCGTCTTGATCTTATGAAGTAGAGAGAATGTGTGTGTTTTGGGATACCTTTGCAAAACATGCACTTTGTGGTATATGGTAAATGATCAGTGTTCCGGTACCTCATTCGCCAATGGAGAGATAGAGAGAAAAAAAACAGGGCACAAGGAGCATATTCCAACCTGAATAAAAGTATGGAGGATGATACATTCAAAAGATACCCTAGGTTGTTTATTCCTCTGCAATCCCTACTCCCACCGCCGCATGGAGAATCGCAAATGTCTGCGAGATGTTGTCGCCTGATAGAAACAACAACAGCATCTTCCAGCATCTCCCGACTCCTGTCACCGGGGACGGGCATGATCGGGCATAACGGCTTTCCGTCCCTCTTATTTTATAATACAAAAAGTCGGCAGAACATGCTCCCTGCCAATCAGCGGTCGTTCGTTCCCAAGAGCCCTGTTGTCGTGGGTATCTGGCGCCCCGTCCGACCCCTCCCACTCCCCCTCCCGCCTCTCGCCTCTCCGCCTTTTTTGAACGTCTCTCTGTGCGAACTCAAATCCCCCTTGGCAAGTAGGCCCTGCCTCTGCGACCAACGGTTCGTTTCTCCCCCTGTTCTGTTTTTTTTTTTTTATTTCGGGCTCGGACTCCCCGCCGTTTGGTGCTCCCCGTCCTCCTCGCACTTGTTCTATCCTTCTGACTTTCAGCAGTATTTCAAACGACGGGGTTCTGGGTCGAGTGGCACGAGTCCACTCTCTTATCTCTGATTTTGAGCTGGGCTGCTGTTTTTGTGAGGTTTACGTTGAGCTGGGCTGGGGATCTAGTTTGTAGCCGGCCGCTGCTGAGGCTGAAGGAGGGAGGGAGTGGCCGCATGTTTGTATTTCATGCGCTCGTATTTCCCCGTGCCCGTGTCCACGACAGTACTCTCTCTCATTGAATCCTCTCGCTGTCAGCTTCCTCCTGTTTGCGTGCTTGCTGCTGCTTCTCAACTGCCTCTTTCTCTGCTGCTGCTGCTGCTGCTGCCGTCGTCCATCGGCCACGCTTCGGCCGTACCGAGTCGTCAAACGCACGGAGGGAGAGCGAGTTCGATCGTAATGAGATGAGGTACGCGAAGATGGGAGCTGCTACAAGCGAGCGAGAAGAGTATAGACTTGGATGAGGTTGTCAGCAAATCAGCTGCAGCTGCCAACGATAGAGAGATAGAAAGAGAGAGAAAGAGATAGCGAGGATAATTCTGATCGCCGGCAGTGCCGTTCACCTTCTTCATTCCAGCTGCTGCTGGTGCATTTGGCGTCGATATTAGAGGAGTAAATACGTGAACGTGGGTTGATCACGAACGAAGTGGGTGAGTAGTGTATTCCTCATTCTCTGCAGTCAAGTGCCGCTCGGTCGAGGCGGAAGGATGTGGGGATTAGAACGTCAAAGGCGGCTCGAGTGAATTCGGAGAACATCCAGCACAGGAAGGAAGGCAGCATGAAGCATGGAGCCGAGAGGGATGGGCGTCTCGTGGTGAGATAGACGCCGAGAAACGAAGCATTCAAACGAAATCTCGTTCGCGCTCGCAACGAAGGACATGAGTTCAAATATGAACCGGGTAGTGAAGGAGTCAATAGAGACGTTTGAATGGGACCCACCTGTGGACTGGCGGCTGTCGCTTCTGCTGAAGCAAGGAATATTGCAAGGGGAACAAGCAACAGCGTAAGCGGATTCGTGCAGCAGCCACGAGCGTAGCTGTGGGCTCGTCACGTATGCAGGAGATCTCGAAGATTTCGAGTTTGACATCGATGCCGAGACTGAGACTGAGACAGAGCGAGCTGAGTTGCAGCAGCTCTGCTGCTCGTCGTTGTGGAAGTTGAAAGGTCGGAAGGTGAGAGAGAGAGAGAGAGAGAGAGAGGAGGATAGAGGCAAGGGGGGAAGAAAGGGTGCAAGGATGGGGGATTCATGGATCGATCCCATCCACTACGTTAGAGGTTACAATGCGCAGGAAGGAACTCTGATGGATCTAGGAAGACAGCTCATGCAGAGGGGCACAGGTGAATCAGTGTGGAGCGCCGGTGGATTGGGAAATTGGCAGAGCTCAAGGCCTAATCGCATGGCGGGAGAGCACAATTTTGGAGCTGAAGATACTGTGATGCGCAGCTTTGAAACAGGGCCTTTGTTCGGTGTGACATCAACTCCGCTCTCTGATATGACCAATCCCAGACAATATCAGACGGGAGGCTTGAAGCAGCAGCAACAACAGCAGCAGCTGCTGTTGAGAGAAACACTGAATTGCCACACTGGAGTTCACAATGTGGAGAACGCCAAACCCAGAGTGGTGGGAAGCAGTGTTCTTGACGGCTGCGTGCCTTCCCGAGACCCGAATTATGGAATGGAATTTTCTCTGACCACCTGTGAAGCCGACATGAAATTTCAGCTGGAACGGGAGCTCGAATTCCACCGCCGAGAAGCTGAAAGAAGAGTATGGAGGAACAACTTCGAGGCGATTCCGCAGGTGAGAATGAGCTCTGGTCCCAACAGTGTGATCTCTTCTGAGCAAAATCTGAGCAACTCGTATGTCTCCAGAGGTTTGAGTACCGCCCTCGACCGCAGTCTCCCAAGCCAGCTCAAGATGGGGAATGATTACACTTCCAGAATCTCTGCTGCGGTCGGAGGAAATTCCGGCATCGCCTCTGAGCAGCAGCAAAATAGCAAATACTCCTCGAGGCACAGCGCAACATTGGGCATCCATGGAGATATTGCGGTGCAGGCGCATGCAGGCATGGTGCATGCTCCCAGAGTGCCTGACAGAGCTGCTCCGAACAATGCCTACGTCCCCGGAGGGCCTGTGGGAGTCGGCCAGCAGAATTGCAGTATCTCAGCCCAGCTCAATTCAAATTCGGCCTTGGGGTACAGCGACAGGATCATGGAGACTTCATCCTCGACCGGGTATGGCTCTCAATCCTGCGAGATGGCGGCCGACATCACAAGCGTCGTGCCCTCGCTCACCTACGAATTGCCGGACTTCCACTCAGCCGCGTTCGGCTACAGCACGCCAGTGTACGAGGAAAGAGTGGCCACCAACGATAGCACGAGCGAGCCTATGGATTGTCTCATGGGAGACTTTCAGGCGGACGTAGTACCGGATGCAATGTCGCCCGCCATCGCTCCCATGTTCAAGCGCACGAATTGGGACATAGTGAATGATGGCTTTGATCTACTATCTCATGGTACGTGCCCTGAGGCGTCCGGTGGCTTCCCATGGCAATCAGATGTGCTGGTGGGTGATATGTGTCACACCGGGCACTCCGCCATCAACTCGACGTCCAGCTTTTTGTTGCCCACCACTCCGAAACTGTCCTCTTCCTTAGAGCTGTCACCAGCTAGTGCTCTGGATGAGCAAACCATGCAAGAATTCTCATTAGTAACGAAAGTACTTTCCTTTCCATCCAACCGGCCCTCGAGTACAGGCATATCTCGTGACCATGAGCGCAAGGGGGTTGTGGGGGCTGAGACTATTTCAGCCCAGGGGCAGGGTGGCCGAGATTCAGCAGAAAAGGTCGAGAGAATCAAGGAAGAAAGCAGCGAGAGGAAAGCAGTAGTGATCAAGGAAGAAGTGAGCGAGCCCGCCCCGATCAGCAAAGGGGAGAGAGGGAGTGTGGAGAAAATGGATAGTTCCATGACTATGATGACCAGGATTATGAGGTTTGCTGAAACAATCGACTCCAAGGATGATAAAGTGGCTTTGCACCAGCGCTCTTCAGCTCTGAAGTCAGCTCAAGAGTTCTGCTCAGTGGATGGTGACTACACGCAAAGAGTTGCACATTACTTCTGCGAAGCTCTGTCGAGGCGAGTGGAGTCCAGAGAGAATGGAAATGCTGCTGCCGTCCAAGAAGAGCCTTACCAACTTCCACACGACTTGCTGGAGGATTGCAAGTTCACAGAAGCTTGCCCATACACTAAGTTTGTTCATCTCACCGCCAACCAAGCCTTTCTGGAAGCTGTCGAAGGAGCAGAGAGTGTTCACATTATAGACTTCGGCACAATGCAGGGTGTGCAGTGGTCTGCGCTCATCCAAGCTTTGGTCAGTCCAGCAGGTCCTAATGCGGCTGCACCGCCCAAGAAGATTCGCATTACTGGAGTCGCCTCGACTAAGCTGGGACCAAATGCGTCTGAATATCTCCTGAGAACCGGTCGACGCTTGACTGAGTTTGCCGAGTCTATGGGATTGCAAATCGAGTTCTTGCCCATTTTGGAAGAAGTGCAGAATTTGGATCACACGTCTTTCCAGATACGTGAAGGTGAGGTCGTAGCTGTCAACCTCATGTTGCAGTTGCATCAACATTCTGGAGAAGAAGGAGGAAAACGACTTCCTAAGATTCTGAAGCTTGTTCAGAGCCTCAAGCCGAAGGTGGTTGTTTTGGTGGAATATGAAGCTGCAGTGAACACTGAGACATCGGATCCTCAAACTCGGCTTCTCGATGCGATGAAGCATTACTGTGCTGTTTTCCAAACACTTGAAGAAGCTATGCCTCAAAACTGTTTGGAAAGGACCAGGATTGAGAGAGATATTCTCGGAAGGGAGATCAGAAAGATGTTCACTTCTACAAGCGACAAGAATTCAATGAAGCATGCGAGTTTTGCCCAGTGGAAGGACCTCTTTACAGGCTTAGGATTTCAAGCTGTGAAACCCAGCCACTACTCTTTCAGTCAAGCTCGATTGCTCTTATGGATGTACGAAGGTCCCTATCAGATACTTAACAATCCTCAGAGTATCAGCTTAAGTTGGCATGATCGTGTTCTGATCACTGTCTCTGCATGGCACTGCCTCTGAAACCAAATGCGCTCCGTTGTAAATTTTGTGATTCTGTCTTGGCTTGTGACAACCTTCAAACCACCACTCCGTATGTCTGGTTGGTATCATTGCTCACCCGGTCACTGCCTTTCATCATCGAGGTTATTATCGAGGTGCCAAAAAATGTAGGCAGGAACAAAACCCCTCCTAGCGGGCAACATTATTTCCTGTACCGTGCCACAAAACTCAAGTTTTGTCACAAATGTTTGTACAGCGAACTTCATCTACAAGTTCTTAGACGTCAAAGTAGACAATAGGCACACCACACTAGAGTCTGCATGTCTTCTTCTAGAAGGACATTCCAGGTTCTGGAGTCGAACACAGAGTAGAGAGTAGATTAGAAAAGGTTAGTGTAGGTTGTAGGATTGGTTAGTATCTAGAATAGGAACCCGTGTGTATATGTTGATTGATCCTACGTACTCAAAGTCAGGAATCGACGTTGGATATTTGAGTCGTTGGCTTACAACACCTCTGTTCGTTGTGGGGCTTGTCTTCCAGGTCTGGGTTTCAGCTGTTGCTGGTGCATGATCCCAAACATGTGATTCATGTGATGCCTCACATGAATCACATCCACTTTTTCTTATAATTTGTGCTATGAGTTGCTTCAGTGATTAAATTTCCTTCACATTATACCCGAACGTTCCATGGACCTATTTCCCACTCACTCATCAATTTTTCTCACCCTTATCTCCTGTAAGCTAGCTTTAGAACATTCAGCAGATATCAGGTAATTAGCTGCCGAAACGCTTGTGTTGTAACAGTCCCAAAGCATGGAATTCGGGACAAAAGCTTACATATCTAACAAGGGCTGTTTCGGAAAGTTTCACTGGTAAACATTGCGTAAGGTCGCTAAAATTTCTGAGCTTGCCATTCAAACCACCATCTCAGATCAATAACATAAAACATTGCGTGGCTGTTTATATCCCTCATCAATTTTTAGAAGGTTGAGATCTGGTGCTGAACAGAGGGAATTGACGTACCCCACAACCTCATGTCTAATCTAATGAATCCACGACCAAGTAATATAGCAAAAGGGATGGAAAGATCCCAGCAAGTCGCACAGGGACGAAGGCAAAGGGGAAGTATGGGGCTAGTCCCTCAATAGCATCACAGTTGGAAAAATGAATCTGAGCATGGGAATGATATTCAGCACTCAAAAACGACCATCTTCGAACTGTTACTGAAAGAGAAGTTTGTGAACATCTCGACGTTCTGACTACGTCACAAATGCTTTTACTTTTAACACTTGCTGTCATTACTTGGCCCCCGCGGACGGCGCGCGACCGGGCGGAGTTTGTTAGCCAAAATATAATCTCACAATACTAAAATCGAATACAAGTAGAACTGAAATTCATGATTGTATGTCGCTGCATTTGTCTCCTTTCCATATCTTATATTGATGGTGAATTCTTGTGTTGTAACATTCTTCTTGTGTAGTACCTGAGCTCGTCTGTCGAACCATCTCAGTCACTCACGGTTGACGAGGACGAACATCGTGATTATTTTTGTTAACTTCTAATGGTTCTTGAGACTAAGATTCATCTCCACAGAAAAAAGCTGAATCGAAACGAGTAGAAGAAACCACTCTTATTGACACGACTGATAGCATTAGGCCCTACTGTATCGTCTTCTAAGTCGAAGTTCTCATGTTTTGGTGCTGCAGTCAGCATCAGTTTGTTGCAACATTCGGACAACGTTCATGTATCTGAAAAGCGATGAGGTTATGAAGATAGTTGCATCGCTTTATAAGCTTGAAGGTGCAGTCCTGTATCCAATGGGAACACTTAATTCGCATACCTCTGAGGTCCATTTGTGACGATCCAGAGAATTTGGTTGGGTACCCTTATAGAGGATACCCTACCCAAATAGAGAATTGAAATACCTATAAAAAGCTGAAGAATCAAAATGAGCGCTGAATGAGTTATTTCGCAAATTCAAAGACGACCGATTACTTACAGGCGAACTAACAGAATAACGAAAAGAGAGTTTTCTTTTCTGTGCATGGAAATGGTGGCAGTTATAAAAGCTGCCGTTAGTATGACCTTGAAAGAACTCAGTGTATGCCACGGAAGAGTGAAAGGCCCTCATCACCTTCCGGCAATGCCGTGTGTGAATTTACTCAACTCCTGTGATTTCATATCTTAACTGATGGACCGAACCTCTTCTGACAGTACCTAGTACTTTACAGTATTTTCCTTATTCACGGGCAATCAGACCACTTTGAGGTGATCATGTAGGAATGCAGTGTGTCAAATCATCTTGTCGGCAAAGTCTGAAATCTCGATCAAAGTTCGAGGATTCAGGTTCTCACAAACTGTCTGTGTTGGGAAGGAATCGATTGGTCGTAACGAAAATGAATGTTTGAAGCCGAACCACCGAGAGTTAGTTAGTCAGTAGTAAGAGTCCCATAGCCTTCAAATACTACAAGATCATGCTTGATAAAAATCAGATGTGAAGGTTAGATTTTCTTCAAGTCAAATAACTTTCATACTGTGTACATAATATATTTGCGAACAAGAGGTCTCGTTGTCCAATACCTCCAAAGGAACCACGAATACAGCTATCTGCAGTGTGCCGTATAGCCACATCAGGATATTGTACCATGAAAAGAATCCATCTGACAGAAATTGCCACTCGCTTATCTCCTTCTCATGCTCTTCCATTGTATCTTAAGGCACGGCAAAGACATCTCATTTCACAAATTTAACTGCGTGAAGCTCGCACACGCTTTTTATCACCTCGCGGTGTCACGTGCAGGTTTTCACCAAGGTGCGTAGTATGGCTGGTCGTTTAGGTTTTTAGGGACAGCAGGTTGTTCTGAACGACCTGAAAAGATGTTCATTCCGATTTCTTTCAGTTCATGAACAAACTTCATAACACCTATCAAGATAAAGTGAAGATGGTTGGCTCACGTGCTCTGTATCATGGCAGCTCTAAATATATCCCCACAAAACCTATGAGAAACTGGTTCTCGTAAATGCCAGCAACGCTTCTGGATGTGTACCAGTCGGTGCTCACAGTCCACTGTTATAACACACTAAAGTGTCTGGCCACAGACCACACTCAATCTCTCACTTGATGCAAATGGTAGGTAGAAACCATGAGTGTTTCCAAGTCTTCACCTTCAAATTGCCATTACGAAAGAGGATCCGTAGCAGGGAGACTACACGTAAAGCTGTCTACACATTTGCCAGCAGATCATCCATTTTGGCTTTTGGGACTTGGCCTTCACTATGGTAGGATATCGTTCAAGGATAATTTCCCTACCGTGGCAAGGATCAGACTCTAGCCTAAGCAGAGCACATCGATTCTGGTGGTAATCCATGTATATTAGCATTAACCATGTACAAGTTTGAATTCTCCTCCAAATGTTTTCACAGCATGATGGACCACATTCAAACGCAGTGTCGTTCTTCGAGTGAACGAAGAAAGCGACATGAGTATTTTGTCTCTGTCACACAAATCTGATTGTCTGCATTTGTAAAGCAAGGATCGGTATATGATCAGATCAGCACCCCGTTCATCTCGCGCACCGGGACACGCTGGAAAGCTTTGCAGAAAGAAATCTTGTCCCTGCCCTTTCGATAAACCATGCCGGATCTTGCTGCGGACCGCTCAGCTCATGTGAAATAAGGATCGTGTTTTATCCAATGCTCCTTTGGCGACATGGTGCAGAACGGATATGATCGCAATCATGGGTCCATACTTCCTCTCGGTTACATTTCACCTCTAGGCATGATGGTTGGTTTATTGAGAGCTTGGGGTTCATTGTTGCATGTTCGGACTTAAAGCTTAGGAAACACGAGGTTACATTCTTTACACAATTTTGGAGGGGCTGATTCCTGTTGGTGCGCAGTATCCTATGTTTCCTAAGTACACAATCACGTTAATATTCAATATATTCGTACTCTTAGAGTAATATGAAACTATGGACACCCAAATGTTTCAGAGCATAACATACTGTACAAAATGGATCAATTACTCCATGATATTTTAATGAGTCAATGTATATCCATTGCTCTACATAGAACTGAAATTCCGCTAAAGAGTGCCATGTCTAATGCAGCAATCACTCTACGTGATGCTCATGACAAAATTGACTCTTCGATCTTTAAGGTAGTAGAAAGGAGGCCAAGTGGGTGGCAAAAGGAATTTGGGAGTACACGAACAAGTAGTATATATCACCCATGGTTATGTTGCTTATATCCGTCCATACTAGTCTAAATTCATTGGGGCCTATCCCCATCCTATCCGCTTGGTTTCATCCATTCCCACCGTTTTCGCCATCTTACTCTCTCATTTCTTTCTCAGACTTGAACCTCACGAGGAACATTTTCTCAGTTCTCGTCCATTTGAGTAACCCCAACCAAAAGTATACATCTATCACTTGTCTGACAATGAATCACACCGTCTCTTAGCTGCAGGAAGGCCCTCTGGACTGCTGGATAAGAGAAGCAGCAAAACCTAAAATCTCCACGTACAGAGTGAAATAAGAAAAAGGATGGGAAGGCCATCAAGTCTGTCGTAGATGAAACCAAACGGCTAGCCCCCAATAGCAGCACAAGCTGAAATCTGCTTTTGATCGATTCTAGTTGCTTCGCGGAATTCGGATGGTTGTAGAAAAGAGAAGATGTGATATTTACTGCCACACGTTGTAGCAGTAGCAGTAGCTCCATAGATAAGTGATACCACCTCCAATGCCACAGAGGCAAATGCCGAAGACACCACAACGCCTTCGCCTATTTGGCAGTTCAATGATAGAAATATTGAAAACAGGCAGCAGTGATAGGCTGATAGCTCGTTGAGTCGTCATCATCACATTGTGTAGCAGGGCCCTCCAGAACCTGACGGGTTATCAGATTCATTCTATTTACGGATATGAACAGAAAAAGCCAGAGGACGAAAGAAAATATAGCGAAATGACTATTGGCTTCAGGGTAAGTTCGACCTGCAAAAAGCAACCAGCCAACCCAACCATGGCACTAAATTCGACGTCTTTTGGAAGCTGGCCTGTACGTATGGCTACCACATTCCCTACCATTTGCAGCTCCGATGATGTACATTGGCTGCATATTCGAACTGGTGAGAACAACCGATAGTGAGCTGCTATGGAAGTATGCTAATAGAAATATCCATTTTCTTTTGCTTGATAACAATCAGAGCTGCACATGATTTGCCAATACGCTGAGGCCGGGCCTCAAAAGTTAGACAAATACTTCAAGACTAGGTCTTTGAAATGTTGCTGCGATCGGAAAGAAGTGGAGGTACGCTAAAGCTTGAACACATATAAAATCTAAACAAAGCTTATAGCTCAGCAATGTCTATCAATGGCAATCGGCCGTCCATACCAACTCTCCATGTCGGGACGGTTCGCTTTGAATTGGGCAAAGCCTCATATTTGTCGTGAAGTTCTGGGCCGATTCCCTGTCCTGTAACTCTGAAGGCATAAGCGTGTGACTGCAGATAACGTTCTTCCTTTTTTGCTCCAAAATTATGGTCCCCCAGTGCCTCCACATTGGGCATGTGGGGTGGCACATGGCACGAGGAAATGAAAAGGCCTTGAGAGAATTTGTCCAGTTTACACCCTCATTGTTGCAGTCGACATATATCATTTGAGGTCCGATGAACACGAGACGTCTCATGGCAATGAAGTACTAATCGTGACTACACTGGCTACCATATCCCCGATACTTATAGTTGTTTCTCGTTGCGGATTCTCGAGCGTATGAGATAAAACGAGGAGCACTCAACATCAAAACACGGCAAGGAAGCTCCATTGCAACTTGAGATCGGAGGGGAGGGGAAATAATCCATTATTCCGTGGATCGTTTCGAAAAAGAAGAACACAAAAGGCAATCCTTCTTTATAGATTTTAGAAACTTGAATGGATTCGAAATCCAAGTCTTGTGAAATGTCCTCGAGATAGGGGAATGAATTCATCAAAACAAGGTCAAACAAAGGTTGCATTTCCGTTGAGCGAACCCGTAGAAGAGTCCGCAGTATCGCACATGAAAGGGCTTTCAATAATATAACTCTCGTAACGTTTCCTCCCTTTCGATACACTTTCGAACCGAATGCCAGCCTTGGGCACGGGTCACGGAAAACAGGGGACTCGTGATTCATGGCTCTGAACCCTCTAAAGGAGCAAGACGGGTCTGCTCGCTCGTCGTCAATTTACTCGTAGACCATGACCTTGAAATTTACCGTGGGACTAGAGGAGGCACAGTAAGGCCGAAGCTGGCAAGGAGTTCGCGCCAGTATAAAGCGAGCACAGGATCGACGAGCGTATGGAGGAGGACAGGACAGTCCTTTCCGCTCGCTCCTATCCTCCAACATGTCGTGACTGCGCAAGTCCAAGTCTCGGCACATGACTTCGATGGCAGACCTACGAACGAGCTTTTCTCCCCCCCTCCGGTGGTCAACTTCCAGGTCAAACTTCCGATTACCCTCCCTCCCTCCCAACGGCACGTCCGGGCCCCGTCCCGCCCCGTCCGTTTCGATCGCATTGCATCTGGACCGTCCGTGTCCGCGGAAGTCGAATGAGCTCTCCCTCCTCGGCCCCGGGCCCGAGGGCCCGGCCTCTGCAGGCGACGAGCCCGTCTCCGACGAGACGGATCGCATCAGCGGCTGCCCAAACCGCTCCAGTGGCCCCCGCGGGCCGGGCAGGCCAATGGCAGGTTTCTTGGATTCTCGGTCCGTATCGTCTGTTTCGCCAAGAGGAGGCCAGGCCGGGCCGGGCGCTGCTCGCTGCCCGCGCGCCCGCTACATCTTTGAATCTGGCAGGAACTGGAGCCCTTAAAGAAGCCGCGCGGGGACTGCCCGGGCCTACGAACGAACCGTCATAGACCATGTGCCGGAAAGGACCTATTGCCGGCCCATTGGCTGGTGCCGGCGATCTCCAATTACGGCCCGGTACCGCAACGGGCGATTGGCTGCGCGAAGAAAGTACGCCCCACAGATCGTCAGACGAGGCCCTGGAATGGCGAATTTCTGCATTCAGGCAGGCCTGACGTTCTGCTCGTCTCTTTCCGGCAGATGAGATGCAACGTTTCCGTCGTGTGGATGCTTTCGGCCGAGGGCGAAAAGCCAAGCGACATTATTACCTGCTCTGAGAGTATCGAGCGACGAATCGAGGGGATAGATGAAGTGGAGCTAGCTCGGGTCGGGTCGGGTCAGACCTGCTGAAGTGTGCGAACCGATCTCCTGAGCCCCTTTTGGTCCCCACTTGCGGCCTGTAGGAGGGGAGTGAATATAACCAATGGGGAAAAAGTCGCGGGCGGGGGGTCGATGTGGCCGTTTTGTGGCAAAGCATTATTGTGCAGGCAGGCGATGAGAAGTGAGTGGGAGGAGTGGGAGTTCGGTTATCCGGATCGGCTCGGTAAATGTTACACCTTATCTTTGGGCAAGATCTACGACATGCCTATCAGGACTGGGGCCTGAGCTTTCCCGGGCAATTTCTACCGGTTCCCCTTGTTCCCTTGCACAGCCTGCAGGAAGATCTGGACTCCGAGTCAAATCCACCTCTCGTAGTATTTCAGAGATGGGATTTCGGAAACCTTCGAATGCCATGGTCTACCAGTCTGCCGCATCATCTACGTCACGGTTATCATGAATGCAGGAGAGGGCGGCTTCGGTTGACACCCCAAAACGATCATTCTTCTTTTCTGCCACAAGAGCTACGTCACAATCATCTCCAGACCCGACCCTGCCTCCACTTTTCTCTTTTGTAAATGTTATCTCGTCCCTTTTGCCACACGATCTACGTCATGTTTATCGTCGCATCCTATAAATTAATTACTTCTTTGTCTTCGGGGCGATTAGTCATTCAAGGAAACCACAAGCGACAAGTCAGAGTTCTATCTCGTGGTCCGCATCTCATTGGTCGCTTCGGTCTATTTTGGCAGGCTCATTTCCAACGTACTCGAGTGAGCACTTTCACCAACTGGTGTGTTCCCGTCCGGCAATGTACGCGTCTCTTCTAGCCCAGCAAAGCCTTCGTGTTCCCGTCCGCTGCGAAAGACAGAATTATTCAAGATAGGGAACTTTTCGCGTCAAAACATCGCCCCAACAGTTCGTTAGCTTTCGCAGTTTTGACTTTTAGGTACCGTAGATAGTCCTCAGAGAGAGGTAGTTAGGACATTAGATTCAACCCAAAAAAGACAATGACTCACTCGGGGATGGATCTCCTCGCCGGGCAAACTGGTTGGAACTTACAATCGCTCGGGAGCAAATTCACCCTGTCAAAAGTTTTTGTGGTTGAAACATTTACCTTACTACCTGGACTGAGTGAGATACTCCCGAGTGAGAACCATATGTTTTTTTTTGTTTCGTTAGCAGAGAGGTGATCTGCAGCAGGAGGGGTGGCCGATTTGAGCTAAGTCGAGAAAGGGCATGACAGAATTTGGTCGTGGTGGCCGCCGAAAGAAGTTAGCACTTGATAGGAAGCCCACATACAGCAATTCACAGCAAGTCACAACTGAAGCGGTACTCTGCATCGTGTATTTTGTGGAATGGTGTGCCTCGAGGACTTCTTCTGTTGCAACATGTGTTGCAAGCTTAGCGTCCTACCGTCTTCGGGAGGGCTATGGTCCAATGCCTTGCGCGGGGGATAGATCTCTTCACAAGCCTGCTGCAGATTTTTGTAGAGTCTCTGATCTCGGTTTGACAAATGTACTCGCAAATTTGAGCTTGGAAAACAGCGTTTGTCTTCTCTTCATTTGTCTCATTCAGAGCCAGTCAGACACAAGATACTTTCATGTATTTGTGCCACATAAAGTGAACAAATGTGTACGGACTGGGCCTTTCGGCAATAGACTATCATTTCCACTGAATGTTTGTTCTCATCGGCATTCTTTAGAATATAACAGCCTGATGTGATTTGTCGTTGCTGGTTCCGATTAGCATTGCCGGAATATTACAGTCTCGTGTGCCATTCGTCTTTGGGCTTCACATGTACAAAGAACAAACGTCGAGAGAGAGGGCCGTAAATTCTTAGAGATATTTTGGGTCGATGTGGTTGTCTGCTATCTTGCTTTTAGATAGAGAAATATGACCAGCATGCACAAGATATACCGAAGTTCGATGCACACTTCGTAGTAGTAGACCGAATCGTCTAGAATTGACTTCTTCGTGCGGACAAATGAGTAGCCGGATGAGTCCTCGGTTGGCATAAGTGAATCCAAGTTACCGTCACGTCCAGAAGTGGGAACCGAGTACGCAGCAACATCTGTTCGTGGTGGACGGAGGACCTGATGATGAACGAAGCATTTGCGTAACTGCGTACGGACGTCCTCAGATGAAGGAGCCAGCTCTGAATCCGACAATGACAACTCACAGCTAAAGCTAAAGGTAATGGAGGAACCAGGCCATGAAATAGTCATCTTCTCCTTGCGTCTGGACTGATCATATATTTGGTGCCTAGCATTCAATTAGTCATCGCTTTCCGACCTGGTGTACAGTTAGTGACTGAGTTACTTGACATGAGTTACAGTGCTCTTTGGAGTCATCACTCTGATGCAAAAGAAGCTTCTCGTCGGTTTTGGTTTGCTCTCATTGTCAGTTTGCATGATCCCTAACACTTTGTTCTGCCGGATTCATCTCGATGTGACATACCAGCTGACCGGAGGTCTCCCTTCAATCTCCAGCACTCAGGACTAGACGTGATAAGCCACAGAATAAAGCGATATTTGAATCCTCGACTTTCTCCATTATTTTAACTCTCCATGATTCAAATACTTTCAACTTCTTTGCAGGTCAAACACACAAGGTCCAGGACTTGTTGGAGACAATCATAGATCCTGTTTTACGTTGACGATTTTCTTCTACGGGGAGATTTGAAAACCTGACGGTAATCCGAAACGTTTTTTAGTAGACTTCGGGGAATGTTGTTGATAAAAATGTGTACAAAAATCGCAAACCCAAGATGCTCGGATCAGTCCTTCCGTTTCTAGGTCAACATGGCACTCTTTTGTAGATAAAGAGAGCATTCGGTAGACTTCTAAACCATTTTACCAACGGGTTGTAAGATTACACTTGAATAAATAAAATAACAATAATAATTCTTCCAAATAGGTGATAATCACCAACCACATGCGCACCGGGCAAACGGGTGAGTCCTTCAAACAATTGTGTACAGAGAACACGTGTAAAAGCTGAGACAAATTTCTAGGAATCCAAGGACATATTCTTCAGTTAGATGAGATTTATGGCTACAAAATGCGAAGGAGTAAATTCAAAGATGTCAACTTTGAAGAACCAGTTTTTTGCGTACCTGACAACTTCCAGAATTGTCAATCTTCTCGTTGAGCTCAAAACTTGAGTTCGAAATACAGGCGTTATGCACAGGTCCATTTTTTTTCCTTACTATATTGAACACGATAATGGAATGATTGGAGCCAACAAAATCAATTACAATTTACAAAGTCTTCTAATTATGAACAATCTTTCAGAGTTGGTAGAAATTATTTTATTCGGTTGTAGCAGTGACATCTGTTAAGATTAGGGAATGTAATGTATTGTTCCTCATATTTTAACCTATAGTAACAGAATGTACTTTTCAACAGAATCTAAATGACCTGCTTCACGATTGTAACGAACGCAAATTTCTCTCGCAAAATTCTACTCAGAGGGCAAAAAGGTTTTCCAGTTGTTTCCGAACTTGGCTTTACTCGCTTTCTCGTTCTAATCTCCGACTTCCTTAGAAATCTTTAAATGCTTTCTTATCTCCAAGGTTGTCCTCACAACAATCTTCACTCTATATTGAGCTCCAATGAATGCTGAGTCTTCCGTTTCTTTGATAATGGATTCTTTCGCAGTGTCAATGGGCATGGAGTGGACTGCGGTTGATTTCTTTGATTTCTAGGGAAAGTATACATTTGTTTTACAAAATAAATGTACACTTAAGTTTTTTTAATAAGTTAGAACATATATTCCTTTTATGTAACAAAAACATTATTCGTGAAAATATGGGATTAAGCCTCTCTTTATCTTTCTACCGACGCGATGTGGTCTTCCATCTCTTTCATATCTACCATGTCCGGTTAGTATTTATATGACATAAACATATTTTGCATTCGGTTTTTGTTTATACTTTCTCACGAGTAATTAGCTTGAGAGTGAATTTTTTGCTAGACTTTCGGTCGAAAGCCTACGTCTACTCGACCCACCAGACTCCTCGGATCCTTATCATCACGAACTCATGAACGCAACAACGTGAAAGTGAGTCAAATCTCAAGAAAATTCGCGTTAATCTGCCCTCTTTATTGAACCCGAATGAAACGACTCCTTTAACACAGAACCAGGATGCCTTTTTAGAGGCTTTTCAGACCAGACCAGTGGGTTAGAAAAATGAAGACTTTCAGTCGGAATTCAAGCAAAGAGTTAGAAGAAAAGTCTACCTGCGCTCAGCTGTCGAACATCGCGCACCTCAAGAATGGGTCTCACTGTAACATTCTGATGAGGGAAGACATTATCAGCCCTGACGAAAGTAGACCCCAATGACCGACCAGGAGGGCTACACCGCGACGAACAAAAGGAAATTTTCTGCCGCTGCAGTAAATTGCGCCGGGCAAGCAGCTTTTGAATGTTACCACATGGAGGTTCCGTAGCGTGGTGAATCGGCGACTCCTCGGCGGAGCAGTTGCCCCTTTTGGCCGCTTTTCCCTGAGACAATGCACACTCAAGGTGACGGAAACATCCCTCCCTCGCTCGGTGGTGAACTTGTCTCAATCAATCAATGAGAGTTACGCTGAGGCTTTCCATGCATGGCTTGAATGCGGTGGCCGAGGTGTCTACTGGCTCTACAGAGTTCTCCTCATGTCGTCGGGCAGCAACGCGGACCTTGTGGGAGACATCAGACTCGAGGGGGTCGATCCGGTCGATCCGACGAGACAGAGCAGAAAGAGGAGCTTAATTATTTATAACTCGAAAGCTATGTGCGTCGGAAAACTCTCCATGTCATGTCATGGGTGCTCGCTCGCTCGCTCGCTCGCTCCTACATGGGGCGTACGTGATCATAACCGAGTCAAATCTTGGTCGAAGGTAGAACTTTCTAGAAGTTTTCACCGATCCTACAAAATGGGAACCATCTCATTCTCCAGATGTAGTGCGTCGACCATGAAAAGCGACGTGAGTCCAGGTGGCCCAGCGCTGACATGTAACATTCCTGCGAGTGTTGGTTGCTGGTTCAGGGTAAGTTTTTCCCTCGCGCTCGCTCGTCGCAGTAGTTGGAAAAGTCCATGGGCGAGCTGAACAGTCTCGTACCCGCGCGCACAGTGTGTAGAGAGTACTGCAGAACCCGAGAGACTGGGACCTTCACATTCCGCATGCGTTGCTGTTGCTGGTGCTGGTGCTGGTGCGGTAAAAAATTAATCCACTCGCGGTGTCAAAAGAGGCAGCATGACTTCCGAAAGGAGGCCCACACTTGTGGGAACTAGTGGCATGCGACCATTATCCCACTCCCCCACTCCTCGAGTCCAGAAGATGCATGCTGGAGCCTTAATTTCCGGGCACATAATTGTATCATGGTCTTCTGCTGCTTCACTTTTCGGCTCGAATGTTGAACCTTTCTTCCGCATTATCGACTGGCGAAATTTTCGGCCCGGTCGGAATCTGATTCGATGTACGATGATGCTTGAATTGCTGCTGCCTTTAGTGTACGAGGCTGTGAAACACTGATCTCTGCACTGTAATCAAGATCCCATTCACTCACTCATCCACTCACTACCGCGGGTCCGCTGTGATTAGGTGTTATGAAGGTTGCACACGAGGTAATCTTGCAAACTACATCACTCGGCATTCATTGTTGTTGAACAGCATTATTTTGTAGATTTCGACTGCTGGGCATACGGTACGTTAGTGTTACTAGTCCATCGAGAGTTGGCTCCCCACTTTGTGATCTCCGACGAGGTCAAAGAGTTCATTTTCTTCGACGGAACACCCTCGAACATAAATGGAGTTCATGCTTGTACGTTAATTCGGCACACGTATTCAAAGTTGTTGAACAAAATTAAAGACAATCAAAAGTAAAAAAAAAAGGGATGTAACGAGTTTTGGCTTTCGATACATCTTAATTAGATTGTATATTCCCAGGCCTCTCTAAATACGGAACTTGACACTCCGATTGCTGTATTTCATTTTCAGAAAATTTCGTATTTCCAAAAAATTACGAAATATTCTTTGTTATATAAGTGGCTTTGGTAGAGAAACTAAGAGAATCACTCGGTTACAACTTCGCGGTGACCTTTTGTTACAATATCTTTGTTCATCTAAGTGGCTTTACTTGAGAAACTAACGAAGTTACTCAACTAAAAGACCAGACAAGTTTTAGTATTTTGTCTCCTTGTTTACTTCAGTAACTTTTACTTTTGAAAACATAGAAAATTATTCAATTAGTTCTAAAAACTTTCCTGGGAACAAAAGGAAATAGACTAAATAATAAAAGAACACAAACAGCTTTTGGTTTTAATGAAACGATAACATTACGAAATCGATATTATAGGTTTACAAAAATCTATCGATTGAACAGTCTGATTCTGGACATTAAAAATAGATTTTTTCAACTCATGCAGTTTTTCGGAGGATTAGTTTGACCATATTCGAACATTGCAACGATGTGGAGAGTGATCTCGGTACTGAAATGGTAAAAGTCTATTCAAAAATAACACCCATCTCTCCCTCAAAATTATATTAGATTACTGTCAAATTAGGTCGAAAACATGAGATATTTCTGTCAAGTTCCATATATTCCGTATTTTGATTTGAATATTATACTTATTTTGTTGAGATACGGAACATACGGAATCCGCCATATATAGAGAGGCCTGTATATCCCCATAGCATTTGGATAAGAACTTCCAAAACCACAAAATATCGAGAGT